AGCCAGATTACAATTTGCTAAATTACGCAGGGAAAAATTATATTTTGGAGACATGTCCTGTAGTCTGATGGAACTAAGATTGAACTATTTGGCCATAATGACCAGTGTTATATTTGGAGGACAAAGGGGAAAGCCTACAAGCCTAGGATCACCAAATCAACTGTGAAGTGTGGGGGCAGCCGCATCATGTTGTGGGTTTTTGCAGCAGGAGGGACTGGTCCTCTTTACAGCATAGATGGCATCATGAAGAAAGAACATTATGTAGAAATACTGAAGCAACATCTCAAGACATCAGCCAGGAAATGAAAACTCGGCCACAAATGGGTTTTCCAAACACACCATGACCCTAAGCATTCTGCCGAATTAGTTAAAATGTGCTTTAAGGCAACAGAGTGAATGTATTAAGGTGGCCATCACAAAGCCCTGACCTCAATCATAAAGAAAATTTGTGTACAGCCAACAAATCTGACTCAGTTACACCAATTCTGTTAGGAAGAATGGGCCAAAATGCTTTCAAACTATTGTAAGAAACTTGTTGAAGGATACCCAAAACATTTGACCAAAGTTATCCAGTTTAAAAGCAAAGCTGAAAAAAATATCAAGGTAATTTAGACAACTTTTGACTGTCTAGAACAGGGGTGGCCACCCTGTTCCTGGAGAGCCACCTTCCTGCAGATTTTAGTTGCTACCCATATCAAACACACCTGAACCAATTAATTAGGACCTGAGCACCATGTGATGATTACAGGCAGGTGTGTTTGATATGGGTTGCAACTGAAATCTGCAGGAAGGTGGCTCTCCAGGAACAGGGTTGGCCACCACTGGTCTAGAAATTAAAACAAAATTCTCAACAAAAAAAAAAAAATTATTCTGGCATTTAGCAAATGTAATTAATTTAGGTAATCCTAAAGCACCTACAATATTAAATATTTAGTATGATTTACCATCTGACATTTAAAAAAATATATATATATATATGTTCTTGTTTTGGAGTGTATGTAAACTTCTGGTTTCATATACACACACAAAACCAAAATATTCATATATAATTTGTATTAGATGTAAATATTTATTTAATTAAAATAAATAAGCCATTATTTTTTGTATATTATTTATACACATTATATATAATATGTACTCATATTACTGTATATGTTCACATATTATGTAAACACAAGCTTTGAATGGAGTTTTTCATGATTAATCATTTTACAGAACTAGTGTAAATATATATTAATTCAGTTTTTGTAATAATTAAAGTGTTATGATTGAATAATTTTCAATAATATTTTTTTTGTAGTAGTAGTTTATTTATTAAACACATTTTTTACAACACATTGTCCAAACCCAAAGTGCTGAACACCATTACTGATACTTAAAATAACAAATCACGCAACACATAAGTAAGTAAAACATACAAATAAACCCCTAAACATTGAAAAGGCTCAAATGCTAAGGAACAAAGATGCATTCTCTGACTATTTAAAAAAATAAGTATAGCTGCAGCATGTCTAATGTGAGGTGGAAGGCTATTCCAGCATTTTGGAGTGATAACTGTGAAGGCCTAATCCCTTCTCCGCTTACACCGTGTCTTTGGTACAGACAGAAATGACTGATCTGATGACCTTAATGACGGGACTGTATACGTGTAGAAGATTGTTTAAGTATAAAACAATAAACAAGTAATATTTTCTGCCTTTTATTGGATGTATTATATGAGAGATTTGCTATAGCTTTGTTTATCAAGTGTGTTTGTTTACAAGTGTTTCTTATAAGATTTTAAACCTTAAATAATTGCAGTTTATCATAATTAATTTTGGATTTTAAACGTTTAAATATTTATTGATTTCATTTATTGTGTGTGAAGTGTTCAGTTTAATTTTGTGTAAATCCACAGAAATGAGGAAGAAGGTCTGCAGATGCTGTCTGGCCTTGATTATTAGTACAAACATCACTTTTACATTTGCTTATTTTGTAAATTGAATTCTGGATTTGAACAAACCCAGAGCTTGTATAAGTATTAAACTGTAGCTTTTACTTGCAAAGGTTAAAACATTATTTCCTTTTATATCTCATTCAGAAAAGGAGTCATCAATCTTTATAAATCTTTCTTGAAGAGGACTATGTACACTATTTTTATAACGAGGAGTCTATGGTGAAAAGTTTTTTTGTAATTCTAATCCTCTCTTTTCTTCCTCTTCCTTACAAAGGAAGTTAAATGAGAAGCGTAGATTATCTTCTTTGTTCTGCCGATTTTGTACTTTTGCCTTTTAATGGACAAACAGGAGAGAGATTCCACCGATTGTAGAAAACCCCGCTGGGATTATATCCTTTATTGTTTCATTTACTTTCCCAGCGATCCAAGGAAACAGTTGAGATGAAAAAAAAGCTACAAAATGTTAAGAATGTCTTTCATATTATTAAACCGCAAAGACCACGAAACCTTCGGGCCGGCGAAAGGAAGTCTCTAGAAGAACATGAAAACACTTTGTAGGCCTGTTGTTTTGTTGTTTGGGATGCAGTCCAATAATGAAATAATTACCCATGTTGGGCTAACAAGTTTTGTGAGCTCTGACAGTAATAAATGGCTGACAAAAAAAGATTTGTTTCAAATATATATATATATATATATTTTTATGAAAAGCAGTTTCTGGTTGATTCTCCAGGTTTTAGAAGACTGGAAATGGCAAGGACAGTGATAAACAAGGCACAATAACACTTTAAATAACTGCACACTAAAAATCATTTGTTAAACATTTGCAAATAATTCAGTATTTTAGTATTAGCTCTATATAAATAGACTTTCAGTTCCCAGTTAATTTTAACATGTACTTTAATAATTGAAATAAATAATTTGTTTCAATGTACTTATTGTGCAAAAGCATCTTTTTACATTTTACATATACTCATTTGAATACATGCATGTAATTATATCTATAATTCATTTCTGTAATTACATCTTTATTTACACTGTTGACCATCCCTTACACCGGAACCCACCCCTATCGCCAAACCTGTCCCTAACCTTACCTGTATCCCACCTCAAGAGCACTAGAAATGTTCTGCAATACATTATTAACACATTAGGTACACTGTATCTATATTATGATGTAGGTACAAAGTAGTTAAAGACGCTTAATATAAAATGGGACCGATATCAATGAGCAATTTATAAATGCAAAAAAAGGATTTTAATATTCATTATTATTACTGTAATTGTGTAAAAACATAATAAATATAAATTTACACACATTTTCACCAGTGAATAAATAGACTCAACGATGGGCTAAAATTCTGTGGATTTCTGCACGCACCGATTCCGTAAGGGCCTCCTTAAAAGTGATCTACAAAGCATAAATAGTCATCAGTTTAGATGAACTCACAAAACTTTACGATTTTTTGTTCAAAAAGTTTTGTTAACATAGAGTAGATATTACTAAATACTTGAAAAATAAGATGCATAAATGTTCATTTGAGTAATCATTTACTGACTCATTCTGAATGATCTTAAAAATCCCCAAAAATTACTTCTAAATAACTGATTTGTAAAAAATGCAATACTTAATTTAGGTATTAATTAACCATGTAAGACCTCTCATGGATCAATTCCTGGTATATTTAGTATTTTTATATGCTGTGCTGTCATTCTTTTGAGTATTTTCAAATGCCGGATTTCATTAAAATCCTTACATCACTGATTTGAAGTCTTATGTATGTAACAAATCCATAGCACATTAACACAAATATCAATCAAAATTGTCACTGCAGAGAGCATGCATAAAATACTTTTAAACTATATACAGTTGAATTGCACTAATTCAGTTGTGAGATACTTTTATTTTTATAAACAGCATGTCTTGAGTAACCCGAGAACATTGTGCTTATGAGAGCAATTTTGATATAATGAAAATGCAAATATGAAACAATCATTACGCACATCATATACAGTTGAAGTCAGAATTATTGGTCACACTTTACAATACGGTTCATTAGTTAATGTTAATTAATGCATTTACTTAGATGAACAAACAATGAGCAATACATTTACTACTGTATTTGTTCATGCTAGTTACCGTTAGTTAATGAAAATACAGTAGTTCATTATTAGTTCGTTAACTCACGGTGCATTAACTAATGCAACTAATAGCATGGACTTGAATGTTAATAATGCATTAGTAAATGTTCGATTATGATTAATAAATGCTGTACATGTGTTGTTCATGATTAGTTCATGTTAGTAAGTGCATTAACTAATAAACCATATTGTAAAGTGTTACCGAATTATTAAACCCCCTTTAAATGTTTTTCTTTTTAAAATATTTCCCAAGTGATGTTTAACAGAGCAAGGAAATTTTCACAGTATGTCTGATACTATTTTTTCTTCTGGAGAAAGTCTTATTTGTTTTGTTTCAGCTAGGATAAAAGCAGTTTTTAATAAAAAAAAATAAAAATAAAACAATTTTAGGTCAAAATTATTAGCTGCTTTAAGCATTTTTTTATTAGATAGTCTACAGAACAAACTATGCTTGCCTAATTACCCTAACCTGCCTAGTTAACCTAATTAACCTAGTTAAGCCTTTAATTGTCACTTTAAGGTGTATAGAAGTGTCTTGAAATATATCTAGTCAAATATTATTTACTGTCATCATGGCAAAGATAAAATAAATCAGTTATTAGAGATTAATTATTAAACTTATAATCTTTAGAAATGTGTTGAAGAAATCTTTTCGTTAAACAGAAGTTTGGGAAAAAAAGTAAAAAGGGGGGCTAATAATTCAGGAGGGCTTTTAATTCTGACTTTAACTGTATGTGCTTATAAGTAAAAAAATATTGCATTTGTAGCTGTATTTATAAAACTGCTACTGTCTATAATTGTACTAATGCTTAACTGATGAACTTTGCTAACGCGTAATAAATGATTCATGTGCAGGTATTATGAAGTGTTACCCAACAACCCTATTGAATACTGATTTTTTTCAATGTGTTTGTATTTGTTTTAGGAAGAGTACAGGGCAGAAGGCATTACCTGGCATAACATTGATTACATTGATAACACCAGCTGCATCACCCTCATCAGCAAGAAGCCCACAGCACTGCTCCACCTACTGGATGAAGAGTGCAAGTACGTCTACTACTTTTACACAATAGACTTTTATTTTAATGTTTTAAGAGGGTTCCACTATAAATAAACGTTTTGGTGTTAAATTGACCATTTGTTATGTAAATATGTAATATATAATAACTTAAACTGTTAAAAGCTATTCGTCTTTAGGTAATTAAAGTTATTAGTAACTAATAAAGTTATGGTAACTAATAACTTTAAATTTTCCTAACTTGATTAATTTGATTTTGTAAAGCTGCTTTGAAACAAGGATTATTGTGAAAAGCTCTATACAACTAAACTTGAATATGTAAATATCAAACACTTTCTAGTTTTATTTAAAAAAATGTTTTTAAGGGGAAAAAATCATGCCTTTTTTTACAAGATGTAAAATACGTCTCTGACGTTTGTATGTGAAGTTTAAGCTCAAAATACCACGTAAATAGGATGTCTGTTCACTATTTGAAACGGCTTCTTTCAGTCCTTATTGTGCTGTTTGAGTGACTGCCGCTTTCAATTGAAATGAGATTGTGCTCCCACCCCTCTTTTGAAAATAGGGCGGAGTTACAAGTGCCTATGTGTCAGCATAGTTGCAGATTTAAAAATCAAGACTTACCTCCTATGCTAATGAGGGAGAGATTGTCACTAATGGGTGGGGCTTTTTCCCTCTGATGACATGTACAAAGGGAGAATGTCAATCAAAGTGTTTCATCCGACTATTTTTGTGAAGAATGATTATAAACAAAAATCATTAATAAATCTTTACCATTTGTTGTTATATTCACAGGCTGCTGCCAAACAACTATGTTTACACCCCTTATAAAAGTGATTTCTGCATAATAGGTGCACTTTAAAACTAAATTAATAAATACATTTCAGATTTTAGCAACCCAAAAATGTTATCTCTGTCCAAAACAAAAGCATAAGAAAAGAAAAAGTAAGACTGTCTCTGCCTAAAATAGCTGGAAACCTGACTCTCCACATCAGTGTTTTTCATAGCTCAAATCTCTAATGTCTCATTCTTCCTGTTCCTGCGGCTGAGTTGCTTTTCTGCTGAAGTCTTGGCAGCAGCTCTCATTCTTCTCAAGGCCAGAGGAACTGCACAGGTTTATAATATATTGTCTCCAGAATCTCCGTCACGCTCTTTATGACCACTTTCACTTTCCGCTTCAACACTCCCAAGTGCACTAGAAGACCTCCGCAAACCTCCAAAATTGTTTCAGTTTGGTAATTAGGCATAACACTCTAGTTTGTGACCAATTCTCAGCATACGAATGATTTTTAGCAGAATATTTCTAGTTTATTGCCTGTTTATTACACTCAGAAAAAAATGACTTTTTTTGCTTATTCAAACTTTCAAACTGTTCAATTCACTTCAATTTGTAAAAATGATTAAGTTAACTTTAATCATTTGTGTTGGGACAACAAGAAGCAACATGCTTATTTCACATGGCTACTATTTTAAAAAACGAAAGCGAGGCTGCGGTGGGAAGAAACTAGGGTTGTCAAAATTAATCGTTTCTTCGGTGCATCGTGATGCAGACGCGGACAATTTGGTATCGGTTCAGTAATAATCATAACCGGTTATGAGTGACGTCATTTACCTCATATGCGCTCTGTAACGAGGGAGACGATCGTGAGTATTTACAACGCTTTAAGTACTTAAAACTCATAAACTGTGCACAATTTCACTGTGTGTGTTTGCTGGATCAGTCTTTCACTGACATATACAACAAAAGCCCCTATTTCACTGAGATCGAGAGAATGAAAGTAGCCTACTCCATTTCTCTCTCTCTCGCTTTCGCTCTGTCTCTATCTCTTTCTCTTTCTCACTCACACACACACACACACACACACAGTGGCCCATTTGACCTGCGGGGGTGGCTTTTCTTCTCCTCTCGGCTGTTTTACAGCATTACGTTTGGATACAGAAACGAGCGCGTGTCTGCAGAGTTTTCTCCAATGTGTCTATCATGCATCAGCTGTGAGATCGCCGCTGCCGCCTGCCGCTTATCAGTGTCACTTATCTGAAGAGCGCAGCGCGCAAGAGCCAATAGCAACCGTTTTTGTTGAGGGTGTGACCAATCAAAGAGGTGTAAGAGAACTAGACAAGGATCAGAAATTGAGCTGGATGTTTATATTTGTTTATATTATTTGCTTAATGCTCGTTTTGTTTAAAGTTACAGTTTGTATATCTGACTGTATTAAACGACAAAATTGTATTACAAATAATATATAAATATATATATATATATATATATATATATATATATATATATATATATATATATATATATATATATATATATATATATATATATATATATATTTATACATTTTAATACAAGAAATGCTGCTGTGAAGAAAATATAAAACTGTGTATGGAAAGCATCGTCAATGCACCGTGATGCACCGAAATATCGAATTGAACCGAATCGATGGCATGATAATCGTAACCGAACCGAACCGTGAGACTAGTGTAGGTTCACAGCTCTAGAAGAAACCCAGAAGTACTGTATAGAATCAGCACTGTAAACATTGCGACAACATGCTGTGGACTACAAACCTCCAGCTGTTGCTGTGATTTCAAAATGCAGACATGCTGTACACATAATTTTAATATCTTTTTAGTTTAGTTTAATTTATATAATTAAAAGCATATTAGGCATCAAACTAAATCTTAATCTCTTTAAGAGTAATACGCTTAAGTGTCCTCCTAGGCCTCAGTTCATTGCACCGTGTAAACATCATGAGGACATTTTCCTGCTTTAACCTATATAACCACTAAAACAATGCAGTCCTCTGTACACCCTTGTGTTGTCTGTCAGTGTTGTTCTGGTACTGATGTTTAAAAAACATTAATTTCCCACTAACAACAGCGGTGATTTGTTATAGTATTGACCAGAAATGACTGTGATTGGCCATGAAGGTCATCAGTTCACTGCTCTTCACCGAGTGCAAGCACAGATACAGGGATACTGGAGTGTGTTAAAGATGCAAAGATCAGTTGAATCATAGCGAATCGCTCGTCTGTTTTTCTATATGTATATTTACACTTTATAATAAGATTCTATTAGTTAATATTATTTAATAAGTTTGCTAATAAGAGCAAATGATAAAATACATCAGTTACTATACATTGTTTATCTATCTTTGGTTATGTCAGTTTATGAAAATAGTCATAAACTCACAGTGCAATAACAAGTGCACCTTTGATTTTAAGAATGCCTTAGTAAACGCTAAAGTATAATTAATAAATGTAAAAGTATTGTTAGTTCATGATCGTGCATACATAATGGAACCTTATTGATGAGTGTGACCAAAGGCTCTATTCAAGTGCAGATATTTTTTTCTATTCACAGTTTGTGTGCTCATATTTACCATTAGTGACAATATCTGTTAAGGTCAATGTATAATGAAATCATGAAATAAAAATATAAAGCTGAGCTTTAATGAGTTGTATTGCCCTGTGCTTCAGTTTTCCACAGGCCACCAATCAGACCCTTCTGGACAAGTTCAAACGGCAGCATGAAGGAAACAGCTACATTGAGTTTCCTGCAGTGATGGAGCCAGCTTTCATCATTAAACACTATGCAGGAAAAGTCAAATATGGTGTGAAGGTCAGTGCTGAATACAGCTACACACATATGCTACGTTCTGTGTTTTTTTGTATTTATACACACAAACAAATGACATGTTCATCGGACAAATGCTGAAATGTCTTTATTATAAACATGAACATCACAAGCAATGGGTGTAAAACTAAATACATCTCATGTTTCAGTAGTGTTGCTACATTTTAGAGGCAATTATATGGCCATCTGTTTGGTTAATATAAGAGGAAAAACTATAGTTTTAGTTTTTTTTTTTTTTTATAGAAAATAATTATAAATGTTACACATTTTTACTACTGTAGGGGCAGTTTTGATCATTCAAGATTTAATCAGGATTATTCATTGAAAAGTGAAGATCCACAATTGTTTCAATTTGCATCACAGAATGCTGTCTTTTTTTTTTCTAAATCGCAACTATTGCGTCCTGCGTTCCTGAGCATATATCACATTTCTCAGCTTTTATTTACCTTTAAACAAAAAGTGTCACGTCTAAAATTATTCACATCCTTTACAAACCGCCACAGTCTGTGGGAAAATCCTATTTTTTATACCATTCAAGTAATCCAAGCTTTTAAAGCATCCTAATAAACCTGATTTATTTGGAACAGCTGTTGTTATCAACTGAACAAGTGAAAAACAGAAGCTGTTGGTTTGTGAACAGTCATGGCTTAGACAAAGGAGCTCAGTGAATACCTGCGGCTGCGCATTGTGGCTGCTCACAAGTCAGGAAAGGCCTATAAGACCATATCTAAATGTTTTAAAGTTCCAGTGGCTATAGGGAAAAGTATTCTTAAAAAAAAATACAAGACTCCAAAAATGACACCTGTGTTGGACAGGAGGATAATGAGAGCAGTAAAAAAATAATCCAAAGATCACCACCAAGGCAATCCTAATGAATCTAGGCTCTGCTGGTGGCAACATTTCGAAGGAAGACAGTCCATCAGACACTGCACAATGCTAGGTTTCATGGACGCAGATCAAGGAGGACATCACTTCTCCAGAAAAGACACACAAAAGCTCATTTGGGCTTTGCAAATGCTCATTTAGACAAAGAAGACTTCTTGTCTTCTGTTTTATGGTCAGAACTAAAATGTAATTGTTTGTCCTCAATGATGTAGTCTTTATTTGGTATAAAAATGAGACCTTCAACTCTTAGGCCTTGTCTACTCTTATACGTTTTTGTTTTAAAACGCATAAGTTTTGCTACAGTTACACCTTAAGTCCACACTATGCCGGAGTTTTCGAGCCCTAAAAAACGGAGCGTTTTGAAAATGATTAAGAGGCTATTTTGGTTTTAAAATGCTGCTGCTCCGTGTCAAGGTGGATGGTGGGGAAACTGAGACATTTGAAAACTGAGTTGTGGCTGCAGAAGTTCACCCGTCTGATTGGGGCTTTTTCACCAATATTAGGCTAGTGCACAGAGTTTGTCGTGTAGCTACATATTTATATGAACGTCATCTTCAGTGTATGCATATTTATTACAACACGGAGCCTATAACATTACTGCCTCCTTTCATTTACATACCCTCTGTTTTACTGAATATCAGCTTTAATAATCAGTATTGGCCATTATAAATATATAATGTAACATACGTTTATACAATATAGGCAAGCAATCAGTCAAACGTGCAGAATCAATGTATGCGGTTACATAACTTAACATATTAGCTTTTCTTTGCGCTCAACCAAAGCACATTACCTGAGAACAAGTAATAGATTCAAAAGTCCAAAGAGTTGTTAGATTAGAGATAAGATGAATACATATCACGTTTACCAACTATAGTAAGATGAAATCTAGCTAAAGATCCTTGGTGAGCTGTCCAACCTGCACTGCTTTCACCTGGGGAGGTGTGCTCAAAGCACCTGCTGACTGCCTGGAGCTCAGACATGCACATAATGTGCGTTTTCAGTGGTGTAGTGTGGACGGAGAGCTTTTCAGAAAAGCTAGATGAAACAGAAACTTGGGCACCCATGAACATTTCAGCACAAAATCAGCCAAAACACACACCAATAGTGGTGAAGAAATGGTTAGCAGACAAAAACATTGAAGTTTTGCAGTGGCCCAGCCAAAGTCCTGACTTGCATCCAATTGAGACTCTGTGGCGGGAGCTAAAGATCAGAGTTAAAGACCCTCCAACCTAAAAGAATTAGAGTAAAACGCTAAAGGTAAATTTGCAAAGATACGAGTGGAGAAAATTCTGGTCAGCAATTATAGCAAGTGTTTGATTGCTTTAATAGCAAATGGAGGTTTTCTATTGATTATTGAGGAGGGTATGCCTAATTTTGGATATGCCACTTTTTGTTTAAATGTAAATAAAACGGTACATAAAGCTGAGAAATATATTTTGCTTCTCACAATGATGCCTCTTGTACAATGTCTTATTATGTATTGGAAGAAGTCTGTCTTTCCAGCCCAAAAAAAAAAATTGGTTGAATAAAGGTAACTTTAAGCCAGAATTTACCCGGGGTATGAATAATTTTCGGTAGGTAGATAGGTAGATAGATAGATATACAGGTAGACAGACAGATAGACAGACAGGTAGACAGACAGATAGACAGACAGATAGATAGATAGATAGATAGATAGATAGATAGATAGATAGATAGATAGATAGATAGATAGATAGATAGATAGATAGATAGATAGATAGATAGATAGATAGATAGATAGATAGATAGATAGATAGATAGATAGATAGATAGATAGATAGATAGATAGATAGACAGACAGACAGACAGATAGGTAGATAGATAAGCATTAATTTATTAATTCTCCAGGTCATGACGTAACCAAACAAATCCTTAAAAGAAAGAAAAAACAAACCAATAAAATCATCCAGTGTACAGCCTGGTTAAGTTTGGCCGAGTTTGTCAGTCATGAGAAGCTGATCCTCTTATTTACAATATAAAGCCTCTGTTCATGTGTTATATAATGGAGCTCTGCAGGCCTCACTCTCTCTCCTCTCTGATGTTTCATTGGTTTCATTGAATGGATGAGCCTCTATTGTTGCCTATTAGAGCTGGGCATAATAACATCCAGTTATCTGACCTTCTGTGTGACCTGCTGTCCCAGGACTTCAGGGAGAAGAACACGGACCACATGCGGCCAGACATCGTCGCGCTCCTCAAGAGCAGTAAGAACGCCTTCATCTGTGGGCTGATCGGCATTGACCCAGTGGCCACATTCCGTTGGGCTGTGCTCCGAGCCTATTTCAGAGCCATGGTGGCCTTCAGGGATGCTGGCAAAAGACATGTGGAGAAACGCAGCGGTGAGTCAAATCAGTTTGATTTATCATTTCAATCTTTTTAGTTGTACCACAGATTCTTCAATGAATGAGAAAGAAAAAGAAGAAATTATTTCAAGTGTTAACATTTCCTTCCTAACAATGGCATATTCTGCTTTTTATCTTTTTATTTTCTTTAGTATTTCTTTACAATCATACAAGCTAATTTTGATCAGTGTAGTTCTATCTTTTAAAGTAATTCAGTTTACTTGTTTTATTTTGAATTTTATGTATTTTGCAGAATATATAGTCGCCGATTGTCTGAGGGAAAAAAAGGGTTCCACTTTATATTAAGTTGCTTTAATACCTAGGTAATACATGCATTTAAAATAAGTACAATATACTTATTGTGGTCAAATTGTGTTGCACAACACTAGTGGCACTTTTGAGGTGCGATACGGGTAAAGTTATTGACAGGTTTAGCAGTATGGGTGCAACAGTGTACTGTAATAAATAAAAATGTAAGTACAATGTAAAAATATGTTTGTATATGCAATAAGTGCTATGTTCTAATGATTAATTTAAATATAAGTACATAGAAATTAAGGCTGCTTAATATAAAGTAAGACTAAATACTGAATGATAACTGTTAGTACTGTAAGCAAAACAACTAGCTTGTTCCACGGACTCTTACTTAAATGGGTGTGTGTGTGTGTGTTTATTTATATATATATCCCTTTAAAATGCTTTTAAAAACATGTTTTTTTTGCGGTAAGATATATTGTGATATTCTTTTTTTTTTCAAAAAATGAAGGACACAAGATTTTTATGTTATTATGTTAATGTTAAAGTAATTTTAATTTCTTCTGGTCACAAAGGCTCTATTGATTTAAAAAAATATACAAATAAAAACTTATTTTGTAAAATCTATTTTAAAATTACAGTATAAAATAATTAGTTTCTACTAGGGCTGCACAATTCTGGCTAAAATTAGAATCCCCTTTTGTTTTGTTTTTTTGCTTAAAATCAAGATCACAATTTTCTCACAATTCTGTAGATGGAAAAATAAAGGTTAATGAGCAGGCTATTATTATTGTTATTTCTCAAACATATGATTAAAACAACAATAATATTATTCGGCCGATTATAATAATATTATTAAGTCGACTGTAGGTTAAAATGCTCAATTTTGAACAGACTTTAAATTTGTCCTGGTTGTTAATGCACAGTAAAGTGATTAGATCAGAATCAGATCAGAATTCTGAAGTTACATATGCTTGCCATCTGTCATCGACAATATTGTTAGACCTTTTTTCCCCACTGTTAAAATGAGACATTTGCCACTATCAGATTCCTTGTGCATTATATTCACCATTATATATGCTTAGTAGTTTTATTTTAATGCACAACACCATTCGCTATAAAAGAAAAACACATCAAATGCTTGTCGGAATCATAACTCTAAAATGTGATGATTATTTAAATGATGTGCTCACTTTCGGTTTAACTTTTTTTCTGCTGAGTTCATGTCATTGCTGCAGTCACTTTGAGATTAAAAACACACATGCAAATCTTCCCACACGTCTCCCAAACTATTGCCTTGTGCAACAAACAGAATTTTATTTTTAAACTTTATTAGCTGTTATTCACAGCCTATGGTTCTGTTCACTAAAGTAGACATCATTCTCACCATTCTGTGGTAAACAAGCAGCTCACGTGTGATTTTGCGGGCACGAATACGTCAATACATTAAGAAAGAAAGAAATTTTTTGGGTGAATTATACCTTATAAATACAGTATGTGACTCTTTCAACACCATTTTTAGGTGTCCACATTGCTAAGAAACATATGAAGAACAATGTGAAAACTTGGCTGAATCGTAGAATTGCTGGATTAAGATCGCGTGTAGAGTCAAATCAAGATCAGAATCTTTTTTCGATGAAGCGTGCAGCCTTAGTTTCTACTGTAGTTTAAAATGTATTTCCAGTCTTTAATGGTTCTTTAGAAATTATTTTAATACACTAATTTTATTCTCAAGGAAGATTTCTTGTGCTGTATTTTTACAATGGAGCACTTGCTGAAAAATTGTATTGATAAAGGTATTGGGGAATAGAATAACTGGAAACAGAAAGACTCAGTGAGCCTATTGCATCTCAGCAATCTCACCCTCTGTTTAGCTTTTGTGTTTTGTTTTTTTGTTTTGTTTTTGTTTTGTCTTGTCTTTGCCTAGTCTTCTTGTGTTTTGTTTTATTTTGTTTAGTTTTGTATGATTTTTGTTATTTAATCTTTTAGTTTTTTTGTTTCATTTTATGCTTCATGATTTGTGTTTTATTTTTTCCCTTTAATTTTAATCTGCTAGAGCAGTCACAAATTACTGCATTTTGGGGTCTGTAATATTTAAAAAATTGTCCTCTCACTCTCATATTTAAAATGTATTATATATAAGCAAAAAAATATCACAAATGAAAAATGTAAGGACTATTTTGTATAAACTGTATATTGCCTAAATAACTGTTAGGCCAGCTCCTCCTGCTTGAATTCTGTTGCTCTGCTCTCCAGCTTTCCGGTATCTACAATGCCTTTCTTCTTCAATTACAACAGTTTGAACATCAGTAGTTTAGTGCTGCCAACTGCCTTTGGATTGTCCTTCCACATGTGTCCTGTCGTGCATTTCACTGTGGCTCAGATCTGGTTGTTAAAAGAAATTCTCTAATAATAGAGTTTGATCATGATTTAATGCTGATAGTCAAGGTTTGGCTTTGCAGGACAACTCTAGTAGACAAGCACAACCTATTCCTCCCTATTTAATCTGTCTCTTCTCTCTTTTCTCTCTTTTTTATTTTATTTTTCTTCTTATTTTTGGCTTCCTAAGGGCATGACGCTGCTGCTCCAGCTGTGAAAAGTGTGGATAGCTTTAGTTTTCTGCATCACCCTGTGCATCAGAGAAGCTTAGAGATCCTGCAGAGGTGCAAAGAGGAGAAATACAGTAAGCCTGCCTTTTCTTTCATCTCGTCTCCTCATCCTGTGCACCCTGGGCCTAGACACGAGAGCTCCTGTCCCACAGCACGTTAAAAAATAAATCCCCATTGCGAATAACTGATTGGATTCAGTGCTGGAAGGTTTTGCTCTCTTGTCTCTGGCCGTCCATCTTGCACCTGTCTCTCTTTCCTGCATGATGTCAGTTTGGGCCTGTTTCTTTCACTAACCGTCCTCTGTGTGGCTTCAGTCCAGCATGCATGTTTTTCGGGCAGTCCTCCACTGTCCCCTCACTGGAGCCCCAGCTCGACTCCTCCAGCTCACTGCACGCACTCGTTTTTCGACGACAGCGGGCTCACAATAGGTCTGCTTGATGGAGGTAGCACAGATCATAGACTATACACAAAATGATGATTTATTATACACACAAACTTAAAAGATCTGTTATTTATTAGGCATTTTAGTGCTTCATGATTCGTTCTTGTAGTTTTTAGCTGGGTGATATAATGGACTGGTCAAAGTCTTGTTTTGATGTCTGTGAAATGGTTTTTGCATACATAGGATGCATAAAAAATGATATAATTATCAAACTATGTAATGTTTCATCATCATTAAGCTTTACAAATGTATTTGTGTAAAATAAAACTACAACATATTTACTTTGACCTCAAATATTTAAAGGAACAAGTGATTAAATTTGTTATTTTTGAGATTAATAAAAGCATAATGTTTATAAATGGATATAAACTACTGTAGTGGCTTGAATGATTTAAAACGAGTAGTTTCTTAGTATTGTATATTATATAGATTATTTGACAGTTTTCTTCATTGGTTTGGCAACTTTCCTGAAACAGGAATCACATTCTCAACACTAAGATTGTTTGGCAAAATAGTCGTACAGTTTAGCACAACCCTATAGCTCAGTTGTAAAAGCTTATATATTTCTTAAAACTGTTCACTTATACGTCAAAACTAAATTTTTTTCTCATATAAACAGTCAGTGCCCCCAATATGCTCTGTCCCTTTAGAATTGTGTAGGCACTGCAGGTCAAAACGTTTAGATGGTTTGTCAATATGGCAGGACCGTTGAAATGCCTCATGTTCATCTTTCAGTCTTAGCCCATTTCTTGAAACCGGTTACTTTACCGTTTTTAGTCTTTTGACTGAATGCAATTGTGTATAAAACTAAATACAAGAAATGAGTAAGATTTATAATATTTATTATAAATCCTAAATCCTATAATATTTATTAAAACCCTCCAAGGTTTCACATCACGCATTGTACTCAAACTGCCAAGGAAATTGTAACCATTATCAATGACACACATACAGTAAAGAAACTTCCATACATCAGAGTAAATAGAAAATGCACTGTATACAGCATAATATACTGTAATATAAACACACAAACAAATAAACTATGAAAATGATATGCAGCCTACAGTGGTTTAAATAAAGATGCTCATACTGTTTGGTCATCACCTGACTGTCTAATTTTGACAATTGAACAGACTATTGCATGTGATGACTTATGCAATGAAATGAGGCTGACATTTTTGCGGCGAACAATCATTACACTGAGAATCAACAATCAGTTTAGATCAACTGATCTATTCACTTGAGGATTGTGGTAAATGTAGGCTACCTGTACTTAATCATTTGCAAATATGTACATCGGCATTTACAATTTGGTGAAATGAATGACAAAATTACTTCTGTTGTTAGAAATTGCCAAGTGGTTTGGGGGTTTGTCCATGTTGTTTTGAGATTGTGATTCCTGTTTCAAGAGATTAGCCAAACCAATGCAGAAAAACTGTAAAATGTTCTCAATCTAATATTAATCAAACATAATTCTTTATATTTTTATTATTTGAATATATTATAATAATAGTATATGTAATAATTGTAATATTTAAACATTTAGTTTAAATTAATATACAAAACGATACCCTAAGTATATATATATATATATATATATATATATATATATATATAATAGAGATATGTGTAAAATAGAGAATTGATAGGAAGTATGTAATCAAAACAATCAAACATACAAAAAAAAAACACTTATTGAATAATAAAAAAGAAAAACTATTGTGAAACTCAACTGAATAAATAAATAAATAATTACAAAAAAAACTAAAGGAAGCTGAATAATAATACAAGAAATAATAATAATAATAATAATAATAATAATAATAATAATAATAATAATAATAATAATAATAATAATAATATAAAAATAACAATAATGATAATATAATATAATAATAATAAAATAAAAAGAATGAGGGTTTATTAATTTGCTATCAAAAATATACATGTATGTTCTACTTTCAATATATCATTCAACTTTAAGTGTGGTGTTTTGAGAGTCTCCAGGTGTTTTAGTATGGGGATGTATAAACTCAGTCACGGTGTGTTTGTGTGCTGTGTTTGTTTGTCACACATAACTGATTCACAGCAGCATGTTCTAAGTAATTCATCTCTAATTAAATTGTCTTATGTTTCATTTCATCAACCATGGTAAATTAATCAGCGTCACATCCTGTTATTCTCATAAAAGCCATTACACAGTCCTCTGTTAACCTCTCACTCATTTATTCTGCATATATCCCATGAGTCTTGGATCAGTCTGGGTGTACAGACATTGTGATGTGTTTCAGGTGTGAACAGGAGGAATCCTCGCACTCCGCTCTCTGATCTGCAGGGAAGCAACGCAATTAATCAACGGTAAGAGCTTTTCACATCTGACCTGTATCTCTACAATAGTTGATACTCATTTCCTACTTTAAGATCCTGTGAAGTGCTTTAAAATTTACATTTTTTATTCGATGTTTGGCATAATCTCAATTGAAGCAGTCAGGGAGGGCGGGCCATATTGTAGCCCCTCCCTTTAAAAAACAACCAATAGCGTTTCGTTTTTATCACAGCTCTGCCGGTAAGAGTGGTAGTGAAAGTCATGAAAAGCAAATGAGAAACATCTTGAAAGGGGGCGGGGCATGTCAGATATTATAGAGCATTTGGTCAGACCTAATTAGAAACTAATGTATGAGGAGGTGGTGCCTAAAAAGCTGATCCATTTCGGTGGATTATAGATATGCTGAAGACTAACATGCTGATATTAACATCTATTTTGTTTTCTAGTTTCACAGGACCTTTAAACTGTTTGACACTTTGCAAATAAATTTAGTGAATGTAGGAGACTCTTCTTAATGATACGTTTATAAATAATAATAATATTAATCATCCTTATCATATTAAATGTAAAATTAATGCATAAAAAAATAGCTTCCAAAATCTAATCAGATGTTTTGCATTCGGAAATTGGAAAGTTTTATTTTGATTAAATTATTGATGGTTTATCAAGCCCAGTATTTTAAGACTGGATCAAATGTGCTTAAACTGTAGCTGTGGTGGCTGAAAGTGATGTTCAGCCTTGTAAAAAAAAAATGCATATCTGTGCCCTTTAATCATTTATATACTACAGAGCTGTCAAATGCTTGATTCTGATTGGTTTTTGTTCCAAGTTGTGCAGTCATTTAAATGAAAACACACAGTTAAAGAAGTTTCAGACAGATCTTGATCATTTTAGTTCCATACTGTATCACTACATTAGATATATATTTTTTTCTTCAGTAATTTAAAAAGAATCAAAACTCACAAAGAAAATTGAATTGATGCAGTGCATTTTCTTCATTTTTTTATAAAAGCAGACACCAAAATTGTGTAAATGCTTAATTTTGTCTCAGTTTGAAGTATAAAGGCTAAAGATGAAATTTCAGCAATTGATTTCAAATTATCCAAATTATTATCAGTACAAAAAATATTTTGTATACCTGTAATTGTATTTCCTCCCCACTTTTTTTAAATGCACAATTCACGCTATTGACTAAACTAGCTCAATAAACTACTTTTTGTCTGTATATTAATAGTTATGTAAAAAGCAACTAGTTACTAAAAATTGAGTTAACCCGTAGCCTTAAAAGCAACAAGTTCATTTTACTTTAAAAAGCGAGTAAATCAGTTTATTGGAAAGGTTAAGTTGATTAACTTTTATAATTATGCGCATAATTAATTAACTTAATAATTGTAAGGCAATACGTTTGCTTACTTTTTAAAACAAAGTCAACTAATCACTTTAAAGGCAATAGGTGTACTCACCTTTTATAATTAAATCAAACTTATAGTTTTTTTACAGTGTAAAGTAGTTGGGTTTAGGTTTCGAGTATAGGAATCTACAGTAATATTCTGCTTTAAAAGTGATGATAAGCAGTTCTTAATAACAGGCAGGTTAAAAACCAATATGAATGATGTGATTTGTTACTTAAACTAACATGTTAACAGTAATTCGTCACCTTATAAGGTTCTATCTGACATTTTTGTCAACATTGAGTTATTAACATATTCTTATTAAATGACAACTTATTTTCATTATGGGATGATTTTTATAAGTTGTTCACATTTTAAAACTTTTTATATAAAAGACAAATGTTATACACATACAGTTTGCTATATGGAATGCAACAATTTTGAAGTTCAATATCTCAAAATCATTCAGAACGCAGATAGAACCTTATAATCCCAAGGTGACGAATTGTTTTAAGATTAATTATAAGTGTACATGGCATCCCTCATCCCGCTCTATATATTTTCTTGGAGGATCTGCGCTTCATTTGCTTGCACGGTCAGTTCTGAAATCCCCTCTGTAGTTTCCTGACACTTGAACCTTTTTGTTTTTTTCGAGCTAGAAATAAAGCTTGTATGACGAGCCCCTAGTCAGTACTCACACGGCTTGTTAAGTTCTTCATATGGGTGTGGGTGAGCAGTGACTCCACAGAAATCCACAGGATGACCCCCGCTTCATGCTTTGTTAGTGACTGCATGGCACACAGATTAGTCTTGATTTCCCGAACAAGTGCAGGAGCCCAATTCACAACAGCTCTTTTGTTGCACTGTAAAGTCCCCCTAATCTGTTTTGCAACCCCACACACTTTTTGGGTTACTAAGTGACCATTAAACACCAGGAAACAGCAGCTGCTTCCTGCATGATGTTAGAGAGCAGATATTCGCTCATTTGGAGGATAGACCCTGAACTGATGAGTTATTGCTCCATGAGCACATGCTCCGATAACCTCCTGTGTACAAAATATTGCTTGCAAATTACTGCCGTTTCACTCACTATTATGTGTGTGTGTGTGTGTGTGTGTGTCCATTTGAGTTCCCTATGAGTTTTACATGCAGTGTAAATAATAACATAATAAGAAGTCATGATGACATATGTTTTTACGTTTTTTCGTTTTTACGAATTTAGTCAAGAATTAAGTCAATCATGTGTCAGCTTATTTACAGTAATTAAAACTAACTTAAACTTAATGTTTTAAAGATGCTGTATGTACGTTTTTGAATTTTCTAAAGCATAAAAATACCATAACATAGTTGCAGATATTTAAGAATCATGCCAAGTGAACATTCTTTCGTGGTCTGGAAAACAATGCTAAAGTAAAAATAAAGTTATTCTGCTTTAAAAATGTGCATTACATTTTGGAACGTCTGTCTTTGATTTTGCCTCTTTAAAATGCCCAATGCCAGTTTAGCCAATTATATTTCAGCCCCCCAGGTCGCCTTAAAGGAAAACAGCATATTTCATTCATTTAGTCTGGAAGGCTCTCAAAGCACGTATTCACGACTGAAATGCAACCTCCAGTGAACATTAGCAGACTCCGAAATGAGACGCAGATTCAGAGTTCCACATGAGATGATTATTAATTAGCAAATAATATAAATATTACGAAAATAAACATTAGGTGAGCAGGTTAAACTGTAACCCAGTGTCCTAAAAACACGCTACTTAGTGAGATTTGCTGTGATAAGAAATTTGGCTGTTTGAACCAGACAAAACACAACAGAAATGTAAATACAGCCATTCAGGAGCACAGAATTATGCACTCACTCATGAAATAGTAAGGTTTACAATCTAATTAATACATATTAAACCTCTTTAACATTATTAAATATACATACTGAACCACTGATAGGTGCTGGAGACAGTTTTAAAGTTTAATATCTAATGATTTATTTTTTATTTTTTAAATCTGAGGTGAACTATCTGCTGCTGCTTTCAGTATAGGGCAATAAATGTCATGTGAAATGGCCTTTAAACTCACATTATATGCATTTAACACTGAATAAAGAAAATAAGGTTTACCTGAGGTGATTATTGTGAGTTTTCTGATGTTCAACTCCTAGAAAAAGAAGCTGTTTCTTAAATATAAATTTGAGTTGTTGGTTAGGACAAAAACAAACAAAACAAATATTCGTTCTATCGTGTGCTGTTGCATTTATTTAGGACACAAATTAAATCAGCATTTAGACTTGATGATAAGGAACACTCCTGTTGGTCCTCAGTTTGGCAACTTGCACTTGCATGTGTTTTGATCCAGGAATTATTATTATTCGAGGAATACCTTGTTCAACCACTGGGTGTCAAACTAACATACTGCACCTTTAAGTCAGCTTAATTGATGTAAGTCAAAATGACTTGTGAAAATAAATTGGTTCAACTTAAAAATTTAACTGAGCAGCATATTTTATTGTGTAAAAAATAAAATCGTCTTTTATTTAGACAAATAATCTTGACATGAAAAAAATAAAAAATAAATAAAAAAACTAGGGGGAATAAGACATGACTGTCATCTTTAGTCAAGTTTACTGTAAAAATTGCTGGGTTCCACAAAATTGATTTGTGTTGGGAGAACATGAAGAAATTAAGTTAACTCATTAGCTTTCACAAATGTAAGTGGATTAAACATAAATTAAGAAAAAAAAGATTTGTGCTGTTTCTGCTCATTTTAAATAAGTAATTTGAACAAACAGCAAATGTCATTTTCGTCATCATAAATATTAAAGCAAATCTGGACGTCATGTGTCGGCTGTTTGTGAACACTAGACAGATGACTGAAATAAGAATGTATGTTCTGTACCTGTGTGGGAGGATGTGATAGTCTATATTGTCATTCCACAATAGGAAACCGGTATTCTGTATCCAAAATTGCCCATTTTAGCCTTAAATAGTGCACTGTTTAAGGGAACAGCCATTTAAAGTGTTATCCGAATCAAATGTTCTCAACTACACTGAACAAATCCACCAATGTACACTCAACAGCAAAGTCCGTTTAAGGCAAGTCATTTCACTGGGGGTGGCCATCTTTGAAACTCCTCTTGGGCAGTATGCTCGGGCATTCTGTTTGAATGGGGAAACATTAAATTCTGCAAAATTGCTTGATTTAATTAGGATTCAATAATACAATTAAATAACAACCATCTCTTTAGTTTTATTTCTAAACATTTTCATTTTTGTCATCAGTTTATAGTGATCACTGATTGGCTCCTGTACTAGAAGGCGGGGCTTTAATTACCATATTGATCGATATACTACTCCCCAATCAAAACTGTACGAGTGACGTGGCTTGTGCATTCTGTAGTCTTTGCTCAGTGGTAGTGGAGATATTGAAATAAATAGTTTAAAAAATAATTAAACTTTCAAATCGCACATACATTGTTCTAACTTACAGCATCACAGTTTAAATAGTTTTTCTGTTTTGATTTTTTTTTCAGCTATGATCTTAGTCCCGCAAGCCTAAACATTATTTATTTGTTATTATTTTTTTTTACCAAAATCTTCATGCATCAGTAGTTGGTCATTTTGGCCTAGTGAGTTTATATGTTAATAAACCTGCCTAAGCTTCTGTAGTTTTTCCACGAGCAACTCTGCCTTAGTTTTATTAAGTGGAGTTGTTTACAATTTGTGTGTTGCGATAATTCTTGCCAGAAGTTTAAATCAATAGATCTTAGTGGACAGCTCGTTGTTGTGATAAGTTCATCTGGAGTGGATAAGTTGTATGTTATGTTTGGCCTGTTTCACAAATGTTGCATCTGTGGTGCAGACTCGCAATCAGTATTTACAGTAATATTTTTGCTGCAGCAAAAAGAAATAACTTTTTAAATAGGCCTTAAAGGAGTCAAGAACTGCATTTTTGTTGAATTAAATTATGTGTATACAGTGTCAATTTCTTTCTTAATTTACTTACAAATGTGATCTTTTCTAGTTAATAAATCTGCAAATATAATCTGTCAACACTTAAAGTGGATCTAAATGTTTTTTTTTTTTTTTTTTTTTTTTTTAAGTTTGTCTTAAGACAAGAATGGGTGTTTTTAAAGAGTTTTAGGGGGGGTTGACTACAGTATGTACAATTACATTGCTTCTATAAAAATATAGAAGCAATGTATACCATGTATTATCATAAACTAATTTCTCAATCAAATTATTGTTTCTTAGTCCCTTGCAATCATCTTGATATGTTTAACCTTCTTTCGTTTAAAACTAGAATTAGTCTGTAAAATATATTTACAACAAATTTATACAAACAAATTTTGCTTCTCTTTTTTATTTTTTCACAGAAGTGTTGAATATATTTAAAGCATTTAAGGCAGGTATATTAAAAGTTAAATGGACCGAAATATTAAATAATCACTTTCTTTATTTTTTCAGTGGATAATATCGAGTTACTTTATAATAAATTACTCCTAACTCTACAATTTTTGCATTTATTTACAGTACAAATTACAATATTTGCATTGGACAAAAAAATGCTAATGTAGTAAGGTCCATTGTACAATAACTTGATAAACCTATTCAACTGTTCATTAAAGAATATATCTAATCAATCAATCACATGGGAGCAAATTGCTTCATTTTTGCAAGGTCAAGGCAATCTGAAATTTAGACTGGGCATCAGAATGAGGAAGAAAGGTGATTTTAGTAACTTTGTATGTTTTTGGGGCTGGTCTGAGTACTTTAGAAATTGCTGATTTATTGGGATTTTTACATACAGACATCTCAAGAGTGCAACAGTGAATGGTAATGCAACAACTGATAATATTTAGGCCCTGTTTACCCTAATATGTCTTTGTTTGAAAACACATAGGTTTTGCTATGGTCATGCCTTGCGTCCACACTACGCCAGAGTTTTCGAGCGCTGAAAACTGAGCTTTTTAAAAATGCTGTCTAGGTTTTAAAATACTGCTGCTTGGTAACTGTTGATGGGGGGAAACGGAGTCATCTGAAAATGGAGGCATGGCTGCAGACATTCTCTTCTCTGACTAAGGTTTTTTCCTCAATATTAGGTAGCCTACACACAGTTCAGTCCTGCATCCACTTCTTTTAAGTTCAGACTTCGCAAGTTTGATATGGAAAACAAAGTCGCGAGGACATGTCGGGTACATCGTCAAAGGGAACAGTGTACTTTATAACCTCATTCACATCACCCATCTTAATAAAATGAAAACATGATATAAGGAACTGCCTATTTTCATTTTGATGTTAACTTAACAGACACCAAAAATGTTGAGGCGTTGTGTAGCTGCATCTTTATATGAGGGTCGTCTTCACTATATGCATAGTTGTAACTAAACAGAGTCTATAACATTGCTGACTCCTTTCATTTTCAGTGAAAAATATTAATCAAACCCTCTCTTTCACTGAATATCAGTTTTAATAATCAATAATGACCATTATGAAAGTATAATGTACAATAAACATATACATTATAGAAAATAAAAGGAAGCAAAAAGTCAAATGTGCAGAATCAGTGTACGTGGTTTCATACATTAATATATTAACTTATCAGCCAAAACACGTTACCTGAGAAAAATAGATTCAAAATACCAAAGCCAGGGAATTTGTCGTAAGATATAGACAACAAGATGAATTAAACATCACGTTTAACAAATATAGTGAGATTAGATCATGCTGTAGATCCTTGATGAACAGTCCGACTACAACTGGGTTCCACACAGTTCCTTCACACAGTTCCTTCATGTCCCAATGTCCTTGAAAGCCAAGTGTCTCATGAGTTTATATTTCAAATTTGATTAAGATAACATGCAAAATGAGATTTCTATAAAAAGTTTACAGAGGCTATATCGGTCTCCTTCTCTCCCACACCATCAGAGGCGTTTTCTCAAAACTGACCTTCCCAAACTAAAACAGTAACAGTTGCTGAATAATTGGGTCTACATTCACAGTTCATGTATCTTTGGAAAGAAGACACTTTGAGCTTGATCATCCATCGGCTAGAGCAGCCAGCCATATAAAACACACCTGAACCAATTAATTAGGACCTGAACACCACTTGATAATTACAGGCAAGTGTGTTTGATATGGGTAGCAACTGAAATCTGCGGGAAGGTGGCTCTCCAGGAACTGGGTTGGCCACCGCTACTCTAGAGTTTATAATGTTAAAAATGAAAAATAGTTATCAATGCTTAAGTAATGTAAAAAATGCACCACACTAAACATTTTATTATTACATAAACAAATACTGTATGTGAAATCAGTCCTGATGCAATACACAAAAAGTAATAGGTCAACAGCTACACATCTGTTGAATATACAATTTGAATTTGATGCCAATATTATGCAAAATGAAATTCTTTAATTATTTTTCTTGTGAATTTTCTCCCTCTCCTTGTTTGTGGATAAGCAGTATGAGGAAGGATTCTAACAACTATTTGAATCTTTTCACATACCACTTATTTTTTAGTTGTAAAAAACTGTGATTTATTTGAGCACAAGTAGTACATTGTGATAAATAAGTCAAGTGTATATGCAACAACAACAAAAAGAGTTGTTGTTTTTCTTTATCACCTCTTAAAAAATATTTTAGAAGGAATTTAAATTGTACAGGATGGCTAATAACTTTACCTTCAACTATACATGATAATCCCAGCTCACAAAAGGACACTTTTTTATTTTGTATTTTTCTTTAGACCAAGCAAAATTCATTTGGTCAACGCCACGCACTTGTAAAAGACTAATTCGTGAAAAAAAGTGTATTCAGCAATAAATGCTGTTGTATGTATCCTTAACATGTGTTTTTGTTGTCACTCACAGAGAGGGCTGGAATGGGCGTCCTGGGAGACAGAACCGCCTGTCTTCATTTGGATCCTTCAGTGAGGAGGAGGGAATCTTCATCAACTCTACCAGCAGTAAACTCCTGGAGCGAGCCCATGGCATCCTTATGTAAGAGTCTCTCTCTGATACACACAGCTTTAGCTTTACCGTCATTGTTCACACTTTAATTTAACAAATAATTCCCACTATTAATAAACCATTAACTATGACTTTTGCCTCTATAAACTCATAATTGCCTGCTTATTTTTTATTTAGATAGTAATTAGGTATAGGTATTAGGTAGGAATGGAAATGTAGAATACGTTCATGTAAAATATGTACTGTATAAGTGCCAATAAAGAGCCAATACAATAAAACAGGTACGTAATAAGCCACTAGTTAATAGTGAGAATTAATACTTAAACTAAACCTTGTTGAGTACAATTACATACTGCAATACTGTAACCACTATTATTTACTGTTGTTGTTTTTATTTTTCAGGAGAAATAAAAACTATAAGATGAAGCCCAGTCTTCCTAAGGTGCGAATCTCACAGCATACATTTTGAGAGTTTTTGTTTATTTGTTGGCTTTTTTTGTTTGTTTGCTTGCTGAGTTTGTTTTATTCTTTGTTTATTTTGTATGTCTTGGTTATTGTGCATTTGTCATCTTTGATTTTGGTTTAGTGTTTTTGTTTGAATGCTTTTAGTTTTAACGTATGATTTGTTTTGCTTTTGTTATGTTTTATTAGCTTTTATTCTGTTTAGATTAGATTTATTTAGACTTTGGATTGTTTTTGGGATTGTTTTATTTTATTGGCTATTGTTCTGTTTGTAAATGTTTTACTCATCTCTGCTCTGTTTTGATTTTAGCTTTCGTATTGTTTGGTCTGTTTGGTTTTGTTCAATGTTTGATTTAGTTTGTTTAATTTTGATTTTAATAAGTTTTGTTCAATTTGGTTTTGGTTGCTTTTTAAACTACTGTGTCTGGTTTGTTTTTTTGTTTTATTCTGTATGTTTTATTCTGTATGTTTTTATTCTGTATGTCTCTGCTTTTGATCAGTTTTGTTTTGTTTTACTCTTTTTAATGATTTTATTTTGTTGCTTTTGTTCTGCTTTGATTTGTTTTGTTTACTTTAAATTGTTATTGGGACTGTTTTATTTTATTAGTTTTTGTTTGTCTTTTTTTTTCTTTTTTTTTGTTTTCTTAGTGTTTTGGATTTACTCTGTCTGGTTTACTTTTGTTTTATTCGGTATCATCAGTGTCTGTTTTTGTTCAGTTTTGTTTAGTTTTACTCCTTGTGATTTTATTTTGTTGCTTTTGTTTTGCTTTGATTTGTTCTATTTAGACTTTGGTTTACTTTGGATTGTGTTTGATTTTTTTTTTTTTTTTTTTGTAAGTTGCTTTTTTTCTTGTTTTTGTCTTCTTAAGCTCTGCTCTGCTTTTTTGTATTGTTTGGTCTGTTTAGTTATTTATTTTAGTTTGGTCTGTTTGTATTTGTTCAATGAGGATTTGTTCCAAGGTGTTCAATTAGTTTTTTAGTTGTTAAATTTGGCTTTGATTGCTTTTTTATTTACTTTTTTAATTTACTTTTATTTTATTCTGTATATTTAGTGTCTAACTTTGTTTGGTTTTACTCTTTTGTTCAGTTCTGTTTGTTTTTTCTCCTTTTAACTTACAAATTGTATTTCAATTTCACACTGTGTTCTTTGTTGCTTTTGTTCTGCTTGTTTATTGTTTGTTTTGTTTGCTGATTTGATTTTTTGCAGTTTTTTTTTTTAATTTTTTGTCTCGTCCTGTTTGTTTTATATTTGTAGTTTTGTTCAGTTACCTTTTGTTTAGTTGTGACTTATAACTGACATTCTTTGTTCGTCTGTGCCTACAGCACTTGCTAGATGTAAAGTCTCTAAAGTATCTGAGCAACCTTACGTTACAAGACCGCATTACAAAGTCCCTGCTGCATCTCCACAAGAAAAAGAAACCTCCAAGTATTAGTGCTCAATTCCAGGTCAGACCTAACTTACTCTTCTACTCTTTTTTTTTTTAATATTATTATTATTGTAGTCAAACTAACTATGCTCTGAATCATGTGTATGTTGTGTAACTATGGTGTAGTTTCCACCATGTTCAGCTCTGGGTTCTTGGCACCAAATAAATGACATCACGTCTGTCTTTGATACAATAACATTTTCATTTGCTTTGTCATTCCCACTATCCTTTGTTTTGATTTTACTTTTTAATGACTTCTTGTTAAAATGTATAATAAATAACATTAATTTGTATTTGGCATATGGCTTTTTTTCTAGACATTATGTCCTTAATTAACTTATTATCACTGTCGTCAGCAATGTTTTTGGTTTCACAGTGTTGGGTGTTTCCTCAACCTTGGTCATGTTTGGTCCTGTAAACTTTAAAATTCAATTATAATAAATTAAAAGACACTTTTTTAACTTAAAATAAACTTTTCAGTCTAGTTTTTAATCTATTTGTCTATTTAATAGTGACTTGAAATGTGAACAGAAAACACATCTTGCTTTAAGTTAGTTAGCATATTTTATAATTTAAATGTTTGCTACGATACATATTTTTTCTAACTCTTTTCGGATAATTATGCTGGTCATTATGATTAAGTCAAATTTATCTTTGTTTATCATTTGATAATTAAAAAAAAAGTAATATTGTCTTTAAGTTTGAAAGCCATGACAAATTAAATGTATGTAAATTCAACAACAGAAATGTTAAAATATGTTGCTTAAAGCAAATCCAACCCCATGTGACAAATATGTGTGTAGTTGTGCAGTATAAACAGCATTGTGAGACATTTTGCTCAGCTGGTGAAGAATTACATTCCCCTCTAGTGTCTCAGACTAGGACAAAGTGTTGTAAACATTGAGTTGCACGGCGGTCCTGGGACGTCTGGCAGCAGGCCTGCACAAATGTGTGGATGACCTCACTTCCCACATCCTGTACAGTGCAGTGCGCTCTTTGGGAAGGGAGACTAAATTCCTGACCACCAGAAAAGCCGCTTTCTCCTTTTTTTATGTCTGTAGAGATACAGACATGAAACACACATAGATACATGCACAAAAGTCTTTTGTATTATATTATATTATATTATATTATATTATATTATATTATATTATATTATATTATATTATATTATATTATATTATATTATATTATATTATATTATATTGTATTATATTATATTATATCAAGGGCGACATGGTGGCACAGTGGGTAGCACAATCGCCTCATAATAATTCAGACTTTAACTGTATGTCATTATGTTGGTTTTTCAGCCTGTATGCTTAGTTAATAATAATAAAATCTATTTTAAATACTAGTAAAATTTTATTTAATAGTGAAATAACACTTTCAAAAATTATTTTTTATTTTAGCAAATTGTATTTTATATTATTCATGTTTCATTTTATTTTTAATACGATGCTTTCAATATTTTCTTATGAATGTATCTGTCTTATTAAAGACCAACTTTGCAATGTATATTATGCTAGCACACATTGATAATCTTTATGTGGACAACACATCTGTCCAAGTTATTCCTATAACAATTAGTTTTGGTCATTTATAAAGTCTCAGTCCTTTTCTGTTAACATCAGTTTGACGGCTTCTGCCACAGTTCTTACCATTAGATTGCTATGAGGGATTAATGTGAAAAAAGAAAAGCAAGCCTTCTATTTAATATTTTTTGAAAGTACATAAACATATTGAAATAAATCCAATATAAAAAGTTCATCCACACACTGAAAAGTCTCAGCAACTTCCAGTTCACACTGATTTTAAAACCCAAAAATAAAAGGGTGAGCACATAAACTGCATCGCAAAGTGTTAATCAGCCATTTAATGTTTGTTCTAGTTTAGACATTGTGTCATTTAACCTTAACAATTGATTCAAGTTAGAGAAAAGATAGCTGTCTAAACATGCAGTTGATTCCTGCAAAAATATGCATATTATGAATGAATTTGTGGTGTTTTCCTCCATTGCAGGCCTCCCTCAACAAGCTGATGGAGACTCTTGGTCAGTCACAGCCATACTTTGTGAAGTGCATACGATCAAACTCAGAGAAGGTTTGCGAGTCTTTGTGAATATATTGTGGTTATATATCATACAGGTTCATCGTTTTTTCAAACATATTCTTTGATTGGTTTCAGCTTCCTCTGCGGTTTAATGATAGTCTGGTGCTAAGACAACTTCGCTACACAGGCATGCTGGAAACTGTGCGAATCCGACAATCTGGCTACAGCATCAAGTACACTTTTCAGGTGAGATTAGAAACACACACTGATCAGACTTAAAGGTCTCATTAATTTAAAAAGCTTTGTAGATGTTAGTATTAGTATGTCAGTATCTTAGGATATATAAAAGGTAGTGTGCTCTAAGTTATATAATTTGCATTTAGAAGATATAAGCATCCTACAAACTACAAGCTTGTAGTTTGTAGCCTAATGAATCTATAGCTGCGTCCCAAATGACACACTATACACTATGCACTTATATGCACTATGTACTTATGCACTCACACTTAACAGCATATTAAATGGAACACTAATGTTTTTTTTTTACTAAGCAGTAATTCAAACTGTTTTCCTGCTGACGTTTGATGGTTGCCAAAGTAGTGAAATAAATGACCAAACTATCAAATAATATCTGCTATGAGTATAACCTCATTCCCATCTGCAGTTAACTACTAAGAGAAAACTGCTTTCATAATCTACAATAAATAAAGTAGTCTAACATCAGTGCCCATAAGCTCTGCCCCTGCCACTACGCGAGCAAAGCAGTGACTGTTGAGTGTGTGACGTGTCCAATATTCCACACTTAATTTTACTGGTTGAATAAGTGCATCATCCAGGTATTTAAAATGCACTTACAGGATTATATTTAGAGTTTTCAGTGTGAACGCACTACTTACACTATTTATACTACAAAATGGCGTAGAATAGTGCATAAGTATGTGATTGTGGACATGCCTAATGCTTTTTTCTTGTCAAATCTTATGACTAATGCTTTCCGTAACGGTAACACTTTATAATAACTACACACTATAAATCATTTCTTAAGCATTAGCAAATAGTGAATTCATTATCCGTTAAGCATTAACTCTACATTAATAAACGTTAGTAAGCAGTTTATAACTGCAGCTACAAATGCTCTATTCTTGACTGATAACCACATTTAAAATGTGCTTAATAATTGTATTTTCATACTTACAGTAGTAAATGATTTATTTTTCATTACTAAATTAAGTATCACATTATTTACAAACCAGTTGTATTTAAGAGTAGTTGAGGGTTTTTAGGATAATTCAGAATGAGTTAGTAAATGATTAATAAACTATTGAAATTAACGTTTATATGTCGTATTATTCAGGCATATAATAATGCTTACTATGTATGTTAATAAATGCTTTATTAACTCAACTTCACCTAGTTTTGTGACCTAATCTAAAGTGAGGACTATTCATGCTTTATACATCCTTCATAAATTACAAATAAAGGCTCAGTTAAATTCTAAACAGGAAGAATGACATTATTCCTTCCTATTCAATTAAAGATACACAAATGAAACTGTACTTCAAATTAAAAATACATATTTGCAACCTGGTCTAAAATAAAATCACTGTAGAGTTTAAACATTACATTTTATTACATTGTTTAATTATTATATTGTTTTATCCAGTTTTGTTGTATTTTGACACTCTTGTCATTCAGCAATGTTTAAACTTTACAGTAATTTTACATTTTAGAAAAGATTGCAAAGATTATAGTTCATTTGACTTTGAGCCTTTATTTGTCATTTATAAGGGATTTATAAATCATGAATAGTCCTCACTTTAGATTAGGCCACAAAACTGCATGAAGTTGAGTTAATAAAGCATTTATTAACATATTAGTTGACTATTAATATATGCCTGAATAATAAGACATATAAACGTTAATTTCAATAGTTTATTAATCATTTACTAACTCATTCTGAATGATCCTAAAAACCCTCAACTACTCTTAAATACAACTGGTTTGTAAATAATGCAATACTTAATTTAGTAATGAAAAATTAATCATTTAATAAGTATGAAAATACAATTATTAAGCACATTTTAAATGTGGTTATCAGTCAAGAATAGAGCATTTGTAGCTGCAGTTATAAACTGCTTACTAACGTTTATTAATGTAGAGTTAATGCTTAACAGATAATGAACTCACTATTTGCTAATGCTTAAGAAATGATTTATAGTGTGTAGTTATAAAGTGTTACCATGCTTTCTTGTACCTGACATGCCCAGCCCCCTTCAAGACACTTATTATTTGCTTAAAAGGGGAGGAGCTACTATATGTTCTACCCTGTCTTCAAGTTTCAGTTGAGGTTATGTCAAACGTCGACTAAAACTGCACATTTCAAAGCTACCTTTAAGGCCGGGGCACACTAAGGCAACGTTCTGCTATTGGGCAGCATCTGGCAGACTAGTTTATTGGATGTGTTCCACACAACACCTCACGTTAGAGGGACTTTGCCTAATCCAGCATGTAAATCAGCTGTCGGTGAAAGCAAGCACTCTGATTGGCTGTTCAGCTAGAAATCAAATTGCTAGACCAGAAGCTGAGTCTGAGGGCTATAATTTTGACGGTCCATGCGCAAAACGGAGAGCGCAGGGCGCAAACGCTTTCAGGGCGTGTCAGAATCCATATTTACTAATTTAAGGACGGGAAATCTGCTTTGCACCGTGGCGCATGGTCTAAAAGGGTTGAGTTTATTTTCTTAATGAGTTCTAGGTGTGTTTTGAGAATAAACCAATCAGAGTCCCTTCTCCCATTCCCTTTAAGAGCCAGCTGCGTCGCGCCATAAGCGCATTTGCTATTTACATGACGTAAAGTAAGTGTAAGTGGAAAAACTGAGCATTTCACAAGCAAACAGTTTACAGTTTTTTTAACAGAAAACAGTTAAACAGAGCATCTACCGCGCAAGAATGACAAATAAATGATCTACTTTCACTTTCGCTCTCATGGATAGGGAAACCTTCACGCACAGACATCTATTTGCCTATAAATAATTAATTTTGTTTGTTAAGTGCAAATATTTGTTTCAAAACCATTTCGAAATTCAGTTCTAATTTCCAGCAAACGAATAAATGAACAATAATAACAAAGTGTGCTCAAAAGCCTGAGTTATATCCTAAAATACATGCTGTGCCCCATATGGTCTAAAACCTGCAGGTGGGCAAATCTAAGCTTGTTTTTAATAAAACAAATATAAACATGGATATAATAAATAATACTGCTAATAATTATAACATTATACAAAAGCAAATTGTTTTGAATGAACTGAAAAAGCCTCCCGAGATGAAGGCATAAAAGCAGTGGTTTTTCAGATTTATGTAGGCTAGAAAATAATATGTTTTGTAATATTTTAATCCTTTATATTTATATCCTACATCTATTCTTGTTATAGCCTATATAGGCCTTTCCTTAATATTTAAATTTTTTCATATATAAAAAAAGATATTTGCGTATTGCTCTACATCTTGTGTGTAGGCTATTAAGCAGTGTGTAAGCGAGGCGCAACTCTGCACTGGAGTTTAGACCGGGTTTGTTTTGGTCTAATGAAAAATCTATTATAGTTTCTCAAAATAGCAACGCGCCAGCAGTGCGCCTCAGAACGCCTTCCTTTTTAGACCAGAATGCCTATGGGCGCACATATGAGCGCAAATGCATTTGATATTTAAAGAGCGTGGAGCAACACCTCAAAACGACTCTTGCGCCAAGCTGAAACTAGCAAACAACTATTGAGCCGCGTCTTGCGCCACACTGCGCCGGGTGTATGATAGGGTCCTGAGTGTTTTAGGTCAACATTGTTTTAGGTCAAGTAGTTCTTGCCTTATTTTAAGGATTTGCTCTCATCTTGTGTTCAGGCTTCTGTAATACTTTTTTTTTTTTTTTAAAGTAACCTCATAATTATATACCTATTTATACTTGTACTATACAAATGCATTTTTTTACTTAAAAAATATTTATATATTATATAGAGAGAAAGAAAAGAGAAAGCACAGAAAATGACAACTGACCCAAATGACTAAATAAAATCTTGTTTTCAGACGTTTATATTAATTTCTAGACACAATACCATTGTTTTAACTTCAGATCAGGTCAGAATCTGTATTTGGCGGATTTACAACAAATGGAAAAAGTTATGTTTTTCAGAGTCATTCTCTAGAAAAAAAATCTCAAAATGGTTTTCCAAAAATATTATTAGACCATTATAGAATAAAATAAATACTAACATTTCACTGAAACCTATACATAGTAAATCCAGCACATCCTCAGAATTTTACAGCGGTCACTGATTCATTTGTCCTATAGCTATACATCAATATTATGCTAGACTTAATGTAATGAATTTTAAAATTATTATTATTATTATTTTATTTTTTATTTTTGTATTTTAACAGATTTCGAAAAGTAATACTGACCTCAAGCTTTTGAATAAAAGTGTACTTGGATCAGTCATTTGTGACTCCTCATGCTCCGCAGCTGAAATCATTACTTCCAGTTGTTCATTTCCTGTTCTAGGTGTGGCTGTCTGGGGATGATTGTGTTGTTTTTGACTGTTTTGTTCTGTCTGAAACATGAATTTAGCTCAGACGAATAACATCATGCAGTTTATGCATATGGATGTGTTTATATGACGTAACTCCCCAGTGACTGATCATTCGAACAGATCGCCTGCTCTCTTTCCAATACTTAAAGGGTATCCCCTTTCAGTTATTCCAAACCTTGACGAGTTGATGTGTTACACAAAAACAGATATTGAAATGTATGAAAACGATAGAAACCTTTAACCCTTGACTTTCATGGTATTTGTTTGTCCTATTATTGAAGTCAATGGTTACAGGTTTTTCAGCTTTCATCTAAATATCATTGTTGTGTTCAACAGAAGAAAGAAAGTCATAAAGATGTGGAACCATTTGAGAATGAGTAATTTGAGAGCAATGTTTTATTTGTGGGTGAACTATCCCTTTAAAAATGTAGAAAAATCTGATCAGCCATTTATTTCAAGAAATCAGCAGAAAGCTCTGTGATTGGCTGCATTAGAGACCACCGAGGTAATTGCTGATGATAGCAACTTTGATTTTGATGCCATTGGCATAGTGACAGATAACATGGTCTGTGCCACTAGTTGAAATTGCTTACTTCTCTGGATTTGAACATTCTTTGAAATATTTAGGTTAATGTAAGTATATAGGTCAGTGCAATATATAAGACTGTTCTGTTTTAAAGAAGAACGTCTTACATATTGTGCCCATTGTTTGTGCCAGTAGGGAAAATGATTTTGGGACAGTCTTTGATTATTTTTTTAGGATGCATGTTGAATAGTATATTTGCACACAACTAATGCAACCAAATAGTGAATATTGTTAGCTACTAGTTACTTGCATAGGCTCAGGTGCTGTATTAAGTGGAATTAGTTACCAAGTAGCAAGTTACTGTAATTCAATTTTATTCAGCTAAAAATTTTATGAATTATTTTTAATGTTTTGATCATTTAATTACAGTTTCTTTATGTATTGGCTAAAGCAGTGTGTCTCAAAAAATCCAAGCAAAATGAATTCTGTCAGAATTCCATCACAATACCTCCAATTTTAATTATATTTTGTAATTAGATGGCAAATAGATGAAATTGTATAATATGTATATGTTCACCCCCTCACCTGATTTATTACACTGCATTACCTTGTTAAAAATGATAACCCAGATATTATGCAGTTATTTCACTGACAAATGTAGTGAGCGCAGTATTACAATCCAAAGACTGATTCCAATCCAACTTTTGTCCAGCTTTTAGTCAGAAATTAATGAAGAAAATGTGAAACACTGTAGATATTCAGTCCTCAAAAACCTTTGATCAAGCTTATTTTCATTCGATAACACCATTTCTATTAATGGCCTTACCCAGCTAAAAATAAATACGTCATCATTACACTATCATTACATCATCGCCAAGGAAAGTAAATAAAAAGATTATTTTAATGCACAGATTGCACTGTTATTCTATTATTCCTGTACAAAATTCAGTCATTTTTATTCCTGTAGTACGATAAACAGTTTTATTTTTGTATGACATGTTATTGCTTGTTTTTTAAACCCAGTGTGTAAACATTATGTATTACTTACATACATTTATAATACATATATATATTGCATTTCATTTTTATTTCATTAGTTGTATTCTCTCACAAATACATTTGCAAAATAACTAGAAAACTCTACATTTATTTTTCATTTAAATACAAATTTAATGATGTATTTAGTAATCAATTGCTTTTTACCACTAACGTATGCAATGCTGTCTGTATTACAAAAAAAAAAAAGTCCTGAATTACATACCTACCGATGTAGTAATCATGATAGTTTCACTTAGGAAATATCAAAAGTTTTAGTAATATAGTCTCGGATTATCAAAGAGTCATGAGTTGGCTATTTTGTCATGGAACAGTAACCAAACACCTATTCTTACAGTAAACCAACATTAGCAATGCGCTTCTAACCGCACAGAACAATCTTTCAATGACCTTTTTCTACTTTTACCTTGCATCTTGTCAACGTGTGTGCATGACATTTAATCAAACCAGTGTGTTTTGGCCTGGGGTAATTCCTGTAAGATATGAAGCTGCTGTGCTCAGTGACTTCACAGAGGCTCTCTCTATAGTCTGCAATAAGAGTGGCCAGGAATAATTGCATACACAACAGCATCTGCCTCACAGACTGTCCACCCCCAGTGGGCCGCGCTGAAGGAGGCTTCAATAAGACATGCCTTTACACTGATGCTAGTGTTCTGAAATCTGACCACTGCTTTTAGGCCTTAATGAGAGATGTCACTTCCTGGACACTTCTGATGGGGAATGACTTGTGTGTGTGTATGTGTGTGTTTGTGTGTGTGTGTGTGTGTGTGTGTGTGTGTGTGTGTGTGTGTGTGTGTGTGTGTGTGTGTGTGTGTGTGTGCGCTACCATGGATTATATTTATCATTTTATGTTCTCCAGGACTTTGCGCGACACTTCCATGTGTTGTTACCAGAGGGTTCCAATCAAGCCAGCCAGGAGGCTATCAGACAGTACCTGCAGCAGGTGGATCTCACTCCTGAAGGCTTCCAAGTGGGCCGTACCATGGTATGATGAAGCTTCTGGCAGTGATGGGACTTAATTAAATTCCTAGCATAGAACTTATTTCTGATGCCTTTGGGATGACACATCCTGCCCATTCATGGTTCGCTTTGTTGGAAATGTACAGTGTTGCATGCACACGTGACGTGTCTCCGTCTATCCATGCGTACGGCAGGTGTTCCTCCGTGAAATAGAGAGGCAGCGGCTGCAGGACCTGCTCCATAAGGAGGTGCTGAGCAGAATCGTTTATCTTCAGAGACGCTTCAGAGCTCTTCTAGAAAGAAAGAACTTCCTCAGAGTAAGACAGGCGGCCTGCCAAATTCAGGTATGTTTACTGCCGGATTAGCAGCTTTTTCAGTGTTTTTTGACAGTAATATTTGAATTTAAAAGGAAATGGAAATGTTTATAATTTATTTCAATTCATTTTAAAACAGAATCCTATTTTTTTAAGATATACAAAAAATCACCAGTCCTAGGCAATTGAAAAGTTAATAAAAAGTTTAAAAGACTTTATTAATATCATCATAAACAAACACCACTCATGCACTGCCCTTGTGACAATATTCAGGTGTGTCTGGAGTTCATTTAAACACTCGGTGTCACATGACTCAATTAAATAACAGAACAGGAGGTTATATAGCCTTCACAATAACGCCAATTATCAATACAGGAATGAGAAATCTATATAATATTCAACATATTTCTCAGAAGTAAAACATAAAATGCATATAAAAAGAAAAAATAACATAAACTTTCAACAATAATCTAAATTAAAAAAATGTGAATACATTAATTAAGAAAATGTTAGAAAAAGGAGAAAAGTCTATACTATCATTTAAACCTGGAAACCTGAATGCTTTTGATGTATGAATTAGTGCTGGGCAAAATTGAATTGTGATTAATTGCATCCATAATAAAATTGTGTTTTGACGTGATTTCAAAATATGTAATTTGTACATTTATTATTTAAATTATACAAATTATATATTAGTTCAAATAACTATGTAACAAAATGGTTTGTATAGTTTGGTTTCTATGTATGTGTGTGCATCACATACAATTGTGACTTGCATTATAGGATCTTGAGCTCTGCTCTGTTGACTTTTGATATTAAAAATTCAACTCTTTGTCTAAGTGACTTTCATGGACATTTTAGTAGTTTAAGACAAGATTTAGTTCAGGAAATAATATACAGTATAGAGAATCAGGTTTTTAAAAGAACTGTAATGTACTGTAATGTACTGGCAGGTTTTAGAGGGGTTTTGTAGCATAATATACAACACCAACCCAGACAATATAGCACTTTAAACTATTAAAACATTCATAGAAGTCACTTTTTCAAGGTTAAAAGTTGTTGGAAGAAAGGTCAAAGTCCCATAATTTTTAACCCATATTCTCTCCTCTATGATGTATGACAACTATTTTCAGTGTACTGGAATTGCTATGATCTTTATCCCTATCATGTAAATCCATCGCATATTATGAATTACATGTACATATCACATTTTAGACTGTTAGGTTAGGGTAAGGGTTAGTGTAAGTTGACATAGACTTGCTGAGTTTTTTATAGCCAGTTAAATGGCTGTTTAGTTGCAGTTTCAGCAGATATTAAGCAGACAGTCTACTGATACTCAAATGGACCAACTTTCTTTTAAATTGGTACTTGTAAAGATTTAAATAAATAGTTCACATTTCATGAATTTATATTTTTCCAAATGTTTTTTTTTTATTTATATTTTATTTAAAGTAAAGATTTTACTTAACAATTTAACGAGTAACGATCTAATTATAAATGACTAAAAAGTGCTGAAAGTTCATTCATTGGGCAAAAGGTGTGTAATCATTGTGGTATTTGGGTTAGACGTTTGACATGTAAACAGTGGAAGTACTTAGAGAGATAAAGGATTTAGTATTGAATAATATCATTTTATTTTTTAACATATTTGTTTCATCATATATATATATATATATATATATATATATATATATATATATATATATATATATAAAAATATATATATATATATATAATGATTCTTTATTATGGTTTTAAGTAAATGTATTAAGCAAAATTACTATTCAATACTTATTTTCTAAAAATCCTATACTAAATGTGTGACCCAAACAGTGAAATAATTATATATGTGATTTAATCGGAATGTTTTCTCATGTAGAACTGGTGGAGGAGCTGTCAGTCTTTACAGAGGGACAGCCAGCTTGAGTATGACATGCGTGTCCAGGAGGGGGCAGTGGTCTGTATCCAGTCAGCCTGGAGGGGCTTTAGAGAGAGGCGTAGACTCCTGCTATGGAGAGAGGCATCTGTGCTGATCCAGAGAACCTGGAGGCTATATCGGCAGAGACGGGCAGCCCTCCAGATCCAGACTGCATGGAGAAGACATAGAGCCAGAGAGCTCTTCCTCCGCCAGCGGGATGCCACCATCCGCCTGCAGGCTGTGGGTAGAGGCTATCTGGCAAGACAGAGGTACAGTACACAGTTATCTTTTTTCTACAGATACCTGCTCTGGTCACACTAATTGCTTAATAATACAACTCTCAAATGCACACCAGTCAACAATCTGATACAGAGTATTTACTGGTGGTCTGCCAAGCAAATATGTGGTTTGTTCAAGGCTGAAAGTGCCTAAGTATTCCGCACAAAGTTTAGTAAAGTTGCTAGTTTGGTAACTGTTTACTGGTACAAATATTTAATTGTTTTACATAGTGGCAGAACAAGCTATATTCTGGCAAGTGAATGTGTAGTACAACTTACAGCATAGCACATTCACTCACATAAAGCAGTACTTTGCAAACAGAATAATTGATATTTGATTGCATTTCAACTTCAAACTCACCAGAGAGCAGCAATATACTGTTCAAGTTAGTTTAGACATGTTTTCTGTTTGTATATTATCATTATTATTATTATTATTATTAGGAGTAGTAGTAGTCGTGGTAGTGGTTCTAGTGGTATATGATGAAAAGTGCTATGTAAATACATAGATTTTTTTCCCACTTTGTACCTTGTCTAACCATTTTTTAAATTTTCTTATAATATTCAGATTTAGAGAGCTTCAAAAGCAGAGATTAAAAATAACTCATCTGCCGAATGGAAAGGCTAGTTTGTTAACAGAAGAGGACAAGCTTGAAGACATGGGTTTGGATGCGAGCATGTTGGAAGACTCCTTTGAGGAGCAGGACAGGAGCAAACAGGCTCTCAGTAGTGCAGTAGAGGCATCTGGAGCAGGTGTTTTGGAAGAGATGGAGGTAGAGATGATGGAGGGCATGGCACCAGCACAACCTTCCCCTGAAGTGACAATCCGAGAGAGGCCGCGGACTCTAGAGGATCCCAACCAGAGGACACGAGCCAAGCGGGAGAGCCGGCGGATGCGAGAGCTGGAGCAGGCCAAATTTAGCTTGGAACTTCTTAAGGTGCGGTCCACTGGAGGAACGTCTCCTTCGGACGAAAGGCGCTGGTCAATGGAGCTGGTCAGCGAGATCGCTCACACTCCTCAGGGTACTCCAGACAGCCAGAGCTCTAAAGGCAGCTTTGAGCTACTCAATATAGATGACTATTTCAAAGACAAGGCACCTTGTGCTGAACCAGAGGACCTTGGTTCTCCTTCTTCTGTGCCTGACCAGCACAATGTGTTGCCCTCTGACACTTCCACACCTGATATCTTGTCCAAACCAGATGACCAATCTAAACCTCCCAGAATGCAATATTCACTTCCAACTTTCTACACACCTCCATCCGAAAGTAGCTCTCTAGTCATAAAGTCTACCACCAATTCAGTCACCCCGTGCCCTGATGGCCTTAGCAAGCCTTCGAAAGACAAGAAGGAGTCCACTCGGAGACCCATGGTTGTGGTTATTAGTATGCAGAAGGAAACTCTTTTAAATGAAGCAGATGTAAAGCCTCTAGAGGTCAAAGACAGCGCTGCCCAGACCAGCGAGCCACCCAGCCCAGCACAACCTAGCACTGACAGCAGTTACGTCCTGGAGAAGCTAGAGAAACTCAACGAGGAGAAGGAAGAGAGGCAGAAGCATCAACGACAACAAAATGAAAAAGAGATGATGGAGCAGATCCGTCAACAGACGCACATCCTAGAAGAACAACGTAGGAATTTAGTCCAAAACGAGAGGGAGAAGTTAGAAAAGCAGAGAGCCGAGACTCTGCGAAGGATCGAGCAAAGTAGACAGGAGAGTTCTGGAGGAAGGACAGACAGACCTGCTCCCATTGCCCAGCCAGAGCCTGACCTCACCTCCCAGAGACCAGCCCGAGAAAAGGACGGTGCTCCTCTGATTCTCAGAGACCGACCAAAGGACGCACAGAATTTAGCAGAAGGGTGGGCACCCAAGTTGACTTTGGAATCCAGAGGGGATGAAGCCAGAAGTAGAATAAATAAGAAACCGTCCAATCAGAATGTCAACATCAGCATGTCTGAAAGGCCAGGAAACATCTTCTTTTCTCCAAAGACTAAGATTGCCTACTCAAAGTAAGTGATAAGCTTCATGCGACATGACAACCTCATCACACTAGTTTTCAAACTAGTTCATTGCAAAACCCTTATTTCATACCTTTATACATTAATATTCCCAATGACTCTGATTTTATTTCTTTTGTGTAGTGAAATGGCAGTAAAATTTCGCAAGATAAAAAAAGTAAAATTATTCTCAGTTGTATTGTGTTATTATAATATAGGTATATACAGTAATAGTATGGTGCTGTTTTTATTCTTGTGGTTAGTCTGTTCTTCAGCGCCATTTTATTTTGCTCATCAACTGGCAGTCAGTGAAGTCAAATGCAGTCACCAGACTACCTGTAGCTAAGACTAATAAGCCAGGATAATATACATTTTGAGGACTTTGACTTGAAACTTACTACTTAGAATACTGCGTGTTACAAGTTTAATTTAAAGTTTGTAAAACTACTATTAAGCTATTGAAAGAGGGAGCATTTTACTGTCAAGCAAACAATAAGTACTGTACCTTAGCTTTTTTGGGTAAATTGTCCATTGTTGTTCTCAAAGTGGCTATTAAAGTCATGCTAAATAATATTCAAGCTAATACTATTTTAATATGATGTTATTATTTGAACATGATATATTATAATGATTATTAATCATGTTATTATTATTAATCATGTTATAATTAATGTTATTAATACATAACCACAATACAAATTATTTAAGTTCAGTTGTTAAGCTGGTGAAAGAAAGGGAAACGTTAAAATTTGGCTGGGCATCGATGGATATGCTCTTCAGTGTTTGGACTTTCAGCAGTAAAAATCAAACACACTGAACTAAACTAAACTGAACTTCAACTCAGACTCCACTGACACATTTTCAATTTAGTAGAACTTCAATGTTAAGCTGGTTTTACAATACCTACATTGTAAAAGTGCTCTAGAAATAAAGATGACTTGAATTGAATTAAAGTGGGAACCCTGTTGAGAGATGTTTGAAGCATTTCTTACACACAATTCACTTTCAAACCAAGCAGGGTGTTTGTATTATTAAACTTGTGTAATTGACTAATTTGATAGCAGTGACATGTAAGAGAATCTCATAAATCTTATGCCATCATGTGACACCAAAGAAAATCTTATTACTATTGGAATATCACCACACAACTTGCACAAAAAGGATACATGTAATATGGGATTAACGTCAAATGTAATATTAGGCTTCTTGAGGGTGCTAGCTTTAAATATGCATGAATATCAATTGGATTTCTGCACAAAAGCTAATTATAAGAGTGCGTGTTTGAATTTAAAAGCATGACATTTTTTTTTTTTTTTTTAAATAAATAACCCTCAACCTTCTTGAACTTGTTTTAGGCTGAATAAGGACTTGGCCAATCAAGAAAAAACACCAGGAGCCCAGAATGAAGTGAGCCTTTTGGGTTATAAATCCACAAAGACTGAGGTGAGCGAAAGAGTAAAACTTTAGGCCATCATAGATCGTAAATAGCTTTTCATTCTTTTTCCTCATAAATAAATGTTTGAACTCTTTCTCCCTCATTATGAGGATGTGGAGGGGGTCACCTGAATCTTGGTTCACATGGGGAGCACCTTCACTTTTTTTACTATCATTTGGTCAATTAGGTTGGCAGACCAGGTCATAAAAAAGCCCGCATGGCACGGACACGTTCAGACTTCCTCACCCGCAGCTCAAGCACCCAGGGAGAGGGGGAGTCAGAGGAGGAGGAGTACGATGAGACCCCTCTGTACGCTGGCACACCCCTCCCCAAGCAGGATTCAGAGGAGAGCGCAGTAGAGGCTTGTCACAGTGACTCCGAAATGGTAATTAGATGGTCTGTGTGAGCGGATGCAGACCCACCAGCAAGATCTCTTTCTCTCTTCGGCTAACTCCTCCAAAAGAGCCTGATAGATCGCCTTACTGACCACCTGAAACGCTTCCACGCTTCCTGTGCAGCTGAAGGATCTAGGCTTTCAACCACAGATGCCGAAATACCTGTTGAAGCTATTCTTATCTATGATGGCAGACATAGACATACAAATAAAGTATTCACTGCAGAGAATCATTTACATTCTAATTAGAACTATCAATTAATTCAAGCAAAACAAATATTTAAAAAAATTCTCAGCTAGTTATAAATACTGTAATCTTTAAGTTACTCTCACTTAACAAAAATTCTATTCGTTTATTTAAAGGATTAAGTGTGATTAATTGTGCAATTTCTACCTCTTGAGGGCTTGTGTTCGCAACAAGTAATGATGTATAGTGATGACGCCATTACTGAGTGTAGAATCATGGGAGTTGTTATCTTCATTACATTCTGCGATACTCCTGGGCTGCGTCCTACTACTGCACTGTACTACTTAGCCGTTCTCTACAGTATGAATGTGAAAAGTATGAATGGAATTCGGGCGTACTACATCCGCCATTTTGTCATGGTCACATGACCTACCTGCATCAGTTGCATCTCTTTACTCCCATTCATGAATTCTCTCGCAGGGCATCATGGGATAGTGCAGCATGCGTGAAATACGCACCTCAGAATCTCGCCGGAAGTAGTAAGTCATCCGGGTACTTCTCGCATACTGATTTTCAAATTCTATGAATCCGGACATATTACTCGGCTCGCATACTGATTTTAGCGTACTATACAAGATGGAAGTATGCAGTTTCGGACGCAGCCCTGCAGAAATCATGTTCATGGTTGAGCCAGAGCACAGGTGTCAAACCAGAGCTCTGCACAGTTTAGCATCAACTCTAATTAAATACACCTGATCGAACTAATTGGGTTTGCCAGGCTTGTTTTAAACCTGCAGGTAAGTGTGCTGAAGCTGGGTTGGAGCTAAACTGTGCAGGGGTGCGGCCCTCGAGGAACTGAGTTTGACACCGCTGAGCTAGAGTATTCAAAATGTATTAGCAGAGTAAGGCTGAAAGCCATCAAAGCTAAACGAGAGCACTAAAGTAATTGGTTATAAAATACAAGCGTGACGGGGTACAAAAACGTTGGAGCTTTTATTATGCCACTCTTAACCACTTCCGGTCATTCCAGTCATGATCATGTGGAGAAAAAGCAGCACTATTTTATGTTTTTTTAATTAATTAATTAAATTTTTTTTTTTTGTTGCAAAACGTTTTCATCACATAACAGGGAACAATCAGCATATCAAGGCATGCTTACATTAAAATAAATTAAATACATTAAACTGTTACAACCGCAACAAGGAGCAGTACAAAAGACCTACATCAAATGAAAAAAAAAAAAAAAAAACATTACCACAAAGATTCTGAAAATAAAATATAGAGAGCTTTAGTTATTTTATTTAGGTTTCTGAAGTATTTGAAGCTTTGAGCCACTCTCACTACAAAAACACCTAAAAGAGGTCCTGCAATTTTTTCATTTACAATAACGATTTACCCATTAGTAAAATAAAGTTCACAACATCAGAGAAAGCAAAATGTAAATCGCCTTTGTAAAATAATATATCTTCTAAATCATCTTTAGTGAAAGCCAAGTATCGATGTAGAACCAGAATTTAAAAGTAAATTCACAAGAAAAAGAATCCAAGTGATCAAGTGTTTCTGGAAGATTTGAACAGAAGCTAAGCTTTTCAACATCAAAGTTAAATCTTTTTTGAATAAACTCATTCACAGGAGATATCCTAAATAGAATTCTGTAATGAGTTTTCTTAACATTAGGTGCTATAAGAAGCACTTTTTAATCAAACTAAATACAGTTTAAGGTTCTCCTATAATGCTGGTCAGTGCTTAATAAATCTACAACAGAGTATCTTTGGCGTTTTCATGTTGATACATAAGTACTTTTAGTAAAAAAAAACACTGTTCTAGTTGATTGTGGATTTTATTTATGATTTATTTTATTTTATTTTATTTTATTTTACAAATTGTTACTTTTAAAAATTAAAAGAAAGTTACTTTTTGCTTTTTGCATTGGGCAGTATGGCAGCAAATCTTGGACTTTATCCTGACATCTGGTGGTGTGGATGTACTGTAGCTTCTTTTTATGTATTTACTAGCACAACTGCACAAGTCATTCATGAGAAGGTGTATTTGCAATCCAACACTAAAGTGCCCCTTAATTAAAAATGTAGCTGATAATATACAGTTTTCTCAGCTATTTTTTTGTAAAAAGGCTAATGACGTCATAAACGCTAGAAAATGGAAATACACACTAATATGTTGGCCGTTTATTTGTTTATCTATTTATTTATTCATTTATATTTATTATTTAGATATTTTTTTATTAAATAATTTTTTTATTGATTCATTTATTTTTATTCATTTATTTATTGTTATAGTTATATTTTACTAATGGGTATATATATATATATATATATATATATATATATATATATATATTATTTATTTATTTATTTTTTTTAAATAAATAACTTTTTATTTATTTAGTTATTGTTAATTGTATTAATTTGCCCATTTTATTAGACTGCACTAAGCAGCATTATAACAGAACTCTAAAATTAATTTAGTTTGATAAAACAGTGCTGCATCTTTACCACATTATCATGACTAGATTAACCGGAAGTGTTCAGCTGTTGCATAATAAAAGCTTTGCTGCTTTTGTGTCGCATCACGCCCGTCTCATCATTTGACTTTAATATCTTTCAGCTTTGCTCGGCTTCATGCTACCTTGATTTTAGATTTAAATACTTTAGCTCATCCATGAACATGAATTTTCAGAAGTCCTGTATGATATAATGAAGATAACTCCTATGATTTTAAAGTTAGTCACAGCGTCATCGGTACACATCATTGTTTGTTGTGACTACACACCCTCTAGAGGTGAATATAATTTTCTTTAATCCTTTACAGTATAAATAAACTAATTTCTATTAGGGTATGAGTTACGATAAGGTTACAGTATTTATAACTAGTTGAGAAGAAAATGCTAGATTTGTTGTGTTTTAATTAATTGACAGCTCTAACTAAAATGCAGTGTCTCTCGGCGTCATTAAACTACACCTTTGTTTGTTGTGAATTTGCACCCTCTAGTGGTAAAAATTAAATGAATTTTGCCTGAATTACTGAATCATCCAGCCACACAGATCAGGATGGCTTCTATCAGAATATTGCTTTTTTTCTCCGGATACAAAAATTGTATAACTTTTAACCCACACTGCTCTCTTCACATTCAGACCACGCTGCTTGACTAGAGATATAAAAGCTTCTGTATGCTAGTTATTATAGGTCGCTTCTTCCTGAACAACCAAGACCTTCAACTGCGACATGATTCTGCTTTTCACACTCTCACCTTGGATAAAGAGTACTGCATGCTTTAACATTTACTGTAGCTCTTCTCTTCTGCAACACTTTACCAAGGCTAAAGCCGCGGACCTGTCCTAGCAGCACATTCTTTATTTCTTCTGATTCTGTAGTTATTGCCATATGTTCTGTAGCTCTTTTCAATAATTACTCTTTTCAGTCTTTTGAAGTCTTTCCAGCCAGTAGAATTTTGTTATTATTTGGGTGATTGTATAAAACGGATGCCTCTTCCATATGAAGGAATAATTATTTAATTTATATAATGTATTTGTTTGCACTAGTTGTGAATCAATGCTCATAATTGTGCAGTTATTCATTTATAAATAATCCTTATGCAGGGTATCTGCAGGCCCTAAAAAGTCTTAAATTTCAAAATCAAAATTGTAGGTCTTAAAAGTCTTAAATTTGCTGAAATATCGTTTTGTAGGTCTTAATATTAAACAGGTCCTAATTTAATGTCTCTTCCTTACAATTACTTTTTTTTTATTATACTCAAATGATTTAACTGTGTCATTAGAAAAATTCCTTAGTGTTTAGTCTAGTGTTAGTCATTTTATTTTTTCATTTATAAAGGTCTTAAAAAGCTCTTAAAATGTCTTAAATTGTACTTGATGAAACCTGTAGACACCCTGCAGATATACAGTTGAAGTCAAAATTATTAGCTTTTTTTTTCCCCCCAGACATTTCCTAAATGATGTTTAACAGAGCATAAAAAAATAAATAAATAAATAAATAAAAATTATATATATATATATATATATATATATATATATATATATATATATATATATATATATATATATATATATATATAGTTTTTTAATTTTTTAAAAACCATTTTAAGGTCAATATTATTAGTTCCACTAAGCAATGTTTTTTTTTTTCAGTTGTCTACAGAACAGACCACTTTTATACAGTGACTTGCCTATTTTACCTAGTTACATAATTGCTACAGTTGCTACCTAGTTAAATATTGCCTAGTTACATGAGTACTAGTACCTTGAAAAATAACTAGTAAAAAATTATGTGCTCTCATCATGGCAAAGATTTAAAAAATCAGTTATTAGAAATCAGTTATTAAAACTAAAAAAAAAAACAAAACAACTTATTTGCGTTGAACAGAAATTGGGGAAAAAATACAGTGGGGCTAATAATTTAGTAGGGCTAGTAATTCTGACTTGTATGTGTTTTATAGAAAATGTTAGTATTTAAATGTTAAATATAAATAAATAAATAAATAAATAAATACAAATATATATATATACCACATGTCTTTGTACTGTGGGGGAATATATATATATATATATATATATATATAGATAAACAAATAAATAAATAAATATAAATAAATAAATAAATATAATTGCATAAATATAAATACATTTAATAAAACAAATAAATGAAAATAAACGTCTATTCCAATGAAATTGCATTATATTGGTAGTTTGTCTGGACTGAAATTTCTGATTAAAAAAAAGAAAAGAAGTTCCTTGATGGTTCAGAATACATCTATAATGATACAAAACAAGTAGTTAATTGATTTACACTCAGGTCACCTTAGTTAAATGCTGTTGTTATTTCTGCTTAAAGCTTTAAAAATAGATTTCTTTCCCTAGTCATATGCTATCATTAAAGTGCACTTTCATTGTGCGCCGCTGGTTAGTTTTAGTGCATTAGTGTTCTTGAAGAAATTGATTTAACCACTTAGTGTCTTCAGACTATGCTAAGGAGCAACACATGTTCTTGGTCTTTGTGCCCATTGCAAATATTTCAAAATGTCACTGTCTGCAAGCAAATGATAGCTGAAGTGAAAGGAAGAGGCAAAGTGTCCACTAAATGGCTTACGTTGAACTGCTGAAGAGGTTTTACAGAGCAAACCAACATGCTGATTATTGTATATATTAATATGTTTCAGCTGACCACAGCCGCTGAGGAGCAGAAGAACAGATGTAAAACCCTGCCGTCTGGAGAGCTGGGCAAACACGACACCAGGAAGAACTCTCACGGAGATGGAAGGTGCTTCTTTTGTTGTTTTGTTTTTATTTGTTTTAAGCAATAATTTTTTGTCTTTGTTTATTTACACTCATTTTGCTTAAGAACTGTTTTGTTTTGTTTTTGGTATGGTTTTGGTTTGCTTGTCTTCTCTGATTTAATATGTGTTAGACTGCCTCTTGAAGTGGTCAAAAGTGGACAAGTTTTATTTACAGCTGTTAAGGAGTTTAGTGTTGTCCAGTTCCAGTGTAATGGGTAACAACAAAAAGTCTAAAAGTGTAAAGTGTAAAAAATAAGTACAAGAATGTTCCATTTACTTTTCCAAAAATGACTATGTATGTATGTATGTATATATATATATATATATGTATGTATGTATGTATGTATGTATGTATGTATGTATGCATGCATGTATGTATGTATTTAATTATATTTATTTGTTTATATATTAGTACAGTGGTTCTCAAACTTTTTTTTTTTATCAAGAACCACCTCAGAAAAAATTGTCTCTCCAAGTACCACCAGGATGAGCAGTATTGAAATATAGTAGCGTAGTGGGCCCAGTAAAGCAGCAACAGCTCTGTACAGTTCAAAAATGTGGCAGATTAATTCCTATTATTAAGAATATTTATTAATGTCAGCCACTTTAAACTTGATAAATAGTTTGAACATTAAAACTGTACTGTGCTTATATGTAAAAAATTAAATAAAGAAATAAAACTAAGAATGTCAACATTTTAATTAAAATGTGCTTTTAAAGGTAAAAAATGGTAGATTACTGTTTTTAAAAAGTAAAAACGAAAACTGCTGTACTTAAATGTAAAGTATTAACATACAACCTATTTATCAACACATGGAAATGTTGCCTGGACCTCATAAATATAGACTATATGTCATCATATTAATATATAAATCATTTTTGATAGATTTTAAAATATTTAGCATGTACATATTTGAAATATGACATATTTGATTCCTCTGCGTACCACTAGAAGGAAGCCCACATACTGTTGAAGAACCACTGTATTAGTATATATTCTTTATTTCTTTTTGTTTTTTTTATTATTTATTTATTTATTTTATTAATATGTATTTATTTGTTCACTTACATTGTTGTATTTATATATTTATATATATATATATATATATATATATATATATATATATATATATACAAATAAAAATATATAAATACAACAATGTAAGTGAACAAATATATATATGTGTGTGTATATATAGGTGTATTTATTTTTATTTATTTTTATTTATTTTTTATTTATGTATTTATTTATTTTGTTGTTTATTTAAATGTATATATTTATCCATATTTATTTATTTGTTAGTTTATTTTATATTTATACATGTTTATACCTATTCATTTGTATGTGTGTGTGTTTGTGTGTGTGTGTGTGTGTGTGTGTCTGTGTGTGTCTCTGTGTGTGTGTGTGTGTGTGTGTGTGTGTGTGTGTGTGTGTGTGTGTGTGTGTGTGTGTGTGTGTGTGTGTGTGTGTGTGTGTGTGTGTGTGTGTGTGTGTGTGTAAAATGTTCTTTTCTTGTCCACATGATATTGTTTTTAGGGTCCGTGGTAAAATGCGGTTTTGGGGAAAGGCAAAGAATGCGGAGAAGAAGAGCTCTCGAGAACGGTTGTTGTGTGGCAGCGATACTTTAGAAGGAGACTACACTGAAGCGACACTTCTGATGGAAGAGGGTGAGACGAGGGGAAAACTGCTTAGTTAAATGTTTAGCGTATAATCAGATGAACTCGTAAAAACGTTTTTTTATTGCTGTCATATGCTTATTCAGGGGTAGAGCGCCTGTCTCCTCCTCACAGCCCAGACCTGACATTACAGAGGGAGTTTAAGGAGAACAAAGAGCCGTCCCCAAAAGTGAAGCGCAGGCGAAGTGTGAAGATCAGCAGCGTGGCTCTGGAGCCCGTCCAGTGGCAGAACGATGCCCTGCAGATACTCACATGCACCAGTGACTACAAGAGCATGAACGATTTTCTCATGAAGAAGGTGCATGACTTTTCTACTTCAGTTTTTTCAAGCCGTATGGACGCATCGGTGAGAGAATGCCCTCATATAACCTTGTTTTGTTCTCACAGATTACCGATTTGGACACAGAAGATGGGAAGAAAGACACAATGGTGGATGTTGTCTTCAAAAAGGCACTAAAGGAGTTCCGCGTGAATATCTTCAACTCATACTCCACGGCTTTAGCTGTAAGTACTGTAATAAAGCATTATATTTACTTTTACCTCTCAAATTCTTCATTCTATCAACTTTTATTGGAAACTTTAAGGTCGAGTCATTATATCCTTTTAAAGGAATCCAAAAAAAGAAATCACACTCACAATTTACATACCCTCAAGTTTTTTTTTCATCTAACACAGAGGTAGATATTATGAAGAATGTTGAAGCATTAGCTATGTTTTCATTCGTTGATGTAAATTCAATTTTAGCAAAAAATTTTAATATATCACACAATCTTTTTACAAATACATTTTTCCATCCAATGAGTCAAAGAGAACAGGATGATGGACTTTGGCTACAAGTTTTTAGAGTGACCAAAACAACATTACAGGTATTTTATAATGTGACTAACGAATGAATAATGAAACATAGCTAATGTCTACCATTTTTCAACATCTTTAAAATGTATTCTAATGGTTCAAGAAAAGAAAGAAACTCAAACAGATAACATGGTAGGGATGGGATGGCATGTGTTTTGCTTGTTGTTATGTCACATTGTGTCTGGCTTGGACTCGAAATTAGATTTACTTTATTGTTTTTGTTTCATGTAGATGGATGATGGGAAGAGCATTCGTTATAAGGATCTCTATGCCCTCTTTGAGCAAATCCTGGAGAAGAACATGCGCCAGGAGCAGAGGGACTGGAGTGAGTCACCGGTGAAAGTTTGGGTCAACACCTTCAAAGTGTTTCTGGATGAGTTCATGACCGAACACAAACCTCTGGACAGCAGTCTGGGCAAGGTAACACATAAAAAGCCTCAATGACACTCATCACAAAATAGGGTGTGAAGAAAGTGACCGTGGAAAAGGACACAAAGTGACATACGCCAATCCCATGTTTAAGAGAGTTTGAGATCATTTGAGCTTTGTGACTGTGTTTTCCTGCTGGATACCAAAAAAAAAAAAACTTAGCTTACATCATGTCACCACTGGAGATGCTAAAGGCATAATGGTGCCTTTTTTTGTCAAGAAATTAGTCAATTACCTTCAAATGCACGGCTTGAACATGGAAGGGATTCGTAAGTCTGGATCTAACAAGCAATGTCTAGACACAGGTATGAGGTATAAGGGCTGGTTTATAGTTCTGCATTGAGTGATCGGCGTGACCCACAGTGTATGCCTTGCGCGTACTGGTGCATTTATACTTCTGCGTGCTGTTTGTGTTGCTCTGTAATAACACTTGCGCTAAATGCTAGATGCCAGTAGGTGTTTGTTCCGCTGTGTCGAGTATCTTCACTGGTGTATTGTTTTTTCTGAACACTACCTTAATGTACAAGTAACTAATACTCACTCATTTAGAGGCAGGAACCGGCTGATGTGCAACAACTTTAATCATAAGGAAAACACAAAACAAAAAATCCTTTACTGGACTTCACACTTGAAAACGCTAGCTCCATCAGGTTCAAGCAGTCCACGGCCCATCCACACTTGTCACAGCTACCAAGCTGACCAATCACAGAGCTTGTGCTATGCATTGCTGTGGAATGTAGTTTTATTTTTTGAGAGGTGCACGGCAGCGTCAGCATTAGCCACGAAGAGGGGTCTGTGACCACACTAAGGCTGCACCGGACCATATGCCTGCAATAACGCAGAAGTATAAGGGGTCGATCACACACTCCCTTTTTTGTTGACATAAAAAATAAGCGCTGTACACTATTTATGTTGCTAGGCAACGACTGAATCAGCTGGGTATTGTGCGCAAGTGTTGCTGTTGATATTGATATAATTTATATATGTAATATTATTGTGATTTTCAAGATTTGTGAGTCATACAGCAGTGGATAACTCAAAACAGCAACCACCGTAGTTGTCTTGTCAACTACAAACCCTGCTTCTGCTTTCATTTGATTGGAGAATGAAAAAAGACATGATTCAATTCAATTCAATTCAGCTTTATTTGTATAGCGCTTTTACAATGTAGATTGTGTCAAAGCAGCTTCACATAAATGGTCATAGTAACTGGAACAGTGTGGTTCAGGTTTTAGTGTTTAAGTTCAGTTCAGTTCAGTTTAGCTCTGTTCAGTGTGATTTAATCATTACTGAGAGTTCAAACACTGAAGAGCAAATTCATCGATGCGTAGCTCTACCAATCCTGAACCATGCGAGGCAGTGGCGACAGCGGAGAGGGAAAAAAAACTTCACCTGATGGGAGTGAAGAAAAAAAACCTTGAGAGAACCAGACTCAGTTGGGCACGACCATTTTAATTTCTCCGCTGGCCAAAAGTCTTGTGCAGAAATTCATTCGCCGTGGTTTATGCTGGAAGATGGCCTCAATGAAGACTCGTCTGTCCCTGGAGCGTCGCTGGAATCAGACTCATGTTCTCCACTCCCCATGACCATCAGCGCAGCAGCAGCTCAGGATATGGCCTGGTCCCGAATATGGAATCCTTGGGATCATCACGTCGCTGGTCTTGGATCCAATCAGTGACTCCGCCTAATCTGAGGACCTCGGGATGAGTATCCCCAGGTGAAAATAGAGAATAAAGAGAATAATTAGCGTAGCTGCTGTTCATAGTGTATATAAGCAAGATGTAGAAGCCAGTGTGGAACCCGCTAGGTGATGCATTGAGTGTATGCTTTACTAAACAGATAGGTCTTTAATCTAGTTTTGAACTTGGAGAGTGTGTCTGAGCCTCGGACATTACCAGGAAGGCTATTCCAGAGTGTAGGAGCCATGAAAGAGAAGGCTCGACCTCCTTTACTTGATTTTGCTATTCTAGGTACTACCAGAAGCCCTGAATTTTGAGATCTTAAGGAGCGAGTTGGTTCGTAGCGAGACAGAAGGTTGGTTAGATAAACAGGAGCTAGATTATTTAGAGCTTTATAGGTGAGAAGTAATATTTTAAATTCAATACGAAATTTAACAGGCAGCCAGTGTAAGGAGGATAAAATTGGGGTTATATGATCATATTTTCTGGACCTGGTCAGAACTCTGGCTGCTGCATTTTGTACTAATTGAAGTTTGTTAATAGAGGATGCTGGGCAGCCAGCAAATAGAGCATTACAGTAATCCAGTCTCGAAGTCATAAAAGCATGGACTAGCTTTTCTGCATCTGAGATGGATAGCATATTTCGTAATTTAGCGATATTTCTCAGATGAAAGAAGGCAGTTTTTGTGACATGGGATATATGGTTTTTAAAAGTTAGATTGCTGTCTAATATGACACCCAGATCTTTTATAGTAGAGCTAAAGCTAACTTTGTATCCCTCTAACTGAACATGACAGATGTAATGCACCTTTTCCACTCAAAAACGGCAGGCACTGCAGGCGATTACACTGTGAGGTGTGCAGTGCGCATGAGCAACGTGCAAAACATTCACAATCGTTAGTAAATCATTCAAAAAAGGCGCGTCTCAGCGCAAGAAGTTTGGTGTGATCAGCCATTAAGGGCACAATCACACCGAACTTGCTTTTCTATTCTAAGAACGTGAGGCGCACCACACCGTCTTTTTTTTTGTTGACAAGAAAAAAAGTAGTGCAGTGTTCCTTTTCATGTCTCTAGGCAACGAATGAATCAGCTTTGAATTGTGTGCCAGCGTTGCTGTTGATATTGGTATAATTTAAATATTGAATATTATTGTGATATTGAATATTTGTGAAGTGTTAAAACTGAACTAGAACTGAATAGAACTGAAATGACATTTCAAACTAAATCCAACTGAAATGAAGTTGGTTTTAAGTTGAGCAAAGCAAACTTTTGGGAAACGTATGTTTTGGCTCCTAAACAAAAGCTACATTTGTCTATTGCGTTTGCGTTCTAGAACTACTTTAATTTCTTCCCTGTCTCCTTTTTCATTCCACGATAGTCAGCCAGTTCAATTCAATTCACCTTTATTTTTTTATTATTGCTTTTACAATGTAGATTGTGTCAAAGCAGCTTCACAGAGAAGATTATAGTGATTTGAAACAGTGTCATTTCCGTTTTCAGAGTTTAAGTTCAGTTTAGCTCAGTTCAGTGTGGTTTAACATTAACTGCTGAGAGTCCAAACACTGAAGAGCAAATCCATCGATGTGCAGCTCTACAAGTCCCGAACCATGCAAGCTAGCGGTGAGGAATAAACTTCACCAACTGACGAAAGTGAAGGATAAAAAAAACTCTAGAGAAACCAGGCCCAGTTGGGCACGACCATTTCTCCTATGGCCGAACATCTTGAGGGTGTTCAAGTTTGTTGCACTACGTCTTTTTTATGAGTGTGTGTATGGCATTTGGTGTCTGTCCATGGCACTTTTCGTGGAGAAGGTTGTTTGCCAAAGGTGCTTTAGCACACAGTTATTTCTGGCTACGAGACACTAAAAAGTTAGTAAGATTTATGCTTTAAACCAGGGTTTTTATACTAAAGCCTCCCCAAATTTTAAATATTTTACTAAAAGTTAGTAAAAAGTTTAAGGTAGACACTTGGTATTTAAAAATGATTTAAAATCATTATACCACAGAAGATGCAAATTCTGTCCTGACTATCTGATTGTTACAGCAGAAATCAAGACTCTTCAGACCGATTAACTTTTTTCCCAATCTTCAGTTGTCCAGTTTTAGAGAGCTTATGTAAACTGTAACTGTAATTGATGTGGTTTTCTGCCGCTGTAGCTCATCTGGTTTAAGGTTTGACATGTGGTCCATTGAGAGATGCTTCTATATAAACCTCAATTGTGTTTTTTTAGGGATATTGTTGCCTTTCAATCAGCTAAAAATAGTCTGATCATTCTCCTCTGGCTTCGACAAGCTTTTTTAAAAAAAAAAATTTATGATGGTTATTTTTTCCTCCCTTAGGCACCCAAACCAGACCGCAAGAAGAGAAGGAAAAAAGACACTGACGTAGTAAGTGGAATTACTGTCAGAGGTTTTGTGTACTGAATTAGCGTTTAGGTTTTTTTTTCTTTTCGAAAATCAACTGACACTGGCGCCTTTGTTTGTTTCAGGTAGAGGAACACAACGGCCACATATTCAAGTCCACTCAGTACAGTATTCCCACCTACTGCGAGTACTGCTCCTCCCTCATCTGGATGATGGACAAGGCGTGTGTCTGCAAACGTGAGTTTCTTGTCTGCAGTCTCCTCATCAAAGTGACCCTGAACTCAATTCGGCATAATCAGATTGTTTACCAACAAGTCCATGGCCTCTCGACTCGAAGAGCAGAACAGAGAACAGTTCGGCTTTGTAGAGCAGGCTGTTTTCCGCCATGTTACAGTGAGAGAGGAATGTTGGCTTGAATTGAGTTTATTTTAGGTGGTGGTGCCTTATTTTTTTGTTGTTAAATCTAAACTGTTTGTTCTGACGTGAAAAATGAGAATGAATGAGATGTCTGTGTCTTGTGTAGTGTGCCGCTATGCGTGTCACAGAAAGTGCTGTCAGAAAATGACCACCAAATGCAGCAAGAAGGTAAGGAATTTTTCTTTCCGCTAAGTGTTTTCATGTGATTGGGGCTGTTATAAAAGATGCCGACGATTACAGCATAATGCTCTCTTTCCGTGCACAGTATGACCCAGAACTTTCGTCGAGACAGTTTGGCGTGGAGTTGTCCCGTCTGACCAACGACGAGCGAACGGTGCCTTTAGTTGTCGAGAAACTCGTCAATTATATTGAAATGCACGGCCTGTACACGGAGGGGATCTACAGGAAGTCTGGATCCACCAATAAGATTAAGGAACTGAAGCAGGGTCTGGACACAGGTATGACGCATGACAAGACAGATTTCTGGCTGCACGACAATTAAGTTATTAAAGTGACAGTTCACCTAAAAGAGTTCAACCTTTAAAATATAGATTTTTCTACTATGGACGTCAATGGTTACAGGTTTTATCTTTTTTTCAATCTTTTTTAACAAAATAAAGAGCATTCATCAGGTTTGGAATCACTTAAGTGTGAATTAATCGAGTAAAAGTTCATTTTTGGGGGGTGAACTACCGCTTTAAGGTTTTTAGACTGATGCCAAATTTCTATTTTGGGAAAGATCTAGCTACTAAAGGTTATAATAAGATGATGAATTAAGTTATATTATAAATTAAGTTACAATAAGCTCAACTTGGTTTAAGTTTTCTGAAAGCATCTCTTAATCTAATGCAGTTTTACTTTTTAACGAAATCCATCTAAAGGATAGTTCACCCAAAAATAAAATTTCACTAATGTGAACTCGCCCTCAATTAGGGTTGTGCAATGAATCAAAATCGAATCGCATCCGCATTTTGAAAAGTTGCGATTAGCTAATTGTATGAGGCTGAAATATGTATATATATGTATGTATATGTGTATTATTTATTGACCCCCACCCAGAGCAAATGCGTTACTGCCATTTGTATGTGATAGTCTTACTAGCCACTTGAGTGAGCACACTTTTATTCTGTCCAATCAGAAATGTGCAACCACACTATGCTGAACGGCCACAATAAAAACAAACAGATGGATGAGTTGAGATGATGGCATTCGCCGCTTCAGAAGGATTAACAGACAAATTAATATCAAAGAAAAACAGGACATCGGTAATATGGGAATATTTTGGTTTCAAAGTCACAGACGCTGAACAGAAACACCAGAGGTGGCTATATGAGGAGTGTTTTGCTAAAAAGTCAGCTGAAATTGTTGCCAGTGAAACTCAATCTAGTAGCAACAACAGCAAAGTACAATTTCAGAGTTGTTTCAGCCATGTTAGTTTGCTAAGTGTTCTGTATTTATACATGTATACATATTTTTATACAACAAGCTTCACTAATTTACGTTCAACTTGTTTACAGAAAGTTAAAGAAGGTATTTTTATTTGTTTACTGTTTGCTCTAGAGAAAAATGAGTGTTTCATTCCTAAACATTTCCTTTTTTCCTATTGAATAACTGTACCGAATACTCGTTGCATTTTAGCAGTAAGAAGCTATGATACAGATTATTAAGCTGAAGCTTAACTACAAAATTAAATTGCAAATCAAATCAAAATAATCGCAATATCTTTAAAAACAAATCACAATTAGATATTTTCCCCAAATCGCACAGCCCTACCCTCAATTGTTCCAAAAATTCCTTTATTCTGTTGAACACAAAATAAGATATTATAAACTGAAAACTGACAACCATTGACATCCCTAGATGTAAAGACAAATACTGTAAAAGTCAGTGGTTAATGGTTTCCAGCTTTCTTCAAAATATCTTAATAAGTAAGCCAAACAGTTTTGAGGGAAAAGTAAAGGGTGAGTAAATGACAGATTTTTTTAGTTTTGGGTGAACTAACTCTTTAAGGATGTTAAATAGTTTTTACTAGAACACTATATTCACATCTTTATATTTAAGCAACATCTTCTTTTCTATTATCTTGTGCCTTCAGATGTAAATGGTGTAAATCTGGACGACTACAACATTAACGTGATCGCCAGCGTTTTCAAGCAGTGGTTACGTGACTTGCCTAATCCTCTGATGACCTTTGAACTGTATGAGGAATTCCTGCGGGCCATGGGTAAGCAGATGTGCACTGGTGTGATCGATCATGCTTATTGCATTAGCGTTTGTTCTAGCAAATACAGTTTTGATGTTTGCAGTTCTATTCTTCTCCTGATCATTTGTTTTCTTTTAAAATCAGGGCTGTTAGATGATGCGTCATCTGATGAATTAAATAAGGGCTTATCTGTCTTTCCTAGAGGACACTCGGCTATCCCTATATACCAAATATAAAGTTCAACATTTTTATTGTCATTATACATATTTTTATAATAGCAAAAATAAAGATCACCAGAGTTGGGTGTAACGTGTTCCACAGTAACACATTACTGTATTCTAATTACATTTTTGAAGAATGCAGTAACGTAACAAATTACATTTTAAGTTTGTGTCATTTGATTAGTTACTAAAGTCAGTATAACTGTGTTACTTATGTTACAAATAGCTGCACTTTTAAACTGCTGGAGAACGCGAGCTGAAAGGGCTGTCGATGAGAGTGGAAATACAGACATTACTTTGATTTCACTGAGCGTAAAAACAAAAATATTGCTGTGAAGCGCAGTCTATGTCCAGACTGAATTTTCAACTGCTTTTAGTTCTACCAGCAACTTGTTCAGAACTTGAATAGAAAGCTTTCTACAACAATACTCATCACCAAGGAGGACACCGGTGCCCAAAAACACGGCAGTCTAACTCAGCCTAAGCAGGTTAAGTTGAATTTATTTGTGCACGATGAGGAGTGAAGGTATCTTCTAAATGTGAAGAGAAGCATAGCCGTTCACATATTGCGTCTTTAGCACAGAAGCACATATTGGGAGTGCATATTGCATGCGCTTGCATTTCCCAGGTGCACCTAATTGAAAATCGCAAGTCACGTGACAAGAACTGACCAATCAGCTTTGTACTTTGTGAGGAATATACACATTTCGGTGGACTAATTACCTCAGACAAACACAGAACATCCAAACACTGCAGTGTTTTTTTTTTTATACTATGACGGTCAATGGTTACAGGTATCCAGTTTTCTTTTTCTGTCTTAAAAAAGACAAACGGGTTTGGAACAAGTGAATGATGAGAGAATTTGAGGTTTTGGGTGAACTCTTGAGGTCTTTTAAATGTGTCAAGCTGCTGTGATCAACCCATTGTAATGTTTCTTAGTGATTATTAAATTACTAAAAGATCTGCAGCTTTTTTTCATTTTATAGGTATATTTTATATATTTTAAAAGTAACTTCAAAGTAAATAATTAGTAATCTGATTATTTTTTACATAAAGTAATTAGTAATGTAATCAGATTACAATTGTTCAGTGGTAATCAGTAATTTGAAATCTGGTACTCTTTTAAAGTAACTTATCCAACACTTCAGATCACTAAGGCTGTGCTTTGATTAAAGCTGCCATCCAGATTTTATTATTTTTTTTAGCTGAAAAGCTTCTAAGCAAATACAAAAACCAACATTCAAAAACATCATCTTATAATAATGTTTTATAATTTGAGCAGTACTGGTGGGTTTTCTCTGGAAATATGTACAGGCCACTCTTTGTCTTTACATTAGTTCTGGTGTCTTGTATGAAATTGGAAAGTTATGGCCATTAAAGGGATAGTTCACCCAAAAATGAAAATTCTATCATCATTTACTTGCTCTTTACTTGTGTTAAACCTTTATAAGTTTCTTTCTTCTGTTTAACACAAAAGAAGATATTTTGAAATGCTGAAAGCACGTAACCATTGACTTCCATAATATTTGATTTCCCTGGTATGGAAATCAATGGTTACAGATTTTTGACTCTCTTTAGTAGTCTTATTTTGTGTTTAACAGAAGAAGGAAACTGTTTTGATTACAGTACTTAAAGGTGAGTAAATAAATGAGTGAAAAGAGGAGAACCAAGTCCAGGAGACTCGAAACAAGCAGAATTCCTTTATTGAGACGTGTTTAAAGCATTTGCATCACTGGCTTAGCCTGTAGTCAGAAAGATAAAGGTTAAATGTCCCTCCTAGCTGGGATGTTAATGAAATGATATAATTAAAAACCAAAGAATATAACTTTTCAGTTATACGTAGATTATTGTTCATTTGAAATTAGATTATATAAATTTATATTTCCACAGTTGTTTGCACATGACGTCATTGCTGACACGCAAAGTTCAGATGAAGGACAATAAGAGATTCTTCTACATATATGTTCTATGAGAACATCAAAATGAATATGCTTTGTGTTGCTATATTATTTGTTAAAATTGGTCAAACCAAGAAATTATCAAATGCTTTTAGAGAGTAACAAAGTGTTTGTTCATAAAGAGGGGAAAAGTTTAAGAAACTGGCTGAAAAATATAAGAATAGGTGGCTTGTGGATGTATTACGAAAATGTTCATCACGTGTACAAACTTTTTTTTATGTGATTATTTGTTTGACAGCACTATAAAAACACATTAGAAATTTAAATATTTATGTATTACATTTATAAAAAACTAATCTATTACGAACACCACAACACGTACTTATACAAAATCCAGGAGTAAATAATGTACCCCAATGCACTTGCTGCAGTGATGACTTATCTTGTTTTGTGATAATCCATGTCTTTAGTGACGTTTTAGCGGGATATAAAGTAAACAACCAGAACGTTACCATCAAAATTATTTTTAACATCAAGCGTTGTTTGTTACTGGTTATTGTGTTTACCAGTCCAGTAACAAAAACTAAACTAAATAATAATTTGCGGCCACGCCTTTGTGCTTTCATGTTTTTTTTTGTTGTTGTGTTTTTTTTTTTTTTTATATATAGAAGGATGTCTCAACCTATATAACAAAATAATATAGTAATTTTTTGTAAATACTAGTGTTTTTGAACCATACTGTAGTAATTTACTTGAATTAAACGTGTTGTAATTCTATGGTTGCTGTAGTAATAATACGGTAGTAATAAACAGATAAGCCAATGCTGTACTGGTTTCTATATAAATTATACACCACTTTATTTATTACTATAGTTTATTCATTCATTCATTCATTTTGTTTCGGCTTAGTACCTTCATTAATCCGGGGTCGCCACAGCAGAATGAACCACCAACTTATCCAGCACGTTTTTATGCAGCGCATGCCCATCCTGCCACCCATCTTTGGGAAACACTGTAGTTTATCTGTTTACTGGACTGTCCTTCTTTTAATGACTGCAGATGGATTTTTTTATGAAATTAACTCAAGGAGATATTTAGCAAAGTATCACAAGGAAAAATATAAGAATTTTTTATCATGCATTGATGTTAAAAAATACATAAAATATAAAATAATATATATAAATAATCATATCATGTATTCATCATTTGTTTGTGTTTTGAATGGTATGTATGTTACTGAAATGTTTGAATATGAAAATAGGCTTTGTTACTGACATGGCATTAAATAAAAATATATGTCGTCATGTGCAGTAGGTATCTTCACAGCTGCAAATATTTTAGTTTAGTAGAAAACTCGTTCCTCCTCTTATGTGATGTATTTTCTGTTTTGTATCTCCTTTAAAATATGTTATAAATCGCAAAATACGGACTTCCTACTTTCAGTTTTTTACTTCCTGTCTTGAATCTGAAGTTTGCACATCACCAGAATAATGTAATTCCAAACAACGTACAGTGAGTACATTATTGTTTTTTTGGGTTAAGGCCCATGCACACCGGTGCTATTTTCAATTGCACTTCTTTGCCAATGTTGAGTAAACAAAGGGGGCCAATGTGAGTGCGCACACCAGTATGCAAAATGAATGTAATGTTGTAATGTTGCACATTATAAACAGTTTTAGCAACATAGAGTCTAAACTTTGAAGAAAAAAACCCATTCTGTGTGCATATTTAAATAAGTGCTGAAGTTGGAATCCAAACTTTGGTGTAAACTGAACACTAACAAAGCCTTTGTTAAAATAGCAGTGAGCAGAGACCCCTCTTTATAGCATTAGTCCACTTTTTAACTAACTCTACAGCACTTTGACTGACATATTACAGCAACATGGAGCAAAGGCATAAAAACAGGCCAAGAGCAGGACATGGTGTCTCAAGGTGTGACCATAAATGGACAGAATGCTCAAGTTTTTTTTCCCCCCCATCCATAGTCACATTGTTGCATGATGTAGTTGAATGCAGTTGTCAGAAACACATTTGTGTACAGCAGATCTTCATTTGTGTGTGTAACAGAGAAATCCCTGCCATTAATTTGACTCATTTATTCCGTTTATGGGCTCGTCGTGAGTTCTGAGCATTTTAGCCTGCTTACAGCATTGCTTAAGAGGTTTGTAAGTTCAATCGCAAAATATGTCATAAAAGGTATAATTGCATTTATTTTTTATTTAATTTAATTTTTTAAATTTTTTTGTCTTTTGGTTTGTACTTAATAACAGTGTGAACATTAAATGAAACTGCATTATTTCTGAATGTATTTTATTTTCTGCTTGAGACCAAGCAAACCAAAACAGAATTTTAAAATGCATTATTTATTCATTTTTATGCACAGTATCCGTCCACAGAAGCAGTGACCTTATGGATCCTCTTTTTAAACTTTAGGTTGAGATAAATTAGACTTTTATTGGTGCATAATGTTTTCTAATGGATGCCAATGTCTTTCTTCAGGCCTCCAGGACAAAAAGGAAGTGATTCGAGGAGTTTACTCTGTAATCGACCAGCTGAGCAGAACCCATCTAAACACACTGGAGCGCCTTATTTTCCATTTGGTCAGGTGAGAAAACAGCATTATTACAATAAGTTTCCATTAGTTGATGGTAGTTTGTGTATTTACTAACATGAACCAAGAATGAACAATAATTGTGCAGGATATATTAATCATAATTTAATGTATTATTTAACTCCAATGCTTGCTAACATTAGTTAACACACTGTAAGTTAACATAAACTGGCAATGAAGGACTTAATTTGTTATTTGTCTCATTGTATAAGAAAATACACATTTTTTTACAAAGTTGAATAATACTTTAATGAAGTTATTATTTATTGTTTGTTCATGTTAATAAATAACATATACCAAACATTAACTAATAGAACCTTATTGTAGAGTCACCACTTGATTACATCTGAATCTATGCGTTTTTCCAGGCTTCTCCTTTGTTTTTGTTATTTTGCGTGTCACTCTACCGTTTGTCTGTTTCTGAAAGGATCGGATGTCAGAAGCACTTCAATAATCACATGCACGTAATGTTCATCAGCTCAATAAGTTCGTTATTTCAAACATAGATGCGCACGCAAGCTCTATTGAGAAAATGAAATCGCTTGTGGTTTAGACAGCCTTGTAAATAAATACAGTGCACAGATTCTGCTCTTCTTCTTGGCTTTGTGACCATTCATCAAGACGATGACAAGATTTGTTTAAGCTTGGGTCGACCGTGATATAGATTATTATGTCTATATATTTTTATGGTGTAATGTCTCGACTGTGCATTTAAAAATGTCACTTCCTTTGTTTTCATTCTCCTGCTTGTGTACGCACTGGTGATGTTTTTGTGTAAACCAATAGCAATCAGCTGTGCATCTAGCTCCGCCTTTTGCTACCCTTTTGTCATGCTTGCTTGATAAACCAAAAGGCTACCCAAAAAGTGGTACAGTACGGTTTGCTTTTTGGTACCTTTTGACACTGGAAACGGTCATAAAAGGGTACCATAAGAGTCAAAGATAAGACATCTCATTTTAGTGCCTGCATCAAATACAGTTTACAAAATGTTTTATATAGTGCCAGGACTACGCTTAAATATAGAGGGGACGGAGCTTTTGCTAGTGTTAACACCAAATAATGAAACAGCTTACCAGTGTCAATTCAAATGATATCATCTCTTTCTTTGTTTAAAGTAAACTCATCATATCAGTTTCATATGTATTTTTTTTATTTAAAGACGTGTATAACAACTTAACTTTCATTCAATTTGAGTTACTTTTCATTAAGTGTTGTAAACTTTTTTTGTACAGCACTTTGGGCAACAATTGCTGTTTTAAATGTGCTTTATATCAAACAACTATACTTAGCAAGCTGATCAATTGCAATTAAGGTGTCTAAATAATGTTTACTGCAACTTTTATAAAAACAAACACCCCAAATAAGGATGAAATAATTATATTAGTCACCAGCATTACAGATTATGCATCTTGTACTAAATACTGTATACAATGTTTCGCATAAATGAGTACACCTATTACAGATCTCTCTATTTTTATACTAGTATTTTATACAGGATGCTTTACAATAATATAGTTGTACATATACAGTAGAATAGTCAGTTCTAAAGCCAAAACTGGAACAGAGTAACAGTAAAAAATTAAATTAAATAAAATCACAGTCCAAAATATAGTACATTGCCAGCAGCTAGCTCACTGCAACTCTCACATGGTTACCCACTGAAGCTAAGCAGGGCTGTGCCTGATCAGTACCTGTATGGAAAACCACATGGGAAAGCTAGTTTGCTGCTGGAAGTGGTGTTAGTGAGGCCAGCAGGGGGAGTTCAAGCTGCGGTCTGTCTGGGCCCTAATGCACCAGTATAGTAAAGAGGACTATATACTGCTCATCTTTCAAATTTGATGTTGACTCTCTGTGGTCATGAAAAATCCCAGGATGTCCTTTAAAAAAAAAATAAATAAATAAAAAAGAGTAGGGATTTAACCCAAATTTGCCCACTGGCCTCTGTCCATCATGGCCTCCTAACCATCACTATATCCGGCTTTATCACTCTGTCTTCTTTCCACCAATCAGCTGGTGTGTGGCGTGCGGTCTGGCGCAATATGGCTGCTGTCGTGTCATTCAGGTGGATGCTGCACACTGGTGGTGGATAAGGAGATTCCGCCCCAATCTGTAAAGCGCTTTGAGTGTCTAGAAAAGCACTATATAAATGTTAGGAATTATTATTATTAAATCTAAAAACATAAATACAACTTTAATAAACAAGAAAATCAAAAGAAACATAACAAATATAAAATGTACTTCATATTATGTAGTTTGTACATTTGTTGCAATAACATGTTTAAATTTAAATGTATTTTCTTTCTATTTCTAAAGACGTTAGGTGACCAAACTTTTATTTCAGTTGCTATTGATTACTACTAATTGATAACTGTTTATTAAACTATTTTGTTTAAATGCATCAATTATTTTTGGATATATTCACTGAGGAAATGGATAAAAATATAAAACGGTGGCACAGTGGGTAACACTATCGCCTCACAGCAAGAAGCTCACTGGTTCGAGCCCCGGCTGGGCCATTTGGCACTTCTGTGTGGAGTTTGCATGTTCTCCTCGTGTTCGCATGGGTTTCCTCTGGGTGCTTTGGTTTCCCCACAAGTCTAAAAACATGCGCTATAGGTGAATTGAGTAAGCTAAAAATCGTCCATAGTAAAAGAGTGTGTATATCTGTTTCCCAGTGATGGGTTGCAGCTGAAAGGGCATCCGCTGCGTAAAACATGTGCTTGATAAGTTGGTGGTTCATTCCGCTGTGGTGTCCCCAGATTGATAAAGGGACTAAGCCAAAAAGAAAATGAATATAAATATAAATACAAAAATACAATAATTTTCAAAAGATGTACTCATTTAGCACTGTATTTGGCATGATTTTTTGTCATATAAAATATTGTTACACCTAACAACATTCTGTAGGTGCCTGTAAACCATTGCGTATATACCATGATATTATTAATATTAATATTAATATAACATTCTTACTCAGGAAAAAAACAAAAATTTTAAACAGGATTTTAATGTATATAAATTATACATATATATCAATATATATAATATATATATCAAAAAAAAAAAACGGTATATACAGGGTGATTCAAAAAGAATACCACAAATCTCGGGTTGATGTGTCTGGAGGGGGTCATATTGAACATCTATGGTCTTGTTTTCTACAGAAAAACACTTAAAGTACTCTTCACATTGATAAATTACCCAAGGTTTTATCATGTTTCTTGCCACTTGCTTCCTATTTGGTTTTGGTTGTCATTTTTTGAAGCCATGCCCACAGGCAAATCTAATTGGCTTGAAATCCCAAATCTGCATATGCAAGTACTTATATTTAACATTTTGTCCAGACTCTTGACTTTCAGCGAGGACATAACAATTATTTGATGCTGGCAATATCATTCCTGAGTTTTGTTTCTTTTGTCTGCAGGATTGCCTTGCAGGAGGAAACAAACCGCATGTCCGCGAATGCGCTGGCTATCGTGTTCGCCCCCTGTATCCTGCGCTGCCCTGACACCATCGACCCTCTGAGGAGCGTTCAGGACATTGGGAAAACCACAGCGTAATGAACAACTCTTACCTAAGTTTAATTCAATCACAGTACTAGTGATTGGAGTAAATTTTACAGTACTAGTACTCCATGATTACTGTGTCCATTACATCAGTTTTTTGTTGTTTTTTTAAGGTGTGTTGAGCTGATCATTTGTGAGCAGATGAATAAGTACAGGGCCCGGCTAAAAGACATCAATACTTTGGAATTTGCAGAGAACAAAGCCAAGAGCCGACTAACGTTCATCCGCAGGTCCATGGTAAGAGCGGCTGAAAGTCCTCTTTTTTTCCAAACTTTTAAAGACTTCCACAAAACACAGATGTTTAAAGCCACGCCAAGTAGCACATGCTTCTTGATCAACTTCCTTGCTGGAACGTTCTTATCAACATTTTATTTTAGAGGTAGTTAATGATTAAGGTCAGTGTTGTTGACAGGAATATTGCTCCACGAGCAACAATAGATTTAAATTCAGCAAGCAAGACGAAGCCTTTCAAATGTTGGTCTTGGACCAACATTCTTATCTCAATTCATGCTCTTTAAATGCATACCAAACCTAGCCGAGAGAAATGGCAGATTGATAAGAACTGATCTGCAACACTCAGTTATAGCTTAATTTGACCTAAAATCTGACTGTAATTTACACATATTTGCAAATGTACACATGTTCAGAATTTTTTTTTTCGTTTTGTATGCAAGACTTTTATATTTTTGAATACAGAATCTGAACTGTAATGAATCTATATTGATTCTTTTAATCGAATACTGTTTCAGTTGATTCATGAATCTTGTCTATATAAAGTACACTACTTGACAAAAGTCTTGTCCATCTATCCCAATTGTAAGAGCAACAAATAATAACTTGACTTCTAGTTGATCATTTGGAAAAGTGTAAAAGTAAATTTTCCAATGAATCATCTGTTGAACTGCATCCCAATCATCACAAATACTGCTGTAGACCTATTGGAACACACATGGACTCAGGATTCTCACAGAAATCAGTCAAGTTTAGTGAAGGAAAAATCATAGTTTGGGGTTAAGTTCAGTATCGGAGTAGATGGTAACATTAACAGCCTGAGGTATCACAACATTCATGCTGCCAGTTCAGCAGGATAGCTTTCCTTCTCATACTTCAGCCTCCACATCAAAGTTTCTGAAAGCAAAGAAGGTCAAGGTGCTCCAGGATTGGCCAGCCCAGTCACCAAATATGAACATTAATGAGTATGTATGGGGTAAGATGAAGAAGGAGGCAATGAAGATGAATCCAAAGAATCTTATTGAACTCTGCACGCTTTCTTTACCATTCTTAATGACTTTATTAATAAGTTATTAATTATTAATAAGTCCTCCAAGCTCATGGAAGTCATACACAATATTCATTCTTTTTCCACTGCACCATACATTTATATTCTATACTGTACATTATTTCTGTTAAGTGACAAGACATTTGTCTACGCAAAGTCAGACCTTACTGTCCTAATTGAATAAATAAAAATCAAGACATGATCATATTTTATTTTGGTAAAATAAGCGTAATCTAGAGGCCTTTGCCTTTCATACAAGCCACTTCTGTTGCCAAATGATTAACTAGAAGTCAATTTTATTATGTGTTGGTCCTAAAACTTGGATAGGTGACAAGACTTTTGTCAGGTAGTGTATAGTTGCTATAAAATAAACTCAAATGAATACATTAATTTCATGTAATTACTCTGTAAGTGATAAACCATGGGGGAAAAACAGTACAGCACCTTGTAAATATTATTTACAGTATTATTACATTTACCCTCGTAGAATCCTATTCATTGTTTGCATCTTGTTTGTCCTCTGGAGAAACAACCCTTACAGTACTTACAGTAAAAAAAAAATGTAAAAAAAGCACACGAGCTTGTTAAAATAACATAAAAATGTGACAAAACGAGTGGTGTAGCGGACAGGCACAAACTGTGTTGATATTGTATTAATTTTGCCAATAACGTCAACTGATGCTTCCATTAAATCATTAAAGTTCCAAGTGGTAAAAAAATTGTTCTTACATTAACAAAACCACATTCAAAATAAGAATTTTGATATATATACTGCATCTCTTTAGTGCATGGTTAAAGTAGGAATTATTGATTTTGATAATGTAGGAATTATTTAAATGAAACATAGTGATATTTTTGTGTATGAGATTTAAAGAAGCACTCTACATAAAAATGAGCCTTATTTTACAACTCCCCTGAGTTAAACAGTAGAGTTATACCATTTTTTGAATCCATTCAGCTGATCTCTGAGTCTAGCGGGAACACTTTTAGCTCAGCTTAACATAAACCATCAAATCAGATTAAATCATTAGCGTCCGGCTCAATAATAACCAAAGAGTTATATAATTGTCCTACATTGACTCTTGATACATCATGTACTAAAATCAATGGAAATAGGGAGTTACAACTGATATGATTGTTTGTAATATATTGTATGTTTAGGTTTTTGCCATAAACATAGCCAATGCTGCTGATACTGCATCAAAATGTGAATTAATTAAATAATTAAATAAATAAATAATAGGAAAATTATCAAACTTATTTTTGACCTTTTTGACCGATATGCTAACAGTCTAGTCTGATGTAATGATCTGTGCTAAGCTAAGCTAAGTGTTACTGTCAGATCGACTGATTGAATTTAAAAATGGAAACTGTTTAACTCTTGGGGAGTAGTAAAATGAGCCTTTTTATTTAATTAATAGATGATATTATTTTTGCAGTTCTGTAATTACACTACTATTATAAAAACTGTACCTGCATCATAAAGGAAGTTGCTCCAGGATGTTCTACTTAAGTGCATCACCCACATTTTCTGTGTCTTGACACTAACCCCAGTCTCTCCTCTCCCTTCCCTTCCCTCTCTAATCCAGAAACCCGTAATAATTGCTGTTAGATTTATGAGCATAACCCGCAGTGCTGCGGCGGTAGGTATTCATTTACTCACTGTTCATTTTAAGTGTCATCACGTACACCGCGTCCCAGCACTGTGTGGTCCGTCTGTCTTCATGATATAAGACGCTTGAGCAAGAAACTCTACAGCTTTGATACTGGTCACTCAGCACATCATTCATCTAGTTTATAAAGTCACTTTGGTTACATTTCATTCTAGTAATGTTGCATTGCATGTCTGGGGAATTTAGAAGAAATCTTTTTGTTGCATTCACTCCATCTTCCTTTTTTTTTACTTGCTTTCTCTGGTAATGAGCAGTCCGGTTCAATGAGAAAGGTAACCGCTTCAGGCTGAATGGAGTCAGTGTTGTCTGTTCAGGGTCCAGAATTAACTAAGAGTGGCAAACAGCTACCAAATCAGACTTTCCTGCCTGGTTTACAGCTTAATAAAGTCTCGGCCATTGTGTAAAAATGCATTTATAAGCCAATCAAATCATGAGATACAAACGTTCATTTTGGACCCTGCATTCATGTTTTGTTTCCATAGAATGTAGCCTGAAATAGAGAGTCTTAATGGGATAGTTCACCTAAAAATGAACATTTACGCACCATTCACTTGCTTGTTCAAAAAACCTTTATGAATTTCTTTCTTCTGTTGAACACAATGGAAGATATTATGAAGAATGTTGAGTGACATAATTGAAAAAAAAAATGCTCTGCATAGTATATTTACATATAGTCATTCTGCAAATGCTTTGGTCCAAAGCGACTAACTGTTGAGGAGGCATTTAGTGATTTAACAAGAAGAGGCAATACAAACAAGAAGTGCTAATTATTAGGGGTGCGACGAGGTGCTTACTTCACGAGAAGAGACACGAGATTCAGTTCACGAGAATAAGATGAGATATTTACAAGATTTTTTTTAAATCCTTGATGAAATCATTTATTATCATTAAAGGTGTAGTAGGTGATCTGCCAAAATGCTAATTGGTTAGCATATTAGCTTTGGACAGCAGGGGAGGGACTGAATATTCAGAGTAGCATGAAAAACAATATAGGGAGCTATCATTGTTCAGAAATGACCCAATGTGAATACAAAAGCAGCTTCAACTCAATAAAGCAGGCTAGGCGGAATAGCGCTATTTACTGAGATTTTTTTGTTCAACTAAATATAAATCTACATTATCGATGCTGTAAAATGAGACTGAAAACTGTCACAGCAATCTTTTACCAGGAGATTTTAGAGGCTGAACAACACGTCTGTGCATAGAACCCATTTATAACAACAACATCTGCATCAGCTAAAATAGTTTTAAAACAGAACATTGGACTGTGAAGAGATTTTCAACCAGCACAGCAAAACATGCTTCTGAAGACGATCAACTACTGCACTTTTAAGGTCTTATATTCAAATAAAATCTTTATTTAAAAAGAAAAACATCACAAGTTGCAAAACTATTTAGAACTTTTTAAAATCAACTTGCAATAAATGTTTTTTTTTTTCTATTTTAATGAATTTTATGCTGTAAAGAACATGCAAACACTGTGAAATATTTGCTAATATATGAATAGTTAAGTGTTTATACAGAGTTTAAGTTTTGGTAAAATATTTGCTAATATTTTAATAGAAAATACATTTTTATTCAACTGAAAAAAATCACAAAATGCTAAATTATTGAGGTGCTTTTTTAAATAAACCTGTAATGAATGCCATTTTACTTCTACTTTAATAAATCATGCCATAAAGGACATGTAAACACCGCAAAACTGTTTGCTATAAACTCTACTGACTGGCTTTTCCCCTCTACAGTTTTACATGAAAAATCAAACTCCTTTCCACAAATTGAATGTAAAATGTATCTGATCATGTCATTTTTGGTATTTCATTTATAATTTTTCAGCAGTTTACTTTCATTTAGAGACATGTCATGTCAAACTCTAAGCTACTAAATGCAAGTATAAAGTAAGGACTGATAGGAGGGAGTTGTTTTAATGGAGTTTGATACAACAAGCCGAATGAAAAGAAAACTTCAGTTTTTTCCAGATGGCGTAAATGTGTGTTTGCTGATGATGATGATGATGACGATGGGTGTGTGTGTCTCCAGGAGTTCACTGTGTGTGTGCGCTTAGAGAGGTTCTTTACTGACTCAATAGGTGCAGAGAATAGTATCAAACAGCCATGTATGTAAGGAATATCCTGTCACAAAATTCAGCTAAAAGTCCTACACGATGGTAATAGTTTGATAATGGAGTGTACATGTCTGTACTGCACCTCAATAATGCCACCACAATGGGAAAATTTCAAGTTTTCATTCAAATCGTGTTTATGACGAATATGAATCTACAGTGTTATTTCATCTTATGGTTCATTTGTGTGGCTGCAGTTGTAGCAGCGGTTAGGTCGTCACAAAAACATAACACAGGAGCAGCCCGGGTGACCAGGTGTGTGCAAAACACTCGATTTGTGGTTCAATTCCAATCCTGCCTCCTATATTCTGTGCTAAATTCACCCTAACAACCCATCACAACTCAGGAAACAACCTCAATGAGAAATCTCGTTGTGAATTCTTTTTGAGATCTCGTCACACCCCTACTAATCATATAAAGGAACAGTTAGTGCTTAGAGAACTGAGGAAGGAGTTTAAATAAAGTATATTTTTGTATTCAACAGAAGAAAGAAACTCAAACAGGTTTGGAACAAGTGTTGGATGCGTAAATGAACAGAATTTTTGGGTGAACTATCTCTTTATGAGTGAAAATGGCAAACACAAAAGCAGAACAATTACCAAACTATTACTTTCTATCAGTCTGAAGTTGCAGTGCTCTGAAGTGTTGGGTTGTGTTTTTCAGGGTAAAGGCCCCGTGCACAGGTTGAGGTATCGCACACCGTCTCCTCCAACGAGTCCTCGCTCTCCCACCGCCCCGGAGGTCATGCAGGACAGTGGAGAAGAGGAACCGGGCAGAGATCCTGAAGTCTCTGAGCAGCAACAGGTCGCCATGCAGCAGGAAGAGAAAGTACTGACTGAACAAATCGAGAGCCTGCAGAAAGAGAAGTAAGAGAAGCATTTATCTTGTGTACTTTGGACAGCAAACTGGAAACAAATACTAAGGGTTTTATGTTTTAATATATACAAATACAAAAATATATAGTATATTAATATGATGGCAAAATTGAGTTTTCAGTCATGTGATGCTTTTGTTCGTTTATTCGTAGTTCTGCTTAATAGCTTAAATATTTTTGTAGAAGTCTTGATAGTTTGATAAACTTTTAAGGATGAGTATTTATTTAAAATAATAATTATTTTTTTTTGTAACATCAGACATTTAATTACTTTTAAAAACACTTTTAATAATTTTTGTCATTGCTAAATAAAATAATTATTTCAAAATTTTACAACATATTTAAAATTAAAAAATGATAGTATTTTAAACATTTATTCAACATTATTATTATTTATAATAATTATAACTATAAACTTTTTACTGAGCACAAAATTAGCTTATTACAAAGATTTTTGAAGGATCATGTGACTGAAGACTACAATTCCTTGCTGCTGAAAAGTCAGCTTTGCTATCACAATACCTTAAATGATCAACTAAGTTAATAGTGAAAATATGAATGTTAATATGTATCCATATTGGGGTTTTTATTTTATTGTACTTATATTTAAAGTCAGAATTATTAGCCCCCCTGACTTATTCGCCTCTGTTTTATTTTTTCCCCAATTTCTGTTTAACAGAGAGAAGATTTTTTTTAACACATTTCTAAACATAATAGTTTTAATAACTCATTTCTAATCCCTGATTTATTTCATCTTTGCCAAGATGAAAATAAAAAAATATTTTACTAAATCTTTTTCAAGACATTTCTTTAAAGCTTAAAGTGACATTTAAAAGCTTAACTAGGTTAATTAGGTTAACTAGGCAGGTTAGGGTAATTAGGCAAGGTGTTGTATAATGATGCTTTGTTCTGTAGACCATTGAAAAAAATAGCTTAAAGGGGCTAATAATTTTGTCCCTAAAATGTTTTTTTTTTTAATTGCTTTTATTCTAGCCGAATTAAAACAAATAAGACTTTCTCCAGAAAAAAATATTATCAGATATACTGTAAAAATGTTCTTGCTCTGTTAAACATAATTTAGGAAATATTTAAAAAAAGGAAAAAAAAATCAAAGGGCGGCTAATAATTCTGACTTCAACTGTCTTATTTTACTTACATTCAGTAAATAAGTAGTATTAAATAAAGTATGAATTTGTATTAAGAAATATCCATAAATTAGCAGTTTTATTTTGTAATTGAAGTTTTTTTTATTTTGTTTTACTTTTTTCCCATTTATTTGTGCTTTTGAATGGCATTATGGGCATATTGATTTTTCTTCCAACAAATTGTAACCTCGAAAAGTTGGAAAAAGGTGACTTTTATGAACATTGTAATAGTGTAAAGTGCTATATTGTTTGGGTTGGTGTTGTATATTACGCTACAAAAACCTTGTAATAAACTGCCAGCATATTTTCTGTTATTTTACAAAATTATTTCAATATATTGCTTCATATACATTATATTATTTCAAACTACTAAAATGTCAATAAAAGTGGCTTTGTTAAACTGTTGAGTAGATTTTTTTAACATTACAAGTTGACAGAGCGGAGATCAATGCCCCATAATGCAATTCACAACCATGAATAAACAAAAACATTTGTGAATCACAAAATATGAAAACTTTCCATTGACAAATATTTTTAACAGTGTATTGTAACTTTTAGAAATAGAGTATTATTATGAACACATCTAAATTTAAGTTGATCTGGTCACAGGGAAGAGCTGACGTTTGAGATGCTCGCTCTGGAGCCACGGGCATCTGATGATGAGACCCTGGAGTCTGAGGCCTCAATAGGCACAGCAGACAGCTCTGAAAACCTCAATGTGGACTCTGAGGGAGCCACTTCTGACTACTCTGGTAAGACATTGCTGGATCTTCCTACTAAACATGAACTACTGTATTTAAAAAAAAAATGTTTGCATCTAATTATACTTTTAATGATATACATAGATGTATTTTTGTGAGCAACAGATTTACAACGAGAATTTAAAAGCTAAAGGAAGCCTGAATGTCTGTTGAAATACTAGATGTATAGTTATGTTAGTTTTTGTTAAAATATTTAAATAAAGTAGTTTATATATATTTTTTTCCAACATCAGAATATCTTTTTGTGAGCTCAACAGAAGAAAGAAACTGTGGAGGGTACAATACAAAAATTGTAAACAGTGCAATGGTATACTTTCTAAACATTTTAGGTACCATAAAATCCACATGAAGCATACGGCTTCATTTAGATCACCCAACCCCACCCACACAAATAATGCAGACACTTAATTTTTAAAGGTGCTGTATGTAAGTTTTTCACTCTTCGAAAGGCTTGTACACACCAGGATGTTTTTCGTTCACGTTTATCTTCATCATTTTTCTAAGACGTTTTTAGGGATTCAAACACAAGCGATTTTCACTGCCGTCGAGCAGAAGAGTATGCAAAATCACTCCTTGACTTTAGATGGCACTACACAACTTTAAGCTTCTGATACCTGCTTGTAACACAGAAGAAGAAGACAAAGTTGGCACGCTTGTTGTTATGGATGTTTCAAGCAGCAGCTCCAGCTCTAGCGATGAAGAAATGAATATAGGCCTTTTTCACAGACGGTCGAACGCACATCCTGTAGAGCGATAATTGCTTATCCCTACTTTCGGCTGGAGGATGGAAGTCATATACACAATAGTTTTCACTACCTTTCTGAAAACTTTTACAATTTACAGCGGATGCTTATTGTCTTGTGGACCGATATTCTATCACTCAGCGGAGCAATAAGCAGCTCCACGTTCATATCACCTCTGGGCATCTTCTTCAATGTGCCATTGACGTTTTGCGATGTTTTGCGCTTGAGCGTCTCCAAGTGCCTTTAACTGTAACCTTAGCAGCTCCATGCACGTGAACAAAGGTGCCAACCTGATTGGTGGAGAAGGTTTTAATGTGGCGCGTCAAAACAAAAAAAAAAAAAAAGAGCACAAGGCGTTTCTTTAAAAATGACGCCTTTACGCCAGCCGTTTTGCATGTTGGTGTGCACGATCACATTGACCCCCTTTTTTTAATCACGAGGTGTCAAATGTCGACGGAAAACGTGAGCAAAAAACATCCCTGTGTGCAAGGGCCTTAAAGCATAAAAATATAATATGTTTGAAGATATTTTAAAAAGTGAACATTCTTGTTTATCTGAAAAACAATGCTGAAGTCAGATATTCTGCTTTAAAAAAAACATGTTTTCGTGCCGGAACAGCTGTCTTTGTTTTGGTCAGGTTAACCACACAATGCCAGTTTTGGCAATTACATTTCAGCACATTGGGTTGCCTTGTTGCAAATCAGCGTATTTCATTCATTTAGTCAGGAAGGCTCTCAAAGCATGCATCTGTGACTGAAATGCGACCTTTAGTGGACTCTTTAGCAGATTTTGAAATAAGACGCAAATTCACATGAGGTTATTAATTAGAAAATGACATTAGGTGAGCAGGTTACATTGTAACCCTGTGTCCTAACAACACACTACTTGATGAAATTTGCAGCGATAAGCCATTTGGCTGTTAACAAAACACAACAGAAACATTTAAATACAGCCATTCAGAAGCACAGAATAGTGCACTCACTACACTCCAACAAAATGGTAAGGTTTAAAATCAAATTAATATATATTAAACCTTTTACACCGAAAACCTTTTATGCCGAATCACTGATATGTGTTGGTTTGCACTGAGTCTCAGTTCTAAAGTTCAATTTCAAACAAGTTCATTTTATTTTCAAGATTTCTGAGGTAAACTATCTGCTGCTCCTTTCAGTGGTATGGCAATAAATGTCAAGTGAAATGGCATTCAAACTCCCATTATTAGCATTTAAAACTAAACAAAGCACACAAGGTAACCTGAGGTGATCATTGTCAGTTTTGTGTTGTTCACCTATGAGAAAAAAAAGCTGTTTCTAAAGTATACATTTCAGCAGTTGGTAGAACAAAAACTCTTAAAATATGGAAAATATTCTTTCTATCATTCGCCATGTTGCCGTCAGGCCTACTACTGTTGATGTTGTCAATCTGGCAACCTGCACTTGCATGTGTCTTAAACCAAGCGTGTAATACCTAGTTCAACCCATGGGTGTCAAATTTATATACTGCACCTTTATTAATATTAAATGACAAGCTAAGTGCATTTTTAAGCTACACTTTAAAGTAAATTTTAACACTTGTTAATGCTAATGCTTGTTTTATTTTATTGCACAGTTTTGACCACCAGGTGTCAGCAAGTAAAGCGTGTGCTTTACTTTGAAACAGTGAAACATATTCCAAAACAATTTGTTTAATTTGGCGGCTTGGTGGCTCAGTGGTTAGTACTGTCGCCTCACAGCAAAAAAATCGTTGGCTCAAGTCCTGGCTGGACCAGTTAGCATTTCTGTGTGGAGTTTGCATGTTCTCCTTGTGTTCATGTGGGTTTCCTCCGAGTGCTCCGGTTTCCCCCACTGTCCAAAGAAATGCACTATAGGGGAATTGGATTAACTAAATTGAATGAATTGAAAGTGCATAAATGTTAGAGTGTATGGGTGTTTCCCAGTACCCAGAATAGTTGGTGGTTCATTCCGCTGTGGTGACCCTAATAAATAAGGGACTAAGCTTAGGGAAAAATAACTTTTTCATCACTAGTACACAGATATTTAGAAAATGCGTTTAAGTATTAAAGTACAGAAGGCCAGAGGTAGCTTCAGCGCTAGTGTTTTTAACAGCATTGCTGTTCTCTTTGACTCAACAGAGCGAGGCCCAGCGCTGGCCGCCACGAGGCCCAAGAAGTCTGAAGGAAAGAGCAGACGAGTTCTGCGGAAACAACCCGAATCTCTGGACTCCATAGATTCCTGTTCCACCGTCTCCTCTGTGTCGTCATCCTACATGCAACCGACCTCGAGAACCCATAAATTAAGCTTGCGGTCCAAATCGCCTTCCAAACGGTTATATCTGTCAAGCCCATCCGAAAGCCTGGACCAGCCGGAGCAGGACGGAGAAGAGAGGCCGCAGTTCACCAGCCGCGGGACCTTCAACCCAGAGAAAGGCAAACAGCGGCTGCAGGGGGCCAAGAGCTCGCCTCAGAGACACCGAGAGCAGAAGAAGGATCCCGAGCTGTCGCCGCAGCAGGTGGTGGTGTACGGCAGCAACGAGTTCATGGTATGAAGGCCACACGGAAACACATCCATCCACAGAGAAGAGCTCCATCCCTCCCTGCTAGCTCACTTTTGCTGCATTATAGTCCTTAAGTGCCATGTTGAGGAGAGAGATGGGCGGCTTTCCGATCTGCATGCGGAAGAGCAGGGCAAAGGGAATGTAGAACCCTTCCCGCACGGGATGTTCTCCTTTGGGCTCCGTGACTGTGATCGATCCAAAGGCGGGAGACGAAGCCATTGAACTCCACCAATTCAAGCTACAAATCACGGGCTGCTTTGATGTTTACAGTTTAGTACCACGCGAGCAGCATTCTCTACGATGTATTTGCCCCCCTTCCCCACCCTAAGCCTATTTAATAAATTTTATTTACATTGAATATATAAATCTATATAAATATATTATGTGATATAAAGTGTACAAAGCAGAGCACCAGTGACTGCTGGCTCTTTGAATTCTTATATCTTGTAATGGTCATGAGAGAGAGATGATGTTGGGTTTGTACTGATGCTATGTTCAAGCTCCTCTGTATGAGTGTGAGACGAGTGTGTGTGTCTTACGAGAGAACCTCTGGATATGTTTGTGCTGCTTTCTGTGTTCTGCTTGGAGGGAAAATGATGCCATTAAGGGACCAAGCAAACTGGTGTTATAATGCCAGAGGATCCCAACGCTAAACGGAGACTCCAAAGTCTTCCAAAACCGCCACACAGTGTATTACGTCATTACAGCCATCCATCAATTCATACTTTTCCCATTCCTGTTTTTGTTTTGTGCTCATCTGCCTCGATATTTCTTTAAGAAATGTGTTAAAATGCTAAACCGCAGTTACTGGATTCCTTATGGTATTTTAAATATAATCATTTTTGTCTTCAAAACCATGGGAGCATTCGTGTCTTGAAGCTCCTCTATCCAGAAATTGACTTAATATATATTACTCGACAGTCTCTTCTGCCTCTCTCTCTATATGAAACATAGTGTGATATGCCCCATATTGTTTTCTAAATATTTAATGATTAAATAGAATCCAACTGTATTAATCCACACAAGTGCATTTGTTCCGATTTGACACCACCGTCATTCACAACCTCCAGGAACCGAAATGAACAAACTTAGTAATTTTACCAGCAAAATATCCCATTTATGATGCCTGTGTCACTGCTTTCTGCACAGCTCAGAAACAGCAGTTGTCACCCAATGTTAAACTGTGATTATACCCAGTAACTTCTGCATGTGGTGGGCTGTATTTTATTTCTTTCTCTAGGAGCGAGCGTATGGACCTACAGTATACACAATCTCCCAATTTTGACTTAATTTATATTGTATTATTTCGATCTCGTGCATTGCTGACACTGGTCATGCCGCCTGCAGGATTGAGCAAACAACTGTCTGGTCTCAGATTTGTCTTCTGTTATGTGGAGTTGAGTGTTGAACAAATATTTCTTATGAAAGAGCAAAATAAAAAAGTCAACAATGGTTGTAAAATAAATTACACATTTTGAACGAATACGAGTTCTTCTGCTGCTGTTAGTGCTGGACTTGTTCCACCCACATTCAGCTTGTACTTCAATTGATTTGAGAACTTGATTTACCTGTTTGTCTTGCAGGTCTTGAAGAGTTTGCTAGAGTTTCTTCTCACTTCAGCAAAAGGGTGCATCCAGCCTAAGGGAATTATAAATGTGTGTGAGGGTTGGTCAACTTGTCATACTACTGCTAAAGCTATTTTGACACAAAACTAGATTTAAAATATTATATTGTGAAATATCGAAACAATTTAAAAAATAACTTTACTTAAAAAACACATTTTAAAGTGTTATAATTTAATTTATATATCTAATCTTTTTTGATGCCAAAGCTGAATTTTCCGCATAATTATTCAATTTTTTTTCTTGAAAATAAATATGTAATAATGTTGTGACTTTATTTACTAATATTTATATCTCAGTGTTAACTTTATTACAGCTATTAATATCTGAACACCAGTAATAATTGATAACTGAACTCTAAATCTGTATATTATTGTGATACCTGAAATATCGTGACATTACAAGTTTTTTGTATTGGAAAATAAAATTAAAATCAGTTTACTACTGATATTTGAAGTAATACAGTTTCACAGGGATCAATGACGTTTTAATTATTTAATAAATATTATTTATATAGTAATATCATATTTCACAACATTACTCCTTTTATACTATTTCGTCTAATTTCGCCCATACGAAACTTATTCCAGTGTTATATAAAACCCAATACTTGATGAAAAGCTAAAGATACCACAAGAAAGGCCCTTGAAAAATCGTACTATACTATTAAAATGTTACTTCTCAGTACGTGAAGCAGGATAGCTCCACATAAAACTAAAGCAGTATTCATTTCAAGCAGTGTAAGCAGAGCTGGAACATGAGATCTAAAGTTGAGCTAAACCTGGAGTGACGCGACGACAGTTTAAATTGCGCATGCGCGGCCGGCGAGGTGTGTGCGCCCAGAGAGTCGCGCTGTCAGGTACACAGAGCACCATAACACCTGTGCGGACCGCGAAACAAAATGTCTGGATTCGATAACAACCCCTTTGCCGAACCGGTTGATGTCAATCCTTTTCAGGTAAATACCTTCTTATGTGTTGTTTCTTCGGTGATTTGTAAAATGTTTAAAGTCTCTTTTTTGCGCTTTAAACCAGTTTGGTTGGTTTGTTTAGTTTGGAGTCACTAGAGTAATAAGGTGAGATTGACAGACGCTAAGCCAATCAAATGTCAGTATTCAGATGCCAAGCCAATGATCTTCTGATGACGAAACAGGAAGAGTTATTTTGGTTGAATAAATTGGGTTTCTTCAAGGTAAGTAAAAATATAACTACTGCTTTTTAATTAAATATTGACTATCGTGACCATGCAATCATTACTTGGAGAATATAAAGCCAGCATAAAAACCACAAGCGAGTTTTCATTTCACAGGCACAAATGAATGACTACCATGATCAAATACAACAGGTGCATCTCGTGTTGTAATGTTAGTCTTCGTTTGTAAATAAATTCTCACGAACTCTCTATCTATATGTATACTCTCTATAGTTATAACTAGAGATAAGCACAAACAAACAGAATCCTAACCATGCAGAATACGTAATGCTGGTACTTTAAAAGACGACAGGCCACTTTATTAGGTACACCTGTTCAACTGTTCAGTGACGCAAATTTCTAATCGGCCAATCACATGGGAGCAACTCACTGCATTTAGGCATGTAGAAATGGTCAAGACGATCTGCTGCAGTTCAAACGAGCATCAGAATGGGGAAAAAAGAAGTTTTAAGTGACTTGGTTTGACAGGCTGTGCATCTCTGAACGCACAATATGCCCATCCTTGAGGGAGATGGACTACAGCAGCAGAAGACCACACCAAGTGCCACTCCTGTCAGCTAAAAAACAGTAAACTGCGGCTGCAATTTCCACAGGCTCACCAAAACTGGACAATAGAAGATTAAAAAAATGTCGCCTGGTCTGATGAGTCTCAATTTCTTCTGCGACATTCGGATGATAGGGTCAGAATTTTGTGTCAACAACATGAAAGCATGGATCCATTCTGCCTTGTATCAACAGTTTAGGCTGGTAGTGGTGTGGGAGATATTTTCTTGGCACGCTTTGGACCCTATTAGTACCAACTGAGCATTATGTCAACGCCACAGCCTACCTGAGTATTGTTGCTGATCATGTCCATCCCTTTATGACCACAGTGTACCCTTCTTCTGATGGCTACTTCCAGCAGGATAATGCACAATGTCATAAAGCATGTATCATCTCAGACTTTTTTTTTCTGAACACGATAATGGGTTAACTGTACTCAAATGGCCTCCACAGTCACCTGACCTCACTCCAACAGAGCACTTTTGGTATGTGGTGGAACAGGAGATGTGATGTCATCATGTCAATAAGGACCAAATCTCTAAGAAAAAATTTCCAGTACCTTGTTGAATCTCTGCCAAAAAGAATTTAAGGCAATTCTGAAAGCAAAAGGTGGTCCAATTCGGTATTTAAAATTGGGTAAGGTGTGCCTAATATAGTGGCCGAAAGTGAGTGGATATTAATATAATTTCTGAGCTGATTCTCAATATATGGCTTTCAAAAGTAATTTATATTGTGCCAGAAATTATTGCGAGAAGTCATTTTAAAACGAAAACGAAAATAGGCATAAACATCTTTAAGGGACAAATAAGGTTATTTCGATTCTGTCATTTTTTTATTAGCATCATTTCTTTTGGGTTGTGCTGTTTAATTCCCAGAATTTCTACAGATTATTTTGTATACTGTAAACCCACTAACTTTTTTTTTTTTAATCACGTCCATAATGCTTGTTAATTTTAAATCTGAAAAATGTTTACAGACTGATATATTTTTGATCTCATAACTATGTGGCTAATAGTTTTGTAAAATATAAACAGATTTTTCAATATAATGTTAACAGACTTTCTCTGTGAGTTTATGTTTGGAATTTTCACTGCAAATGTAACGGAATTTTTTTTTTTTTTTTTTATATATCTGTCAGTAAGCATTGTTTCGAAAGGTGTAGCTCGACTCAAGCTTGCTGACCCCTTCATCAGAGCATTAGATGAGATGACTGTGGCTGCGTAATCAGCTTAAATATATTACTGCCATTAATATTTATCTAAACATGATGAATGATAAGTCAATACATTGATTGATGGATTTGCTCTTCAGTGTTTGGACTTTCAGCTGTAAAAATTAAACCAAACTGAACTAAACTCAACTTCAACTATGAAAACTGGACTGACAGTTTCAATTTACTAGAACTTCTATGTTAAGTTGCTTTGACACAATCTACATTGTAAAAGCAATTTAGAAATGAAGATGAATTGAATGTATTATTGTTATAGCTAGGTCTACTTGTGTAATGTACTTTAACAAAAAAAAAAAAAAAACAATGCTAGTAAAGTGGTACATAAATAAATAAATAAATAAATAAATAAATAAATAAATAAATAAATAAATAAAAAGTTCTATTTCTTGTGTTTGGCAGGATCCATCAGTTACTCAGGTGACCAACACTTCAGCTGATGGCATAGGAGAATACAATCCATTTACAGCCGGTGCTCTGGTAAGCATGACAAACTGTTTGCAATCTTCATCCTTTTCTCAGTTCCCTTTACACTTATCTTTATAGCCTTTTTATTAATCATTAAAAATGAGGTAACAGAGTAATGTATAGCATCCTTTTGTGCTTCGTCATGATTGGAAAACAATATGATCCTATTGACATGAGGGGGAAAAAATCACAGAAAATAAAATTAACTATTGTAGTGTGTATACTTAAGTCCCATGTTGGTTAAATAGAATTGAATTTATCGGTCCACATTTAATGAATGTTTTTGCTATATTTTTTTTGGCAGAAAATGTCTAAAGCTAAAAATCAGTAAAGTTCTGTCAGATTTTAGTTTTCCATTTTTGTCAAATAATGATGTTAAAAAAAGTCTGATGTTGATAACTTGTGTTTGCTTGTTTGAATAGATTTTATTGTTTATAATAATATAATAATAATTCTGAGTAGTTTTTTATTTTTATTTATTTTTTAAGCCATGAACATACTGTAGCTAATGAAACGGACATAGCATTACATAAAACATACCATACAGTTAGGATTGATTACAGCAGATAAAAAAATCCAGTTCTACCATTTTAATAGTTCTATATTCTTCCAGTCAGTTTTTCTTTGCTCCATGTTTTAGGGTAAAACAAAGTTTAGCAATCAAAAAGCATGTTCAATTAATCTAAAGCAATTAAAACTTTTCAGTTAAACACAAAAGGTAGCGTAAACATTTTAGGAACGCTATGAAATAAGATTTACATTTTTTATGTAAAATATCAAATGAAAATAAGTTTTGGTTTTAATAAGTTGCCAAACAAAAATACTATTCACTTAATAAAAGATGGGCTAACATCCCACTGAAAATACAAAACTATGGATGATTATAACTGACCATCTCTATTGTGGTTTCCCTTCAGTCTCATTGTTTTCATGCTTGCCTATACTGTACATTGTTGGGAAGAAGTGAGCTCTGTTTCTGTGTCTTATTCACAATGAACCCAACTTCTAGTGTTAAAATGCAATGTACAGTTGCAGTCAGGATTATTAGCCCCCGTCAATTTTGAGCTCCCCTGTTCATTTTTTCCCTAATTTCTGTTTAAAGAAGATAATTTTTTTCCAACACATTTCTACACATAAATGTCTTAATACCTTATCTCTAATAACTGATTTATTTTATGTTTGCCATGATGACAGAAATTATTTGACTAAATATATTTCAAGACACTTCATTTCAGCCTAAAGTGACATTTAAAGACTTAACTAGGTTAATTAGATTAACTTGGCAGGTTAGGGTAATTATTCAAGTTATTGTATAACGATGCTTTGTTTTGTAGATTATTGAAAAAAGTATAACTTAAAGGGGCTAATAATTTTGAACTTTTAAAATGTTTTTTTTTTTTATTATTATTAAAAACTGCTTTTATTTTTAGCTGAAATAAAACAATAAGACTTTTTCCAGAAGAGAAATATTATCAGACATGCTGTGAAAATTTCCTTGATCTGCTAAACATAATTTGGGAAATATTGGAAAAAAAAAAAAAATCAAAGGATGGCTAATAATTCTGATTTCAACTGTAGTTCGCAGCTGAATTACCAAGCAAGTAGGATTATTTGGAAAAAGAACGATGTAGTACCGAGTGTTTCCCAAATTCGTAGTTCCTCTGTCACAGGTCCATCATTTGAACCATGTTAGTTACAATGTAAAATGCCCATAATGACATAATTTTTTTTTTTTTTTGCAAATTATATTTTTTTATGCACATTTAAAAAAAAAAATCCATTATTAGTTTTGGTAAAAACATGCACTTGATTTTCAAATTAATTGCATTTTTATTGACTATATGTAAACCATATGTATTTCCTTTACACATGTTATTGACAATAATCCATATTCTATTCTATTAAAACCACTTTTACAAAAAGCTAACACGTATTCTAATCTAATATATAAATGATTTAGGCCCATGTTATAGACATTTTTCTTGGAACGCAAAATTACCCATGATGCTTTGCGTGTATGCGCAAGGAGAATGCTAAGAACTTCCGGTCAGCAGCTGATGCATGTAAACAGTCACATTTGGACAGCTTTGAAACGATAGTTTTAATTTATTTTACCAGCTTTTATCATCTTTGAACTAACTCTGTTGTCCATCAGCACCATCTCCTGGTCTGATCATTTAAAAAATGCGATCTAATAGGATGGAAAACAGCTGCTGTAAGTCGTTTTTCCCTCGTTGTCAGACGGCATCTTCTGCCGTTTAAATGAAGCCTCGTCATCACTGGTCAACAGTTTCTCTTTCTTTCAAATATATAACCAGCCCAAACAAATGTAGTTCACCAAAATGTTTGACAGGCACATACGTAGCCTGTACTGTCCCACTGACACACTGATTTAATATCTGTTACAACGTGAAAATATAGGCTAGTGTCATTTCGAAATGACAGAAAAACACAAACCGTGGTAAAAACAACACATGAAATTAAACATAAAAGGCTTGCAATTAGAATGAACAGCAAATCAGCCAGCAGAGGACTTTTATTGGTCATTTTTGTTATTTAAGATCATTACTGACAGTTCAAACACTGAAGAGCAAATTTATCGATGCGTAGCTCTACCAATCCTGAACCATGCGAGCCAGTGGCGACAGCGGAGAGGGAAAAAAAACTTCACCTGATAGGAGTGAAGAAAAAAAACCTTGAGAGAACCAGACTCAGTTTGGCACGACCATTTTTATTTCTCCGCTGGCCAAAAGTCTTGTGCAGAGCTGAGAACTGCTGACAGGCCGGGAACACACACACACACTATTTTTGACAGCAGACACGTGAACTAGGAGAATGTTTTTCTCGTAATACTGACGGGCTTGAACCACATCTGACAGATTTTAACGGCTTTAACAGACACATTTCAAGTTGTGTGTCACAAAAACACTCTGTAATATATTAAAAACGCTATTGAAACCCATTTTTGGAGCCCAAATAACCAGTTGTAAACGCTGTAAACAGAAGTTTTTAGCATTCTACCGGAAGACGCTGGTCGCTATGGCGCCCACCATGCAGCAGCCATGAAAAAGGTCTATATACAGATACAATTCTTAATAAATGGCCTACAATAAATTAAAACATCAAAATATTTACATTTACATTTTACATTTAGTCATTTAGCAGACACTTTTATCCAAAGCGACTTACAAATGAGGACAAGGAAGCAATTTACACAACTATAAGAGCAACAATGAATAAGTGCTATAGGCAAGTTTCAGGTCTGTAAAGTCTAAGAAGAAAAGTATTAGTAATTTTTTTTTTTTTTGAGTACAGTTAGTGGTATATCCAGAGAGGCAAATGCAGATTAGGAAGTTAAGTGGAGACTAAATAGTTGAGTTATTAGTCGTTTCTTGAAAACAGCGATTGACTCTGCCGTTCTGATGCAGTTAGGGAGTTCATTCCACCAACTGGGCAGATTGAACGCAAGCATTCGGGAAAGTGATTTCTTCCCTCTTTGGGATGGAACCACGAGGCGACGTTCATTCACAGAACACACGTTTCTGGAGGGCACATAGATCTGCAGAAGTGAGAGCAGATAAGAAGGAGCAAAGCCAGAAGTCGCTTTGTAGGCAAACATCAGAGCTTTGAATTTGATGCAAGCAGCAACTGGCAGCCAGTGCAAACGGATGAGCAGCGGAGTGACATGTGCTCTATTAGGTTCATTAAAGACCACTCCTGCTGCTGCGTTTTGGAGCAGCTGAAGAGGCTTGATAGAGTTAGCTGGAAGCCCGGCTAGAAGAGAGTTGCAGTAATCCAGTTTGGAGAGAACAAAAGCTTGAACAAGAAGTTGAGCTGCATGTTCAGATAAGAAAGGTTGGATCTTTCTGATGTTATAGAGTGAGAATGACTCTATATCCTATATTTTTTTGTTTTCACAAGCTTTAGATATGTAACAAAGATTCTGCTTTTAAATAATAGTTCACTTATAGCTTTCGTCATGAGCTATAGCTGTGTTTTGGTTGCTTAAAAGTTTTCAAAGTGCACAATGAATGGAGCGCAATTGTCAATATGAAGATCGCTAAAACTGAACTGTTAAAATCCTTTAACAGCTAATTACACATTAGAGAGATTACTTTGTTTTATTGTTTTAAATCATTTCAAGTTTAAGTGTTGGAAAGTAATAGGGCAAAAGGGGATAACTGAGAATACTACACAACCAGTAACTATGCTTTTAACTACAGCTCCAGAGGTGTAGTACAAATCGCACAAGTTTGCAAATGTTTGTTACAACAATGGATTTAGGAAATCCAAATCAATAAACTATGTTTGTAACGACGAAACTTGATGCACTGCTGGTCGTCTATCAATTAGTTGACTTTAGGGGACAAGCCCTTATATTTCTTGAGGAATATTCAATTTTTTCCCCAATGAAACATCTAATAGTTGCTATCACAAAAATTTGAAAAACATTTTTCCTCTCTCATTTTAGGATGGACACAGGACAGTCCCTTTGTCCGCCACTTCTCAGCCAGCGGTCCTTCAGACAACAGTGGAGCCCAGTCCACAGGTTAGTGCAGTGTTATGTTGAATCATCAAAGCACACACGCGTATGGTGATTTAAATTTATCACTTATATCATTATATATATATATATATATATATATATATATATATATATATATAATGTATTATATTTATTACTAAATCATTAATGCTCCTAAAGGTGGCATTCCTATTTTCATGCTTGTATATAACGCTTTGTGTTTCCTCCTTTAGGCAAGTGTAGCCTCAGGACAGGCTGAGCTCCTCCGTCAGCAAGCGGAGCTGGAGAGAAAAGCAGCAGAGCTGGAGCGAAAAGAGCAGGAGCTTCGAGATCGTGATGCTGCACGAGGTGAGCCTTTACAATGCTGACCACATTCTGTATTATATCTGAGGTCATTTGCACTCCTGACCTGACCGAGACTCTATGCTTGTAGGTAAAGAAAACAACTGGCCGCCGTTGCCCAAGTTCTTGCCAATCAAACCTTGCTTTTATCAGGATTTTAATGAAGAAATTCCTGTGGAATATCAGAGGGTTTGCAAGATGATGTACTACCTCTGGATGTGTAAGTTCTTTGAACAGGAATTCAGGTCTTCTGTGCATGTAAGCTGAATTAAAGGTGCTCTATGTAAGTTTTTAACCTTAAAGCATAAAATACCATAAAATGTTTGCAGATATTTAAGAAATATGCTAAGTGAACTTTCTTGTTTATCTAAAAAGCAATGCTTAAGTCAAATAATATAATATAAATATTACAAGCGTAAACATTAGATGAGCAGGTTACACTGTAACCGCTTGTCCTAACAACACAATACCTGATGAGATATGCAGTGATAAGCAATTGGGCTGTTTGCACCAGAGGAAACACGACATAAATTTAGAAATTTACAGCCATTCAGAAGCACAAAATAGTGCACTCACTGCACTTCAATGAAATGGTAAGGTTTATAGTTGAATTAATACTTATTAAACCTCTTTAACCTTATTAAATTTAGATGCCGAATCACTGATATGTGTTGGTTTGCTCTGAGTCACAGTTCTAATGTTCATTTTCAAATAATTAATTTATTTTCAAGGTCTGAGATGAACTATCTGCTGCTGCTTTCAGTAGTATGGCAAAAAAATGTCATGTAAAATGGCATTCAAACTCAAACTATTAGTGTTTAACACTAAATTAAGAATCTGAGATGATCATTGTCAGTTTTCTGTTGTTCAGCAGTGAGAAATAGCCCTATCATACACCCGGCGCAATGTGGCCCAAGGCGCGATGCAGCTGTTGTTTGCTAGTTTCAGCTTGGCGCAAGAGTCGTTTTGACGTTTTGCTATTTTGAAAAAAACTATAATAGATTTTTCAATAGACCGGAACAAACCCGGTCAAGTGTCCAGCGCATAGCATGTTAGTTGTGCGCCTCGCTTACACACTGCATAATGCACACAAGATGTAGAGCAATACGCAAATATCTTTACATATGAAAAAGAATTCAAATATATATATATATATATATATATATATATATATATATATATATATATATATATATATATATTAGTTAATGAGGGAGAGTTTAGCTTGCTGTTAAAGTATACACTGGACGTATATGGAGAACAGTATATATATATATATATATATATATATATATATATATATATATATATATATATATATATATATATATATATATATACATATGATATAAGAGTATAAGAGTATATGTAGGATATAAATATAAAGGATTAAAATATTACAAAACATATTATTTTTTAGCCTACATAAATATAAAAACTACTGCCTTCATGCTACTACTGCAGTTCAGTTCATTTACAACAATTTGCTTTTGTAAATTGTTGTTATTATTTGAAATATTATTTATTATATGCTTTTTATATTTGTTTTATTAAAAACAAGCTTAGATTTGCCCACTTGTCAGGTTTTAGACCAAATGGGGCGTAGCATTTGTATTAGGATATAAAATTAAATGCTGGAAATTAGAACTAAATTTAGAAATAGTTTTGAAACAAATATTTGCGCTTAACAAACAAAATTATTTATTTATAGGCTAATTGATATCCGTGCGTACAAGGTTTCCCTATCCTCGAGAGCTCATTTTCGCTCTGTAGATGCTCTGTTTAACTGTTTTCTTGCTAGTAAATTGCTCAGTTTTTCCACTTACACTTAGTTTACGTCATGTAAATAACAAATGCACCACTCTTAAAGGGAATAAGAGATGAGACCCTGATTGGTTTATTCTCTAAACACACCTATAACTCATTAAGAAAATAAGCTCAACCCTTTTAGACCATGCGCCATGGAACAAAGCGGATTTTTCCGTCCTTATATTAGCAAAGGTGGATTCTGACATGCCCTGAATGCGTTTGCACCCTGCGCTTTGCGCTTTGCACTTTGCGCATGGACCGTCAAAATAGAGCTCAGAAACTGTTTTAAAATATAAATTTCAGGTGTTATTTACCACAAAATCTTCCTATCCCGTACTGTTGCTTTTGTTTAAAACACAGTTTAAATCAGCCTTTAGGCTTGATAGTCAGGCACACTCCTGTTGGTGTCGTCAATCTGGCAACCTGCGCTTGCATGTTTTGAACTAGGAATGCAATACTTAGTTCAACCACAGTCTTGTGATCATTCTGTAATTATTCTAATTTGCCAATGCCGTCCTCAGTAATATAGTTTGTAAATGCTTTATTATAAACAATATTGTGCTAAATTATTTTTAATGGTTGTAATCAATTCTTATTTTTGTATAATGTTGTATGAACATATCTAGAATATTTTTATGGGTCAAATAAAATTTATTTACGATCAACTGTATCATTTTAATGCATCCTTGTTTACTATTAATTTAAATGATTAAGTATTAATTTCAATATAAAAAAAAACTGCAACCCATCACTGGGATATAGTCTATCAAAGTTTCCAAAATATTTTAATAAGTCAGGCAAATTGCTTTTTGAGATTCTGCATTTTATATTGTTTTATGCTGCTAACTTTGATCATACAAGTCTTGCACTCTTTATTTAATGTCTCTTTTTAATGTTTTCTTTAGCATACATTTTTTGAAATGCTCGATCTCTCTCTGAATACTGAGGCACACATTGTTTTTCTTCAGATCACAGTGTGACACTGTTCCTGAATCTGCTGGCCTGCTTGGTGTATTTCACTGTATCTACTCAGAATGGAGTTGACTTTGGACTCTCAATCCTGTGGTTTATTTTGTTCACTCCTGTTGCTTTCGTCTGCTGGTACCGACCCGTATACAAGGCCTTTAAGTGAGTTCAGGCTTTATATTTCATATTGTGATATTATTTTCCTGACTTTTCCCCAATTACAACTTGGCAGCATTTGTCGCACAATTTAAATGACATATTTTTACATGACAGAAATAAGAATGTAAATTTGTGGTGAATGAGCTCATTGAGTCAAGATGTTGTGTGAATATTACAAACATTTTATTTAAAAGACATTACCAAACGTCCCCATCTGTTGACTAGCAGCACATTAAGAACTGGTTATATTACGTTTTCTGAAATGCTGTTTTAATATGCAATGAGCAGGGCCAGACAGAATCTGGTGACATTTTTGCTATTTCTGCGCAGAAGTTTGTGAAAAATCTGTGGATTTATATGGATTTTGGCAGTATAGTAATTAAAAACTTAAAAAAAAATATTTAAGGCTTACAATGCAAAGCAAGCAAAAAACAAAGAAATTATCTAAGTTCATATGTCTATTAAATGACAGAAAATAATGCTTTACAAACTCTATTGTAAATAAATCATCTAAACATTTACGTATTAGTTTATAAAATTGCTGGAATTAATATTAAAATGGAATAAATAAATATATTTTACACACATTTACAGTACGCAAGTAAATAAATAGACTTGATTAGCTAAAACAAATCTGTGGATTTCTGCGTGCACAGATTCCATGTTGGCCTAGCAATGAGGCAGGATCTAAATAAATAAGCCCCAATTTGCATATATTTCCTGACTAGTTCTGTAATCAGATCACAGGATAAAGCATAGCTCAAAATTCTTGTTTTATAAGGTGTATACAAATTCTAAAGGTCAATAAAATGTTAGATAATTCAGAATTTAGGTAATGTTTTGTAGTTTGGTGTATTTAAAGCAAAGATTTCTGGCTCACTTTAGTGAAAAAACTCAACAAAAACATGCTGTAAAGGTATGCAGCCAAATGAAAATTCTGAGCTGAAATCAAAACGGAACATTTTGGATGCACTTAGACAAAAACTGTAAACAAAAATTATTTGTTATAACAAATGCTGTAGAATACACAAGTCATGTCACTCGCATAGTTGAAATGGGGAATAGTTTAGCGGTCAGTATGGCGAATGAAGCCCCACCTACTATTACAGTAGCCAATCATCGATCAATATAGACTGATGTTTCTCTGGGGGAGAAGCTCGGACCACACGTGTGTTTTTACGACAGATTTTGTGGTCAACAAGCACACAGGAATCTCAGTGAATACATGCTTCACAGACAAGAAATATATCTTGCTAAAGCTTGAAACTGTACTTGAAAGTTTATTTTTAGTTCTGTAATCTTTATGAAACGAACACGAGGTACAGTCTATACTGTCAAATGCAAATCACATGACAGCAACTACTCAAACTATGCCCCAAAAACTAGTAGACAAAGAGTCACTGTTATTTCTGGATGAGATTCGCCATCAAGAACAAGTTGTGTATTACTTCAGAAGAACCAGGCGATCTGTCTTAGCATTATTCAGAGGATGACATTGCGTAACACACCCGTGGATTAGGTTGATGTCATGATTTCTTTCCTTTCGAGTGCGTATGCGCATTAGCTCGGGCACCCTGAAAAAATGCCAATTTTTGTTTGATTCGAATGTTTAGAAATGAAACTTATGAGATACATATTGTTACATTTTTTTTTGGTGATTCTAAATATGTAATGGGATCGTAAGCTTGGCAAACAGTTTTGGAGAATTAGATTTTTTTTTTTTTTTCCCCATTCAGGCAGAATGCCCGAGCATACTGCCCAAGAGGCATTTCAAAGATGGCCACAGAGTGAAATGAATTGCCTTAAAGAGGCTTTGGTAATAATTAGCTATCATTTTATTAAATAATGGAACTTTTGGAAAGAAAACTTTGACTTTAACTCACTAACTTAAATTATACTGATTTAAAAAGAGCACAAGACAATAAAATACCCACATTATATTAACAGTAAAATTATATGGACTGTGATTGAGTAATTTTACCATTGTTGCCATGACCGCACAGCATTGTTTTAGAGAAGTTTGCTCCTTCTTTTTTTTTTTTTTTTTTTTTTACTTGAGCATGTGTACAGTAACTGAAATATTCACAGAGTGGATCATTTTGATTATAACTCTAGATAGAACTAAGCAATAAAATTGTGGGTTGTTTTTCCAATTTTAATCTTTTCTGTATAGTTTTGACAGATTCACTCTTAAATAAAACATTTGAGTACCCTCACCTCATCTGTAAGTGTTTCTATTTTGTTTGTGTTGCAGATCTGACAGCTCCTTCAGTTTCTTCTTTTTCTTCTTCATCTTCTCATTCCAAGTGATCGTGTACATCATTCAGAGTGTGGGGATCCCCGGCTGGGGAAACAGGCGAGTCGCTCTTTCAGTGGAGACCTTTATTATAGTGTGTTTTGAATCTTTGTGTGCTCTTCTTCTCTGCATGTTCCTTTGACTGTTCTCCTTCATAATCTGCAGGTGTTGATTTTCCTGGGCTTTCTGTGAGTGTGGGATCTGTTATCTGTAATGACATGGACATCCTCATGGTCATATGCTTTTCTGGTGATCTTCTCAGCAATCTGCCTAGGTTTTAGTTTGCAGTTTCAAACTGTTTCCACTCTTGTTTTCATGTTTTATTTTTATGTATCTACTTAGATGCAGCTTGACAGCTACACATTTGTTGTTACTATAAACATACTCTCGTTCAAACCTTTATAATAACTTGTAGCAGAAACTGTGATTATAGAACTTCCATTATCAATAATTCTGTACAACAACAAAAAAGTCCACCAGTCAGAGCAAGCAAATAATGCCAAAAGAGCTTGCCAGGAAAGAAAACTTCTCCTGAAGCTCTGTGAAGGATGTCATTAAATCAGTTTCATTATTGCAATATCTTTAAAATATGGTGTTTATTCATATAATAAACAACTAATTCAGTTTTAGGATTTGTCTTTTTCATTTGATTGTCATTTGCAAGGCCTCATTGGATTGTTGGTATTTCCATCAAAGACTTCAGTTTTGTACTTTTTACACTGTTTGTAGTTGACACTTTACTTTTTAAGGCAGCCATCTTTCCTAATATTCTACAAATCTCTAACTCTCATTGGTCTATATAATACAGTCTAAATAATATTGTCTCTATAGTCTTAATAATCAGAGGTAAAATTGTGTACGTACTAAAGTTTCATTCCTCCTTTTTTAAGTGTATTGTGTTGTATTTGTTTTAGTGAAAGTGTATGCTGATTATTGTTGTGTACTGATTGTGTTGCAGTGGCTGGATCACGGCCATCTCGGTGATCAAAACTAACATAGCCTTGTCTGTCTTCATGATGGTGGTGGCTGGATTCTTCACTGTCAATGCCGTGTTCTCTGTTATCTTACTGAAAATGGTAAGTTGGTTACAGTTGTGGCCATGTCTGCATTTGTTTATCATTTTGCTAAATTTTAATGTAGTTGCATTTTTTTACACCACTGTATGGATTCTGATTTGTCATATGTAATGGCATGGTGTATTATTTCATAACAACCAGGGCGATTTTAGTCTCAAATCTATATTTTCCATTTCAAAAAAAGTACTTGTGTGGGAAACAACCATGTGATAAGTGGAGTATGTTTCCCAAACAAAAATGTAATTTGCGTCTAGAATGGTGAAATAAATGGGGAATGGGAAATAAACAATCTTGTAACAAGTGTTTCCCAAAAACAATGATTGTTCTGCCCCATACAAATAATTTAAACTGTGTTTGTTATATCGTAATACTTCCATAATGACATTCTGGTGGAGTAACATCTTTAGAGAAAACAAAATGTATTATTTTTTTCTATTATTGTCTGTTGCTGTTGTTTTGGTAATGAGCATTTAGCTTGCTCACTTCATTTTTTCCCTTTTTGGAACTTTCACCTGCATTGTTAATTGAAGCAGTTACTTTTCATGTAAACTACATGCATATTTTCTTTTGTAAACATTATTGATAATATTCCATGTTCTATTGTGCTATTGTAAACAAACCATTTACAATGACACTATCTCAAACAGAAACTAATATTCATTTATGATATAACTGACATACTGATATTTGGTCATACTCATACAATGACATTATTTTAAAAATGAAGCACTGTAAAAAAAAATTTTATTAAATCAGTTTAATTTTTAATCAAAATCTTTTACAATGTATCTAAACAATTTGCAAGGGCTCATTATGTTGTTGGTATTTCCCTAACAGACCTGCCAAAGGTTGGTAAAGTTGATTAAAAAAAGTGTTTGCATCAAGAATAACTGGTACTGAAAAAACATTTTCATTTCATTTACCATAACTGATAAAAAAAAATGTAAATCTTGTTTAAAAGTTTGCTGTCCCCCAGGTCCTAATGCACTAAGCTTTCTTCTTGAGCATTCGTGATGGTTCTGTATGAGCTTCTTAGTTGTTGTTTTTTTTTTTTCTTAGTGGGAACAGATAGATCTCACATTTATAGTTAATTCTAGAGTTAAAAAATGAAAACAGTTGCACATCATCCCGGTATTGACATTTATGATTCAGGCAAGCAGTATGTACATATTTGAATGTTTATACATTCTGAGACTCACCAATGGCATTTTATTTAAATAGCATTAAATGACATGGCTCCTGTTTTGAATGCAACATTTCAACATTAAATATGTGAATTTAAATCATTCCAAAAATGTGTTAATGTGTGATTTGGAAAAAAAAATGTTAAAATGAAGTTTGATTTGGAAGAGTTTCAAAGCAAATACAGCACTCTTTAGGTGGAATGTAATAGACCACCAGACCACGTACTTTTGGTATATTCATTGATTTCAAAACACACAAATGTTGCAAAATTCTGTTGCAAGTGAGTGAGATTTGTAGGATTTGTCTTTGTTTTTTCACATGGGGAATGTGGTTTGGTAACAGGAATGAGTGAAAAACTGAGGACACCACTAAAAGCATGCATATTATTTAACATTTTCAAACGTATTTGGAAAAAAAAAATGTAGAGCTCAGATGGAATGCAGAGGTACACATGCATGTAAAATAAATGTTGAAATGTTGCATTTGAGATTGGGGACATTCACAAAATTCTATTTTCCTAATGTTTTACATTGTGGTATTTAAATGATTACAAAACTTTTCAGTCTGATTTATGTGCAGGACAATTTAGAAGTAATTTTCATTTAAATTTATTTTAAATTTATTTTTACACATGATATCCTTGGGACATAAATTGCACCCATCTAGAGAAATGGCCTATTTATTAAAGTTTATATTAAACATTTAAATAATAATAATAAAAAAAACTTTCCATGGAAAAACACTTGAAGAAACAACACACTAAAAACTGAGCTGATCATGCTTGTGATTACTGCCATACATTAGTTTTGGCATGTTTTTTTTTTTTTTTTAACTGACTTTAAAGTTCACTCCAATTAAAGAAAAAATGCTATCATTTACTCGTCTTCCACAAAGTTTTTACTTCTGGTGAACACAAAAAAAAAACTCTGCAGAGTTTAGTAATTTTCGCGTGGAGTGGGACTAAATGGTGAGTAAATTTGAGTTTTTAGGTGAACTTCGGCTAAAATCAAACCATGGTTATGCCTACAGTTTATTCTCCCTGATCCATTTACAGTCTGTACATAATACAATTTTAAACTGCATAAAATTGCATTTTAGTAAGATGACAACATGGGAATTACTATTAGGTGCGTGTTTGTTTTAACATTTTGTACATAACTATTTCAGAGCTGAAGTCCACTAATTTGCTTTGAAAAGTGTAATCCGACATTTTCTTTCAAACAAATTTTGGACTGTGAGCAACACATTATTATATCTTCTATGACCTGAAAAACAAAGGACAGACACATTTCAAGGCCGTGTTTGAAGGAGTTTTTCCAAAACGGGACAGTCTTTATCTCCCCGCTGTGACGCATTCTGTCTTGGAATGCAGTTTTGGAAGGTTGCAGCGTCTGAATTAGGACACGGCTAATGTAGGATTTGTGCACTGATGTCTGCTTTGTTTTTTCAGGTTCACTCCATGTACAGACACACAGGTGCAAGCTTCCAGAAGGCTCAGGAGGAGTTTTCTCAGGGGGTCGTCACTAACCGAAGCTTCCAGTCTGCAGCCGCCACTGCTGCGTCCACAGCGGTACAGGGTGCATTTCATTAACAGACACACACACTCACTGCTAAAGACTCTCAATAATTCATCTGTTCTTAAACTTCCATCAAACCTCTAGCTAAAGTTAGTTAGAGGTTTGACCCCCCCATGAACATTCATTTGGTTACTGAAAATATGTGGAGGTAAAAGTTACCTGGCTGTTGATCGGTGAGGCACTTTATATGATGACAGGGGCTTTTAGTGAGGAAAAAGGACTGATCTTTCCTCAGGTTTTCTTAATGAAGGAGATAGTTAGTGGTGTTTTTATGCAGAAAGTACTACAGTAGTGTTTTAATACCAATGTTTAACTGACAGTTCATGCAGTGATATAACGTTGTTACAATATAATCAATAGTCCAAATTCCACTCAATCTAAATTTACATTTTGTAGTTTTGTCCCATTACTGTTGATCTGTATGTATTTACAAAACTTTAGTTACACTTTTATTTAATCTTAAAGATGGTTCACCCAAAAATGAACATTAGCTCATCATTTACAGTACTCTCCCTCATGCGGTTTTCAACTCTCAAAAGAACAAAAACACAAAAGAAGATATTTTGAAAAATGTTGGTTTTTGGAATTTCTAAGTAGGGAAAATATACTATACACTCAAAAAAAAAGGCATTTGACCCTTTGTTCGTTTGAACTACTCGAGCTGCAACAAAACAATTCTTTGTTTCTTTTGTTTGTTTTATTGTTTAATTTTCAATACTTTTACATTTGTAAAAACTAAGTAAAGTTCATTCCTTCATGTTGTCCTTTACACAAATTGATTGTTTGGGACCCAACATTTTTACAGTGTAAAAGTAAATGGGCGTCAGCTTTCAGAAAATATCTTATTTTATGATCAACAGAGGAAAGAAATGGTGAGTAAATGATGACAGAGATTTCATTTTTTGGGGTGAACTATCCTTTTAATACCCTAACAGAATGTATTGTACGTTAGTTGATATTTCAGCTGATGGTTGGTTTTGACAACATTTTAGCAACAATTTTGCAACAAGAAACTCTATATTTACTCTTAGACTTTCTTTTAGCGTGGACTGTTGTGAAATTATACATGCTGTTATCTATGTTACAGTCTTGTTACGATCTTAAACCGATGTAATTATTTTGCAGTGTTCTTAATGATGAACAAAATATGTATATATTTATAAATTAAGCCGATTATTTTACTACGGTTGACCTGGGTGAGCTGCTCTTCTGTTTTTGAGTTACTGTTGAATAAACGTGTTCTGATTATATTGGTCATTGGAAGTTATTATTGATGTAATAGGTCACACTTTACTACACTTAAATGTTTGCTCTTTGTTCAAACAAAATGAGCAAAAATTTAATTCTTGTTTTTTTATTTTATTTCATTTTATGTTCAATCTGCTTAAACTTGTAAAAACAAATAAGTTAACTTAATTCTTTCATGTTGTCTCAATGCAAATTAATTGTGTGAGAGCCATCATTTCTTACAGTGTATAAGGATTTATTAGTTAGTATTCACTAACATGAATAAAGTATGAAGCATTTATTAATAGTAATTCAACATTTGCTACTTATTATCAAAGTTGTGCTCGTTAACATAATTCACTGTGAGTTAACTAGATTTAACAATGAATGCCTGTATTTTAATTTCTAATGCTGAATTAAATACATTGTTCATTGTTGGTTTATGTTAGTAAATACACTTAAAAACATTGTCTAACAAAGATTAACTAATGAGACCTTATTGCAAAATGTTACAGTGCACCGTAATAATGGGGTCTGCATTACAATATAAAGTTGATATTACAGTACATACATTTATTACTATACAAATAAGATTAATGTAGGTGTCTTAATAATGTTTAAACTTAAACTGTAACTATAGAGCTTTTTGTATCCAGCATATTGTAATGATGTCAGCAAAATTATCAGAAATTTAAAATTAGCAAGCATTAGCCATTCTGTTTGATAGTTATTTAAAATGTAAAAGTAAATAAAAGTAAAAGTGAAGTTTACCAAACTGTGCTACTATCAAATAAAGCCCAACTGACTCTGAAATACAGTTTAAGTCAAAATCATTAGCCACCCCTTTGATTTATTTATTTTTTTATATTTTCCAAATTATCTTTAACAGAGCAAGGACATTTTCACAGTTGTCTGATAATATTTTTTCTTCTGGAGAAAGTCTTATATATATATATATATATATATATATATATATATATATATATATATATATATATATATATATATATTTTTTTTTTTTTTTTTTCCGGCTTGAATGAAAGCAGTTCTTAATTTTTTAAAACCCATTTTAAGGACAAAATTATTAGCCCCTTTAAACTATATTTTTTTTCGATGGTCTACAGACCAAATCATTGTTATACAATAACTTGCCTAATTACCCTACCCTGCCTTTTATGTCACTTTAAGCTCTATAGAAATGTCTTGAAAAATATCTAATCAAATATTACTTACTGTCATCATGGCAAAGATAAAATAATTCAGTTATTAGAGATGAGTTATTAAAACTATTGTGTAGAAATATGTTGGGGAAAATCTTCTCTCCGTTAAACAGAAATTGGGGGAAAAAATAAATAAAGGGGCTAATAATTCTGACTTCAGCTGTGTATATAAGTACATAATAAAAATAAATGATAAAGTATTCACAAGTGTGCCCAATACTCATCAGTTATCAAAAATGTTACATACAGTGCACAAGTTAAGAGCTTTTCTGTTTTGACTATTTAGAATTATATAGATATTTTCATTTTTTACAATGCTGTAATAAAAAAATATATTTTTTAAATGAAAGTGTGCAGTTATGAATATTGAACTAATAAAATGATCATATTAATCATATAGTCTAAGCTTTATTTTTGACAAGTCAATAAAAAAAAAAAAAACTTTTGTAGTGCAAATCAAAATTGTGAAGTATATTTTTCCTTGAAGATATTTTAACCAAAGCAACAATTAACATCAATATCTCGTTAAAACGTGGAGAGAATTTTTACAGGATATATGAAATAGAAATGCATCTGACAAACTAAAACTATATCCTTGTCAGATCAGCTTAAAAACACTTAAATAAATAATCCTTTTATTTTTGCACAAAATCAAAGTTATTTCAGATAGTTTGTTTTTAAATGATCTTGTTTTATTTATTTTTTTTATTTAACAGAAACATGTAAACAACATCAAAAATGATAATATAATAATTGTTATGACAAATATTAACTTATTAAATTATTAAATATTATCAAATACAAATGTATTAATTTTATTAGTTTGTAAAACATAAATAAATAATTTAATATGAGCAAAGCATAGCACACCATGTTTACACATTTTCATTTTAAAGATTCTCAGGGAAACATTTGTTATATTTTATAAATATCTTTCATTTTTTTGCTTATCAACCGTTTCACAGAAGAACTCAAGAGATCAAAATCAATACTAATCGCTGTTAATATAAGCGATGACTTAGCAACTTTTTGTTTATGTATGTGACCTTTTGCCAATACAATACAAAGATTAACAATACATTCAATATCTTTTTTGGATTTGTTTTGTAATAAAAATATGACTTATTGTAAAACAATGTAACTTCGACCTATCAAGAACATATTTTGCTAAATCCAACTAGAAATGTTTTTAATGGTCATATGATCATGTTGTTGTCACTTTTAACGTCATCCTAAAAACGCCAATCACGTTTCTACAGCTCGCATACATTGTCAATAAGCCAATCATAGCTGTCTTTGGGCGGAGCGTGTGAGTTGTATAGTAGTATTGGATTACAGTCGAGTGTACAGTAGGTGAAGTTTACAAAATGCTGGCGATCAAAATCATAAATGTGTCCGTGCGTGATGTGAGATTCCCGACGTCACTGGAACAACATGGATCCGATGCAATGGTGGGTCACCTTCTTAATTCACTTCTCCATGCTGTTGAACTGTCATCTCAGAGTTGCTCGATGCACCATCAATAAAGAATCCACAACATGTAAATTGAGTATGATTGATTTGCAGCACACAGATCCAGATTATTCTGTGGCGTATGTTGTTCTGGAGACGGACAAAGCTGAACTCAAGGGTTACGGCTTGACTTTTACTGTGGGAAGAGGGACGGAAATCGGTGAGTTATCTTCACTTATCCAACAAGTATACAAATATGTCACATGATAACCGTCCAATGTCATATGATTACATTAACAACTCAAGTATGGCACCTTGTGGCGAAAATTGGTGGTGATGGAATAAAATGTTATGTATACTTGGTTGAAATTATTATTAAAATTATTAGCTCTGCTGTAAAATTGTTAATATTATGTTAACATATTATGTTACATAAAATTGACTATTAGTGTTGTTAATCCAACATCTTACAAAGATTTGTAGTCTACAGTTCATTTATTTGTAGGCCTACTGTGTATATAATATTTGCATATGTTGCATATGCAATATTTGTTATGCATATATTACAAACATGCCTTTATGTTTAAAACATGAATTTACACTAGAAAAAAAAACCTATGCATTTTACGATGAAGGTGTGTGTGGTCTTCACTGACTCGATAGGTGCTGTGTATAGTGTCAAACAGCATTGTGTGTGTGTGTGTGTGTGTGTGTGTGTGTGTGTGTGTGTGTGTCTGTGTGTGTGTGCGTGTTTGTGCGTGTATATGTGTGTTTCAAATACTTATTTATCAAATATTTAATCATTACCTACTGTCAGGGTCAGACAGATATCTCTCATATAATACAAAGTCTCTCATGATGCATTTTCTGAAATGCAGATTATATTACTTCACAAACTGTATTGTAATTAAATCAAATTAACATTTTCATATTAGTCAAAATTATTACTGAAATTATTTTAACAGCTAAAGAAATATAAATGAGCACACATGTAAATAAATAGACCTAATCATGGGCAAAAAATCTGTGGAAATCTGCAGATTTCTGCATGCACAGATTCCGTGTAGGCCTACTTGTTGTATGTAGTTTCAAATGAAATTATTACTCCGGTCATTATTGCTTTTATTACTATTACATTAAAAATAATAATAATTATTATTATTAATATTAGAGTGATGTTTAAAAGATCATGTGATTGAAGCTTGAAGCAATGAAGCTGAATTTTTTTTTTAATCACTGGAATAAATGATTAAATTAAATGATAAACTACTTTTTATTATTTTATAGTGCAAAACATTTTACAACGTGTACTGTATTTTGATCAAATAAATGCAGCCTTGGTGAGCAGGAGAAGATTATTTTAAAACATCTAAAAATCCTACTCACCCCAGACTTTTGACCAATAGTGTACTTGTCATATATATGTCAAGTTGAGCTTTATTGTAATACCACTACATGTGTGAACATACTGAGGAGCGAAATGTCATGTTTCGAAGGACGACGGTGATCCATAATAATAAATATAAGCACAACACTGGACATACAGACAAAAAGAAAAACATATGCATAACTAACATCTACTAAAAGGTACTTATCTATACTCATCTAATAATGCAAATATATTGTTTTTGTGTGTATGAGTGTGTGTATTTATACAATGAAAACTCACAAAACACGTTTATATATTATGTAAATACATCGCTCTCTTACCCATGTCGTTGGGATTATTCACTAGTTTCAAATTATCCATTATCCACTAACTGCTACTGTTACATTGTGATGATGTGCCACTTGGTTGCAGTGCACTTGGGTCCATTAAAACATATAAAATAAAATAAAAACTGTCAGACTGTTGACTGTAAGAGGTAGATTTATGCTGTTTTAATGTTATTTTTTACTAAATAAATATGCAGGTTTTGTAAATGTGGGCTATTTGGTTTTTGAAAAGTCATTTGCTTTAAATGGCTTTTGTTTGTGTGTGCGTGTGTGTGCGTGCGTGCGTGCGTGTGTGTGTATAATTTGAAATGTCAAGCAATCCTTCAATTATTCATTTGTTCATTTATTCATTCATAATTTTTATTGTTAATGCAGACTTTACACTTTTATTTCTTTTGAATATTATTATCATTAATAATCATCATCTACAAAAAATTTTTTTTTCTACATCATCTACAAACTTTTTTTTTTCTACAACCTGTAGGTTTGTTAAACAAGATCTGTGTGTGTGTCTTGAGTATGTGGTTCGGGTATTCATCATGTTGTTGGGAACAAATGTCCCCTCAAGCATAGCAATAGACTTTTTGTGTCCCCATGATGAGACCGCATGTGACAGCTCATATATCATTCAGAATAAAGTATTTTTGAAAATGTTAAACTGCAGACAAAATGTTTTCTTTATGTCTGAGCTCTGGCTGGGCCACTCAAAGACATTCACAGAGTTGTTGTAAAGCCACTCTATTGATATTTTGGTGGTGTTCTTTGGATCATTGTCCTGTTGGAAGATGAACCATCACCCCAGTTTAAGGTCAAGAGCACTCTGAAGCAGGTTTTCATTCAGGATGTCTCTGTAGAGTGCTGCATTCATCTTTCCTCTATCCTGACTAATCTTCCAGTTCCTGCTGCTTAAAAACATCCCCACAGCAATGATGCTGCCACCACCATGCTTCACTGTAGGGGTGGTATTAGCCTGGTGATCAGCGGTGCCCGGTTTCTCCAAACTTAGCGTCTGGCATTCACTCCAAAGAGTTAAATTTTAGTCTCACCAGAACAGAGAATTTTGTTTCTTATGGTCTGAGAGTCCGTCACATGCATTTTGGCAAATTCCAGGTGAGGAGTGGCTTCCGCCTGGCCACTCTACCATACAGGCCTGATTGGCGGATTGCTGCACAGATGGTTGTCCTTCTGTAAGGTTCTCCTCTCTCCACAGAAGAACGCTGGAGCTCAGAGTGAACATCGAGTTATTGATCACCTCCCTGTCTAAGGCCCTTCTCCCCCGATCACTCAGCTTAGATGGCCGCCCAGTTTTAGGAAGAGTACTGGTGGTTCCAAACATCTTCCACTTACGAATGATAGAGGCCACTGTGCTCATTAGAACTTTCAAACCGGCAGACATTTTTCAGTAACCTTCTTCAGTCTTGTGCCTCCAGACAATTCTGTCTCGGAGGTCTACAAACAATTCCTTTGTCTTCATGCTTTGTTTGTGCTTTGACATGCACTTTCAACCCTTTGACCGTATATAGACAGGTGTATGCCTTTTCAAATTATGTCCAATCAACTGAATGTACCACAGGTGAACTCCAATGAAGCTGCTGAAACCTCTCAAGAATGATCAGTGGAAACAGAATGTAACTGAGCTAAAATTAGAGCTTCAGGCAAAGGCTGTGAATACTGATGTACATTGGATTTTCAGGTTTTTTATTTTTAATAAATTTGCAACAAATTTCAAAAACTCTTTTTTTCCACATTGTTATTATGGGGTATTGTGTGTAGAATTATGAGGCAAAAAATGAATTTAATCCATTTCGGAATAAGGCTGTAACAAAAAATGAGGAAAAAGTGAAGCGTTGTGAATGCTTTCCGCATGCACTGTATGGTATAGAGTTTGGATAGGGACAGAGTTTGGACAGCCAGTCTAAATAGTACAGAATTTGTTGAATCCATGGGAATTCCAAATAAAGCATGAAAACAAATGTATGTGTTTTTCTATTTTTAGTTGTGTGTGCAGTTAAAGCTTTATCCACCCTGGTGGTGGGGAAGACTTTAGAGGAAATAACCAGTGACTTCCGAGGCTTCTACAGACTCCTGAGCAGCGATGGTCAGATGAGATGGGTAAGAGAGACACACTGAGTGCAGACCCTTCAGTTCATTAACAGCTAAATGAATAGATGAACTCACTTACAGATCGGACCAGAGAAAGGAGTCATTCATCTGGCAACAGCAGCCGTATTGAATGCTGTCTGGGATTTATGGGCAAGAGTAGAGAGAAAGGTGAGCAATAAAACCTTCAGGACAAATTCGTCTGCATGCTGTCTGCTTGCATTCAGTAGGTGATGTAATAATGAATGTAGAATACCATTAAAAGTCAGAATCAATGTGTTTTGCAGCCCTTGTGGAAGCTACTTGTTGACATGGTAAGTGTAAATGATATTTGGTATTTATACGATTATATGTAAGATATAAAAAAAGAAGTTACTGCAGTTAGGCATTATTAGACATTGATTGGTGATTGGACTGCAGTTTTGATAATATGAGGGGCAAAATGTAAAAAAAAAAAAAAAACAATAAATTAATATTTTAAATTATTACATTAAGAAGACTAATAAGGTTTTATTTCATTCATACATACATACTGTTAGGTCCATAAATATTTGGACATCGACCCAATTCTCTCATTTTTGACTCTATACACAAACACAATGGATTTGAAATTAAACTAACAAGATGTGCTTTAACTGCAGACTGTCAGCTTCAATTTGAAAGTATTTACATCCAAACCAGGTGAAACGCTGTAGGAATTACAACAGTTTGCTTATGTCCCTCCCACTTTTTCTGTCCAATTACTTTTGGTCACCTAACAAGTGAGAGGTACATATGCAAACTGTTGTAATTCCTACACCAATACCTAGATTTTAATCTAAATACCCTCAAATTAAAGCTGACAGTGTGCAGTTAATGCACATCTTTATTTCATTCATTTAATTTCAAATCAGTTGTGTTGGTCTATAGAGCACCTTTGCAAGTTAAAAATCAAATAGAGTACAACTTAGTGTAAGACCAAAACATCCCATGAGTAATCTAGAGCCGGTGACATAATGCTTCAGGTCTCACATCTTGAGAACACAACTTAAGATATTTCAGGTTAAATCTGAGAGCTCCCTCGTCCTCCATAGACAGCAACAATCCTGAGACATTCAGTCTTCTTTTTTTAAAAGAATACATTTGTGCCCAACCCCCATAAATATAAATATGAATGTACTTGCCTATATCTTCTCTTCTATGCAAACAGACATACAGTATGCCAATGTTCAATAACTCTATTTATTTTGATAATGAACATGCACAATATTGTTACTGTGGAGACTTCACAATATAGTGACTATTCATTTTTTCAACTTTTAAAATTTTTTTTGTATTGGCAGTGGTGTTCATAACGGCACCAAATGACTGAAGACTTGATGGACTGTTTATTTTCTAACACAAACATTTTCCCATGTTATTCCGACCTACAACATTGGAAGTTCTGTTCTTATATATGGCCTTTTGTTTGTACAGTTTATTTACCTGGAGTCAATGCAGTGAGCACCATAGAAGTATTTAATAACCTTAGGTGATGCCTGATAAATCATTCAACTCAAAAGTCGCAATTGTTTATGGAGATAATGACCAACAAAAGTTAGTCAGTTGTTTATAACCATAATATGACTTTTAATGCATTGATGTTTACTAATGAGACCATATTGTAAAGTGTCATCTAAATGTACTTATCATAATTTGCGAGTTTCATGTGCAATAAAGCAACACACCAAAAATTCTCTTCTTGCATCCTAGGTTAGTATTTTGATAATACTGTATACCATGATATAAAAGCAATTAATCACAACACAAACATCTGATACTGGCAGAAGCCTGGAGTCAAATCAGGGTGCACATTTACAACAGGCAATCTGACATATTGCCAGCAGTGTAAAATGCAAGTGTCATAAAGGCTGTAGTAAATGCACACCCTCCCTTGCCATAGAAAACACTAGTGATGTCTATGAAGGATGAGAAGCTCTTAGATTAAATCTCAAATATCTTAATTTGTGTTCTGAAGATGAACAAAGGTCACATGAGATTTTAATGACATGAGAGTCAGTCATTAATAACACAACGTTCATTTTTAGGGTGAAATTATTAAAAGTTATAATTAATCTACAAATCATTCATTGAGGTCGAGGTATATTGCGCAGCTCTTAAACACTGAACGTTCATCATTATGTTTATTTTCATATATATTTTAAATCTTCTGCTTAGGATCCTGCAAAGCTGATCAGCTGTATTGATTTCAGATATCTCACTGATGCTCTGACGGAGCAGGAAGCTTTAGGTCAGGATTTTATCAGCTTTGTTAAATATTGAGCTGTTTTATACATTTACATGTAATGCTTTGCCTTTTTATTCTGTCTTCTTTTTAGATATATTGGTAAAAGGCAAAAAAGATCAGAAAAGTAGAGGTAAGAACCGTTGTTTAGACATCACTGAAGTCCTTACATGAACTACAGTTCAAAGGTTTAGATATGATCATATTGAATTCATATTTCTCATAGAGTTTCCTTTGATCACAGAAGTACTATATATATTCAGTAATAATGCTTAAAATTGTAGGTAAACAGAGTTTTATTATTATTATTATTTAAATCTATATTTTTCTGTTCCTGTAGCATGCATTTAATTGTTCCAAGGTGATGATAAATATTGTACATTGCTAAAATATGTTTATTTATTGCTAAATAATGAATTCTGAGAAAACTCTGAGAAAATCGTGAAAAAAGAAAAACTGTTTCCAGCATTGATAATGACTGATGATGATAAAAAAGATGTTGCATCAAATAAAAGTATGGGAATATGATCTAAAGGATTATGTCTTTGAAGACTGGAATGCTGAGTATGTTTCAGCTTTGTCACCACAGTAATAACTTGAATTAAAAAAAAAAACAAATATGGTTATTTTAAATAACAATTAAATTTCACCATTTTATTTTATTTGATTAGTAGTAAAGTTTTAAGCTCAAGGTAAAAAATAAATCTTAACAAACCCTTTATATGACTTATTTACAGGAAAAATATGGTCTAACAAAGTGAGCGCATAAATAATCCGCCTTTCCACAGATAATGCATTTTCTCTGTGGGCATTAATGATTTTTTTAAAAATGTATAATCTTTCTGGGGCTGTAAATGAACTATACTGACATTATCTTTATTATCTGACATTATCATCACCAATCACTTTACAGAGGAACAGATGTTGAAAGAAGGCTATCCTGCCTATACCACTTCCTGTGCCTGGCTGGGTTACACTGACCAGCAGCTTACACAGGTATGGCTGTTCTTTATCTGTTCTTTATGGTTTCTGCTGCAGTATAAACACATTCAGACACAGAAGTGATTTTAGGATTTTTATTTAAGAAGGGACCAGCTCTTTAAAAGGGTATACTAATTAAAAGATATATGTAAATTGATTAATTTTTCATATAGTAATAGTAATAAGTAATAATATGAAAGTACTACAACTAAAATCTTCGACTAATATGGTAGGATTGTGTATAGTTAACTTATAGGGCTCTATTTTGACGGTCTATGCGCAAAACGGAAAGCGCAGGGCGCGAAGGAGAACGGGAAAATCCACTTTGCGCCATGGCGCATGGTCTAAAAGGGTTGAGTTTATTTTCTTAAATCGTTATAGGTGTGTTTTGATTATAAACCAATCAGAGTCTCATCTCCCATTCCCTTTCCCTTTCCTAAAATAGCAGCGTGCCAGCAAAGCGCCAAAACACACCTGCTTTTTTAGACCAGAACGCCTATGGGTGCACATATGAGCGCAAATGCATTTGCAAATGCATATTTAAAAAGCATGGCGCAACACCTTAAAATGACCCTTGCGCTGAGCTGAAAGTAGCAAATAACAATTGTGTCAGGCCTTGCGCCACATTGCGCCAGGTGTATGATAGGGCCCATAGTATTCATCTGTGTTTCAAAGTCAGCCATATGAGTACTGAATGAACTAAAAGTTCTTTCTGATTCCACATAAACCTGTTTTGATGTACAAGCATAACATTGGATTGTTTGCATTACTCAGTTAAAATACAAACCTCTTTCTATACTCGGATACATTTTTGTTTCTATTATTATTAAGAAATGAAACTCTGTCACTTTTCTCATTCGAAAAGACAAATATAAGCAATTCATTCACATATGCATATTTCACATTATCGTCACCTTGGAATTATAAGGTTCTATCGGCGTTATGAATGATTTTGAGATATTGAGCTTTAAAATTTGCATTCCATATAGCAAACAGTGTGTAACATTTTTTTTTTCATACATTAACGTGACAGAGACCCTAAATGTACTCTTAATGTAAATTATTAAAGTTCTCTTACATTTGCAAATTGGAGTAAAATACACAGGTCATTTTTCACTTGGAAGGTTCTATCTTGCAGATCATTGACTAAAGCATTACTTTTTAAGAAATACAATCAAAAAATATATAATTTGTTGTTGTAACAACATACTGATGCTTGAGAAAGTTAAATTTTTGCCTTCTTAAACATTTATTTAATGTTTTAGGGTGAATATTTCTTCTTGTTTAAATTAATCATACAAGGCTGGGCTAAATATTTTATCCAGTGCAGATGCTAATTTTATCTAATCAATATAGTAATATTTATTACATTTTATTCTTTATATGAATTATTAAATTATATTTATTGGATTATTTACCCCTTAAATTAAATTAAGTATTTGGCTTTTAAGGCTTAATATTCAATTTAAAGAAGAAAACAGATTATGAGCAAATGAGTTTAATAAACACAGAAAAATGTTTCACTGACTATATTTACACAAATAAAATGTTTTACATTTGATATATGACTTTTTAAATAACTGTTTCTTTTTCAACAATGTAAAATTTAACATTTTATCTTAATGTCAAAAATGCTTCTAAATCATCACATTTACACACACCTTTTCAGTTTCAGGTTTCTTCTCAGTTTTGTGTGGTGTGCAGCATTATTTAGTCGACTCTGATTTTGTGTGATTTTGTCTTTCTGGTGTTTCCCGCTGTCAATGGAGCAGTCCGTCGAAATGACAAAGAAAGCTGATCTTGATTGGTCCTCATGCGTGCATTAAAAAATGTTGATTGGCTAACAGAAAGAATCTTATAGAGCCAAGCAAGAGTTCAACTTTGCCGATAAAACCGTTTTTATTTTTTTAAATAAAGTGTTAAAATGTAATATACTTATAAAAACATTAATCAACTTATAAAAACCTTATAAAAACATCACAGAATATAGATAAGTTGTCATTTAATAAGAATATATCAATAACTCAATTTTGACAAAAATGTCAGACGTTAAGGCCTGACGTTAAGGTGACGTTAAGGCCTGAGTTGAATATTAAACCATAACAAGAAAATCATACAAGACAACAGTTAATATGCAGATAAAATTTTTACATTTACTTTGTAGGTGTTTTTTTGCATGACTCTATGTATAGTTCTATGCAATCTCACAGCAATTACTTAGTGTTACATGTACTGTAATATGTTTTATGTTCAAAGTTAATTTTGAATTTAAAATAGCTAAATGTTCATTATGAGCTAACAATACATTTTTCTTGAGGAAACAGCTGTGGTGTGATGATGAGGGGTAAATACTGCGAAAACAGTAGATGGGAAACCATTTGCCTCTTCATCACATTTATTAGGCTGTAACAAAAAAAAAAAAAAATACAGATATTATAACAGTCTATCCATAAATGCGCACCTTGTTCTCTCGCTATGCGCCGCTGTTTCCATATCAAATGTAATGTTGACTGAGGTCATCACAAATTAGTGTATACCATTTAACACTATACATTTGTATTGGGACAACATAAAGAAATTAAGTTAATTTATTAGTTTTTACAAATTTAAGTGAATTGAAAATAAAACATTTAACTTTAGAACTATCGTTATATCGAGCTCATTTTAAATAAGTATATTGAACAAAAGCAAAAATATGTTTGATGCCTTCATGGCGCTAATTTTAAGCTAGCTCAAACGTTTTAGGGGTGCTGAGTAGAAATCGGATTTTCTGAATAGTCTAAAATTTTCGTAGTTTTGCCCATGGCAAGACATTAACAAAATTCTTTTGTTCAACATGTTTTTCTTTTATAGCTCTGCAATGAAGCTCTTGCTCAAGGATGGACTAAATTTAAAGTGAAAGTCGGGGCTGATTTGCAGGATGATATTCGTAGATGCAGCCTTATTCGAAAGCTGATTGGACCAAACAACACACTGGTGATTCAAAGTCAAATGTTTGTTTTTTGCAAAACAATACACTGCTGGAATGAAGTAGTTAGTTGTTTTAAGTAGATCAGATTTCACTTAAGTCAAAGGATTAGTTCACCCAAAAAATAAAAAAGGAAAAAGGTCTATAGTCAGCACTAGTTGTTAGCACTGTCACCTCACAGCAAGAAGGTCACTGGTTCAAGTCCCACCTGGGTCAGTTGGCTTTTCTGTCTTTGCATATTTTCCATGTTGGTGTGGGTTTCCTCCGGGTGCTCCGTTTTCTCCCACAGTCGAAACGCGTGTACTATAGTTGAATTGGATCAACTAAATTGGCCGCAGTGTGTATGTAAATGAGTGTGTATGGAGGTTTGACTTCCCAGTACTGGGTTGCAGCTGAAAGGGCATCTGCTGCATAAAACACATGCTGGATAAGTTGGCAGCTCATTCTGCTCTGGTGACCCCTAATGAATAAAGGGACTAAGTCAAAGGAAAATGAATGAATGAATGAAGATGTTTGCTAAGGACTAGCCTACTTAAGAAAAAAAAATGGTGAACTAACCCTTTAAAGTTAGTCCAAACTAGAAGCAGAAGGTTGTGTTTGGGCTATGGAATTTTATAAATAAACTTTATATTTGCATATCAGATGATTGATGCCAACCAACGGTGGGATGTTAATGAAGCAATCACCTGGGTAACCAAGCTGGCAGAGTTTCAGCCACTGTGGATTGAGGAGCCCACCTGTCCTGATGACATTCTAGGTCATGCTTCCATCTCTAAGGTAAACTGGTTCAATATGTTCACTATAATCTCATGCAAGTCAGGTTTTGAGTTTTTGTGTCTGTGTGGTGTTCTAGGCACTTGCACCTTTGGGTATCGGAGTTGCCTCTGGAGAGCAGGTCAGTGAATGTGTGATGGTGCAAGAGTTGCATCATAAAAGGACCCACTTTAGATTTAGATGTCTCATTGTTCTCCATTATGCTTTGTTATTTACAAATGCTGTGTTTCAAAGGAATAGTTTCCCTCATGTCATTCCAAACTTGTATCATGTTTTTTCTTATGTGAAACACAAAAAGGTGATACTTTTTTGCAATTTTGCCTGTTACGCTGTGTTTTGTTTTTAACTACCAAGGTTAAAAAACACTTTAATTGTCTTAGGATATAAATTGCAGCATTCGCTCTCTTCTCACTATGTCTGAAGGTTTATTGGTAATAGCCTATTTAAGGTAATAAGTTTAATCAAGAATCTGGTCTAGCACTGTAATATGAACGGTAAGAGTTACATTATTTTATCCTTACTAAAGTCCTTACTAATTCCTGCAGTACTTTTGATCTAAAAGATTGGGTATTTGTAAGTCATTTTAAGTGAAAGATGCGTATTTGAAACAATGCAATGCAGGTTTGATGAAAATATTCAGGTATCTTAAACAGAATGTTAGTATAAAGCTGCAACAACAATAAAAATAATAAATGTAAATGATACATTAAAGCAGAAGCATTTTCTTAAAAATACTGTGAGTAAGATGGCTTTGGAAACTCATAAGCCCTTAATTCTTAATTAATGATAATTGTCAGATGTTTGAAACATGTCTATGGATTGAATTCAAACGGCTGTTACTTGTCAATAATTATTTTTTAAAAATTACAAATGAATAACAATAAAGCCACAAGGTGCATGATATATTGTGTGGAATTGTACTTTTACAGTTCCTGTAACTATTGTTGCATTATATCGCTATTTACAGGGGAAAGTAGCTACCTAAAATGTTACACTGTTTTAAAAGTAGCTGAGTTGCTGTCAAGCTACTGAAACTTGCAGTTACATTTGTTATGTTGCTAGTTGTAGCTACACTGTTAACGATTTTTGTAAATTTCACTGTATTGTAATATGAACCATATTTTACTGTAGGATACTTATGCAGAATGTTACTGTATTTTAAAAGTTGCATTGTGAAAATGAATGTCTTTTTTACAGTAATGACATATGATACTGTAAATACATATACAGCAAGATAAATGGTGCTATAAATATACAGTATGTCGTAACCAACTTACAGTAAGTTACTGTAGATTTTTACAGGAAATTGTTAACGGTGTAGTCACTCTTCAACAGGATAAAAGTTTGCATTTTTCTTTGATTTAAGCCTCTGTCTGTGTTTATTAGCAGCACCAGATATAGCTGTGGTCAGGGGCACCACTGGCCGCCACGGGCCCTCTGACAACATGGATGAAAGTGAAAATTGGGGCGTTGGGTGGGGGTGGGTGGTGGGGTGGGGGGTTCGTGGGCAAATTTGAATATTAGAGGGTGGGGTTTATGGGGTGGGGGGATGGGGGTCAGGGCCCTTAATAATATCTCTGGTGCCCCAAAAATGCATGGGCCCTTAGAATTGTCCTAATTTTAGCCCCTGCCCCACCCAACTCCACCACCCCTGCAGCAGCACCCCTGGCTGTGGTATGAACAACAGTTGAACCCAGTTGTGTTGTCCCATTTCCAACTGGACACATACGTTTTTTTTTTTTTTTAAATAATGGATGTATGGACACGCACAACTTTCTGAAAAAAAAAAAAAAAATTACTTGATCATCTTTGACTGGATGTTGTCAGTATGCAAACTATTACAACCCTACATGGGTTTGTCGAGGAATTGAGACTGAAATTTTACACATCCTAAAATTTTGACTATTTTAAAATATAATTGTTTCTAAAATACATAACTGTTCAAACACAGTGGGCCTTGGTGACTTCTTTTTTTTTTACTTTTTTTGACTTGGCTTGGAATGATGTGAGGGTGGGTACATGATGACAGAGTTTACTTTTTCTTTGTCAAAATTTAACTTTAAAGTTGTCTTTGATGGAGCTGAATGTCTGTTGATCATTGTGTGCTTGTGTGCAGTGCCATAACAGAGTGATGTTCAAGCAGTTTCTCCAGGCCTCAGCTCTGCAGTTTGTTCAGATTGACAGCTGTAGGGTCGGCAGTGTTAATGAGAACCTTGCCACTATACTCATGGCTGCCAAGTTTAATGGTAAATGGATTATATATGTTATCATCAATGTACAGCAAGCGATTATGTGGACATGTAGGCAACAATGGGGTATATGCACACAAACTTTGAATTTTCAGTCAGCCAGCACAAATCTTTTAATTACAAAATTGCCACATTTGTTTCTTTAAAAATCAATGATCTACACTGCCTAATAGTAATCCGATTTAAAGTGGGTCTCAAACCAGTCAAGAAGCACTGCATTAAATACCATTTCCCCCGGCCATGTCTTTAAAATACGACAGTTTATTTTACTCCAGTATTTTCTGCGCTAGTCTGCTGCTACTGTCTTTCATCTCTTTTCATGCTTAAACAACTAAATGAATGTTGTTTAACTGATGTAATTGTAATTAAAACTGTATTTTGTAATTAAAACTGTATTTCAATTACATCAAAACATCGGTGCTGTAAAAGAAACCTTATGAAATTCAAAATAGTCACTTTAACCTTTTACCGGAAGTTTATTGTTGTCTAAAAACACTAGCTGACTGTGCATAGAGCCCATTTCACAAGTTTATTTAATAGGATAGTTCACCCAAAAATGAAAATTCTGTAATCATTTACTCACCCTTGACTTTGGAAGATATTTTGAAGAATGTTGGAAGCCTGTAATCACAGACTTTCATAATATCTGTTTTTTTCTACTATGTAAATGAATGGTTACAGGTTTCCAGTCAAGAATGAGTAAATGATGACAGAGTTTCAGTTTTGGCATGAACTCGCCTTGGAAATCTTATATTGTGAAAGGAAAAACACAAAAACTGGTCAAGGAATTTAATATCTGCCAACTCTAGCTAATACAAACAAATCACAGAAAAAAATCTGTTATCATAAATGCAACCTTATCGTTTAAATCTATTGAGTACAATATACTTATAAAGTGTACATCAATATGTGAAGTACAATGTGAATATTACTTTGGCCAATTCTGTAAATATTTGCATTTTTTCCTGCAATTTAAACATACAGTATGTCCTGTTTTTCTCTGCAGTTCCTGTATGTCCTCATGCTGGCGGTGTTGGACTGTGTGAGCTTGTACAGCACCTTATTTTGTTTGACTACATTTCAGTGTCTGCTAGTTTAAGTAATAGGTATGTGCAAACAAAAAAAATGTGTTATTTGTGTGAACCTGGCTTGTCATTTATTAAGTACTTTACCTCATTGTTATCAGTGTGGGTAATACAGTAGGTCGAGTCAGAATCTGCGGACATCTTTCACAGTTTCTGGGCAGAATTTTGTTAAACATCTGCATATTTACAGTTGAAGTCAGAATTTTTAGCCCACCTGAATTATTAGCCCCCTGTTTATTTTTTCCCTCAATTTCTGTTTAATGGAGAGAAGATTTTTTCAACACATTTCTAAACATAATAGTGTTAATAACTCCTTTCTAATAACTGGTTTATTTTAACTTTGCCATTATGACAGTAAATAATATTTGACTAGATATTTTTCAAGACACTTTTATACAGCTTAAAGTGACATTCAAAGGCTTAACTTGGTTAGTTAGGTTAACTAGGCAGGTTAGGATAATTGGGCTAGTTTTTCTATAATGATGGTTTGTTTTGTAGAATATCGAAAAATAATTTAGCTTAAAGGGGCTAATAATTTTGTCCTTTTAATGGTTCAGAAAAAATGTATCTGCTTTTATTCTAGCCAAAACAAAACAGATAAGACTTTCTCCAGAAGAAAAAATATTATCAGACGCACTGTGAAAATTTCCTGGCTCTGTTAAACATCATTTGGGAAATATTTAAAAAAGAAACAAAAATTCAAAAGGGGGGCTAATATTTCTGATTTCAACTGTACATGCAGAATGATTTTGCATGATGAGTATTAACTTAATATAAAAAATAAATAATAACACCTTTTAAAGTTTTATTTAATGTATACAATGCAACTCCAATTATATCAACTTATTTGGTAAACAAAGCAAGCCTCTCATATAACATATCTACTAAAATACTTTTTAGTATCACTTATTAATTTACATACTGTATCTGTAAATAAATCAAATGAACTATTCAATCAAATCAATTTGATCATTTTTAATCAAACTAATTTTCTATGTTAGAAATTAATATTACTTAAATTTAACTGAATAAATATAAATTTACACACATTTACACTGGTAAATATATAGACTCAATGATTGGCTAAATATTTGCTGATTTCTGTGCACGGATTCCATGTGGGCCCAGTCATAGACCAGTCAATTAAATTAATACTAAATAATCTGTTAATTATTCAGCTTTAATTTATAATTAAACTGCCTTTTAAATTAATACATTTAAAAAAAATAACTGAATATTAATGTGATTAAATCAATCCCAGTTAGATTTTTTTGTATTTGTTTAAAATCAATAGATAAATAAAAAATAGGGAAGATTAGTCATTAATTAGCTTGCCAAATACTGTTATAAAGTTTCCTTGGTTCATGTCAGTTGACTCATATTCATATCTCCTCATTTATTATTGTGTTTTCAATTTCTAACAAGACTTGTATGTAAATATGAAGCATTGAAATAAATTAGATTGGATACATTTCAAATAAGTAAAAAATGTCAGAAACTAGTAGCAAGCATTTGTTTGGTTATGATTTGATGAAAAGCTGAAGTATGAGGTAAACAAAACCGTTGATCTATATAGGCATAAGAGACAAACTACAAGCTTTACGTGTTTATATCAGTTTTATATCTTCTAAATGTGAATTTTGTCAATGCTTTGGAGCACACTAGTTTATAAATATCTTAAAAACTAACAATACTTATACTAACATCTAAAAAACTGTATTTTAAATTCATTGGACCTTTAAATTAATACATTTGTATATTAGTCTGTTATATTACTAGGATCAAATTCATCCCAATTAAATTTTTGTATTTGTTTAAACTAACTAACTAACTAACTAACTAACTAACTAACTAACTAACTAACTAACTAACTAACTAACTAACTAACTAACTAACTAACTAAATAAATAAATAAATAAATACATAAAAATAGAGAATATTAGTCATCAATTAATTTACCAAACACTGTAATATAGTCCCTTTAGTGCATGTCAAAACACACATTTATATCATAGGTCACTCATATCTATAACCGCTCATTCAAATATACCCTACATTCTGTATATTCTTTTTTAAAAAAACGTACATGTACATATGGAGCATAAATAGAAATTTGTGTAGATTGGATATATTTTAAATAAGTAGAAATAATCACGCACAAAAATCTATTTAATGGAGTGACTACTTCTCTTCACGGAAGTATATTTATATTTGCAGTATTCTAATGTATTAATCAGGGAAGCCAGAAATGAAGATTTAAGTAATGATGTCTACATTTTTAGAGAACTTTCCATTTTTGGTGAACAATTTCTTAAAGAGGTCCAGTTATGCAATTTACATGTTCCTTTAATGTGTAATGTTACCGTATGAGCATAAAAAAGGTCAAAAAAGTTTCAAAATACAAAGGCAATGATTCTATTTATCAATGCGTTCCGTATCTGAAGTGTTTCCTTCCAGGAACACTAAATCTCCAATTTCTGACATTCTGATACACACTCAGCATCTTCCTCAGCTATTTACATTCACAGATATAACCAACAGAACCTGCACTGGGAGTTTTCGATTATAACCTTCGTAGTTGACACAAATTGAACTTAACATTCACAAGTCATCCCATTCGATAGCGTTCTGTGCTTCGCGTCTGCATATAATGAAAAAAATTCATTTGTTTGATCTTTTTCTTTTTGTGTGCATTAAAGGATGTGTGAGTTCGTGGATCACCTTCATGAACACTTCAAAAGCCCCACCGTGATCAGAAATGCCAAATACATTCCACCAAAAGTAAGTTAAACAAGGAAAAAACAATAGAAATGAAAAGACAGAGTTGGTTAAGGATTTTTGCTTAATAAAATGTAGCAAAGAAGTAAATGACGATGGCTGAACTGAACTGAACTGTAATTACTGTTTTTGTTTTTGGCTCTTTGGCTGTGAATTGGGACATAGAATAGGTTAAATAATTAAATAAATTGAGACTGCACCATGAATTTAGATTATATACTGTACACTATTTCTGTTAAGTGACAAGACTTTTGTATAAGCAAAGTCAAATCTTACTGTCCTAATAATAATTAAAAATCAAGGAATGATTATATTGTATTGTGGTAAAATAAGCATAGTCTAGGGGCCTTTGTCTTTCATATAAGCAGTGATATATACGTAAAGTACTAGAGACCCAGACTTAAGTAAAAGTACAAGTGCTCTATCAAAAAGTGACTTGACTTGAATAGAAGTAGAAGTGCTCTTTAAGCACCATACTTAAGGGGAAGTACTAAAGTATTCAACATTTTTTGTACTTAAGTATTGCACGTAGTTTATTTCAAAGTTTACTACTCAAGTACTGAAAGTAAAAGTACAAGTATTGTGCAATGTAGTTCTCAAAGAAAGCAGTCAAAAGACATCATGTTGTTTTGTTTATTTTAAATATATTTTTTGGGGGCATGTGATTAAGCAGAATAAAAGAAACATGGCTTGCGATACTGTTTTTCTCTCGCGCTTGAATTACAGATCTGACAGATAATAACAGCTTTAAAACACACCTTTCAAAGTTGTGTGTCACAAAAACAATCTGTAATCAACTCAAATCGCTATTGAAGCCCATTTTCAGATCGCAAATTACCGGTTGTAAACGCTGTAAACAGAAGTTCTAAACATTCTACTGAAAGATGCTGGTCGCTATGGCGCCCTTCATGCAGCAGCCAAGAAAAATGTCTATGATTGTAAAGAGTAGGGTGTGAATCTACACTGGTCTGACGGGTTGGTTCGGTTACGATTATCATGCCATCAACTCGGTTCAATTCGATATCTCGGTGCATTGACGATGCTTTCCATACATAATTAAATTTTTTCTTCACAACACAAGAATTTTTTTATTAAAATCTATAAATATATTTTTATTTTATTTGTAATACAACTTTGTTCTTTAATACAGCAGTAAGATATATGAACTGTACCTTTAATTTGACCTCCTCAAAGAAAACAGTCTTTCTGAATCTATCAAACAAAACTCCAACACATGCACAGAAGACAGCAGGAGCATTTATAACAAATAAACTAATGTAAATATCATCCCGCTTGCTTTTTGAGCGCTGACAGGCGAGGTCTCTATGATTGGTTATTGTCTTCATTTGCTCAACAGCAAGGGCTGCTATCGGCTTTAGAAATGAAAGCGATGTTCACCGATGGCGGGAGGAACAGAAGCGGTTACAGTCTCTTTGTGCATAATACGGGGTTATCACAGGTAATCCATAATAGACACAGTGGAGAAGACTCGCACCTCAGGCACGCTCGTGTCTGGATCCACAAGTATCGCTTTAACAGCCAAGAGGAGAGGAAAAGTTATCTCACAAACAGGCCAGCGGCTCGAATGTCTAAAGAAGACAGAGATGGAGTTTTCTCCATAGTAGTGAAATAGCGGCTCGTGTGCTGTGCCGCCTTCATTGTAGTAAGAGCGTTATTTAATCGCCCTGCCTCCTTTGGCATAGTATTGCGACATCGCGCATAGGAGATAAATCACGTCAGTACGTAATAACCGGTTATGATCTATTACTGAACCGATATCAATAATTTTGACACCCCTATTAACGAGTAACGACGCAGCACATAAAAACAATCTGTCGGAGTAAAAGTATTAAACTCATCGAAAATATGTACTGAAGTAAAAGTGGAAGTAGGAGTAAAAAAACAATACTCAAGTAAAGTACAGATACTGCCTTTTAGTACTAAAGTAGGTCAGTTCAGTAGTGAAGTAGTTCTGCTTTGTTACTATACATCTCTGCATGTAAGCCACTTCTGATACCAAATGATCAACTAAAAGTCGAGTTATTATTTGTTGTTCCTAAAACTTGGATAGGTTACAAGACTTTTATCAGGTAGTGTACATTATAAACATTCTTCTTCAGCATGTAATATAATAATGTTTATTTCTAATTGTTTTGAAATTGACAGTGGAGAATAAAATACATATGTTGCCTTGGCCCTTTTTATACCTAACCTTTTTAGAAAATTAAGTAAAGATAATGTTCCATGAGGAATTTATTTTTTCCTGCTGTAAATATAATGAAACATCATTTCTGAGTTAGTATTATCTATTGCTAGGAACTTAATTTGCACTAGTCTAAAAGTGATGTTTTCTATATTGTATTTCAAATACATCTAAGCCAAAAAATTTTCTATCCTAACAAACCACAAATCAGTGGAAAGCTTAAAATGTTCAGTGCTCAGCATATATAAGTACACCCATCACAAATCTCTCTTTTAAATTCATATTTTGAATAGGAAGCTCTACAATAGGATATTTGTGCATATACATTAGTTTAGTCAGTACTGAAGCCAAATCTGGAGCTTATCTTACAAAATAACTTACGATAATGGTCCAAAAACAAGTTCAGCCAAATGTATATGTTATTGTAAATTATTAAATACAAATTAAAAAAAAAGGAATATCAAGAGAAACAAAAAAAAAATAAAAAGATGGATAAGTTTACTATAAATTTTGCAGGTTGTAATTATAATTTTTTTTTTTTGCAATATTTTGATTTATTTTAATTGTATTATATTTCCATTTCTAAAAATGTTCTGTGACTAAAATATTATTTTAATAAATATATGTGTGTTTAATAAATATGTTTGGTTGTAAATGCACCAAAATACATTGCCTATATTCACTGAGAAATGGATAAAAGTATTCATTTTTAAAATGGGGTGTACTTAATTATGCTGAGCACTGTATGTGTAATCTCACATACTGTATGTAATAACAACAAAAAAACCTTTTCACTGTTTTTTTTGTCCATATACAAAAGTTATGTGTTTATTAAGTGAGATATTGTATTATAAATACAATTTCCAAGTTAATCAAAAACATATAGTAAGTTAGGGTTGGGGCAACTTTAACTTGTAACAAATGCATAAATGTGTGTTTCTACTTCTCAAGGACCCTGGATTCTCTTGTGAAATGCTGGAGGAATCTGTGAAAAAGCATCAGTATCCTGAAGGGGAGGTTTGGAGAGCCATTGAGAAACAGCAGAAGTGATAGAAACCAACACAAGCACTGACTGCTGAGGAAATTAAAAATGACCAACGAAAGGGAGAAAAATACTTAAAGACCTGTCAGGTTGTCCTGATTGACTTAAAGGGCATTATAAATGGATGGGAGAGTAAATAGGGAAATATATATTTTCTTAAACAAATGGTTTAAACTATATGGAGTCTTTACTGTAAGTCTTTACTCTGTTTTGTCTTATTTCAATGTTCTTAAAGGTCATACTGCACTGTGACAGGACTAGAGATCAAGTGTATGCTGACACTATTTGTTTAATAGTCTGAATAATGACTAAAATGGGGAATTTTATCTGTGCATTAACTGAAGGGGACTGTATGGTATATGTACTTGGTGAATGTTACCAATCAAACTGAAAAAAACTTTTCTATTTTTATGCATTTCCTGACATAAATATGTAATGTTTTGGTCACAGAGTTGTTTTGCTTTTTTTGAAGTGACTCACAGCCAGCCGCTAATAATTATTCATGCATAGAAGAACTTGGGAGTTTGTGTCTGTCTGCAGAGCAGTAAGAGAGAGACTAATGATTAATGGCTTGAGGAAAGTGTTTGAGGAAAACATGTCAGACTTTTTAGCTCCCAAATTGCAATGGTTTTCAAGAGTTTCTTGAATTGAGCAAGAGCATCTTAATAATGCTGACAGTCATTCTTGCATATTATGGCAGTATTTATTTATTTATTGTAAAAATATGGATTCATGAAGTCATCTGTCACAGGAAGTGTATTGGTTTTCTCCCTTTGGCAGAAGAACCTTCTTACATGTTTTCACTCTGACAGAAAAACAGGCCAATCAGAACAAAACACAGACTCTTCCGATCCAAACGGGTTTATTAATATGCTCGCCTCAAGCAGTGTTTGATTAGCCACAATATTTCCTACAACATTACAACAATTATATTTTTCCCTTGATTCTAAGCTTATCTAATCTTATATTAAACTTTTTACATATACAGTTGAAGTAGGAATTATTAGCCCCCTCTTTATTTTTTCCCCAATTTCTGTTCAACCGACAGAAGATTTTTCAACACATTTCTAAATATAATAGTTTTAATAACTCATTTCTAACAACTGATTTATTTTATCTTTGTTATGATGAAAGTACATAATATTTGATTAGATATTTTTCAAGACACTTCTATACAGCTTAAAGTGACATTTAAAGGCTTAAATAGGTTAATTGGGTTAACTAGGAAAGTTAGGGTAATTAGGCAAGTTATTTTATAGTAATGATTTGTTCTGTAGACTGTCGAAGAAACATAACTTGAAGGGGCTAATAATTTTGACCTTTTTTTTATTAAATTAAAACTGCCTTTTCTCAAACATCATTTGGTAAATATTTGGAAAAAATGAGAGGGGGGTAATAATTCTGACTTAAAATGTATGTGGGACTTTTATTTTGAAAACAGGAGAGGTAGGGAATGGAAGCAGGCATTCATCGACGGCCATTTCAAATATGGTCAAAACTAACCATATCATATTTAGGCCAAATTCTAGGATTGGAAATTGACCTGTAGAATCGTTTAGATGGGTAGACATAGTCCCTCCAGCGTGTCCTCAGTCTTCCCCGAGGCCTCCTCCCAGTGGGACATGCCTGGAATACCTCCCTAGGTAAGTGTCCAGGGGGCATCCGAAACAGATGCCTGAGCCACCTCAACTGACTTCTTTCAATGTGGAGGAGCAGCGGCTCTACTTCAAGCTCCTCTCGAATGTCAGAGCCCCTTACCCCATCCATAAAAGTGCGCCCTGCCACCCTTTTAAGAAAACTCATTTCGGCCTCTTGTATCCGAAATCTTGTCCTTTCGGTCATGACCCAAAGCTCATGACCATAGGTAAGAGTATAGGAACGTAGATTGACCTACAAATCAAAAGCTTTCACTTTCGGCTCAGCTCCTTCTTTACCATAACGGACCGGTACATCAACCGCATTACTGCTGCCGCTGCACCAATCCGCATGTCAATCTCACGTTCCATCCTTCCTTCACTCGTGAACAAAACCCCGAGATACTTAAACTCCTCCACCTGGGGTAAGGACTTTCCGCCAACCTGAAGATGGCAAACCACTTTTTTTTCCGGTGGAGCATCATGGACTTGGACTTGGAATTCTCATCTCAGCCGCGCCACACTCTCCAGCAAACTGCCCCAGTGCATGCTGAAGGTCAATGTTCAATGAAGCCAACAGAACAACATCGTCTGTGAATAACAGATGAAATCCTGTGGTCCCTGAACTGGACCCCCTCCAGCCCAAGTCTTCGCTTTGAAATTCTGTCCATAAAAATTATACAGACGTCTATTAGTCCTATGCATTTATGTGATGTAAAATCACAGGCCAGAGTTCACTGTGCTTGAACTTTGGATCGCAGCATCACGCAAAACTTGATGCATGAGGAAATGCCTTTTAAATCTCTTATAAGACTTTTTGCAGCCATTTTTTTCTTTTGATTTTGGCAAGTTCATCTAGGATCATCATCTATTTTCCAGCTAAAAACCACTGAGGTTTTTACTAATAGCAATTGATTCTACTTGGTGCTAATTGTCTTAGACCATTAGCATGCTCCTCGTTCAAATATTACCAGAGTTTTAATAAATTTTCTATTTTAAGCTTGACTCCTCTGTAGTTACATCATGTAGACCAGGGGTCACCAAACTTGTTCCTGGAGGGCCGGTGTCCTAAAGATTTTTGCTCCAACCCTAATCAAACACACCTGAACAAGCTAATCAAGGTCTTACTTGGTATACTTGAAACATCTAGGCAGGTGTGTTGAGGCAAGTTGGAGCTAAACCCTGAAGGGACACCGGCCCTCCAGGACCGAGATTGGTGACCCCTGATTTAGACTGTCGGAAAATGAAAAGTTGGCTAATATGGCTAGGAAATTCCGGCGTAATAATCAAGGAACTTTGCTGCCGTACTATGGCTGCAGCAGGCACAATGATATTACAGTGCATGAAAATATTGCAACCATCGAGAATTTTCATTTTCTGTTTGTATTAGGAAGAAATGGTCAAGTTTTAAATAAAAATATGATTAACTCTGGTCATTTTGGTGATAATTGTCTAATACAATTATGCTAAGCTAAGCTAAAAGTGCTCCTTGCGTTCAAGTGATGTACTGGTCTGGAAAAAATAACTTAACTCTTGGGAGAGTTGTAAAAATGAAGGGTCTGTTTTTCAGTTTTCATGTAAACCTCTGTAGATGAGAGGGGTCTGGATGCAGAGCTGGTGCAGATGCAATCTGAGCTACATGCAACGTTTTTTAATAGGCTCACCTAACCCCACCCATCACAGTGACGTCACTAGCTCCATTGAGAGCATTGTGTCTGACATTGAATTTCTGAGAGATACAGTCTCAGCTTGCATCATAGTTGCTGCGTCCAGATACTATTGGCAGTAGATTAGCATTTAAAAAATCTCTTTGTCCCCGATTCTAGTTTGTTTTATTGAAGACATTTGGCAGTTCAGTTCTGTTTGCATTAATGTTCAGTTGAAGTAATTATTATTAAAATTTACTAAGATAGTAGTTAGGTTTGGTTATTAGGAAATTGAATAAGATCATGCAAGATGTCTACTTTATACGTGCTAATAAACAGGCAATATCTAAATAGGCATATAAAGCCATAAGTTAATAGTTAGAATCGGTACTTATCCTGAAGCACTGGTTAGTTATATAATCACTTTCTTTTTATTCATTTTGCATGTAAATTCACATTTGTAACATTTTTTTTAAGATATCATGAAAGTTGATTAATACTCAGGCCAAGAGGGGTTAGGGCAGTTTGGCAGACCTACCCCTCATTGACAAAGGTCCAGAATTTGTCTCAAAAATGAGCTCATTTGTCCTATTTTGACTGCTATATTTTCAGAAATAGTGAAAATATCCAATCAAAAAGCCTTTAAGACTAAGTGGAAACCTTTATTGGCCTAATTATGTTTGATTAATCGGTTTTGGCCAATGCTAACAAATATTGTCATTTTACAATCTGACGTAAGATAAGTCATCTTTTGCTTACGTTTTTAAATAGAGAAAACATTTTACAGAACAAACGTTTGTATTCTAAATGTTGGACCTTATTCCTAAAATAAAAAAATGAGCAATAAAAAGTGTGAAGCACCAAAAGCGGATCATACTGAAATTTATTTGAATACTATTTTGGCAGTTATCATACATTTTCAGATGTAGCATACATTTTCAGATGTACTTTTTTATTTTTTACAAGAGAGGCTAGACAAATTGTGAAGCTCTACATTATTATCATTATCATCATCATCATCATCATTATTACTATTATTATTATTATTATTATTATTTGTTGTTATTATTATTTATTTAATTTAATTGTTTTTATCGAAATAGCCAAATTCTGACTAAGGAAAGTCGAATGTGTTGGCCAGTTTTTTTATTTGAAAAATAAATGGCAACAGAATTCATTTTTAAATTTAAAACATTACCAGATTCCTATTTTTTGTAATGATATATGAATAAATAAGGATTTTAAAAAATAAGTATCAATACTTATTTCTTTATTATTAAGAAAATATTTTTGGTGTATCTAAATGTGCGGTTAAGATCCATCTGACAAGCTAATTCAGCTAAAATAGTGCTTAAATGTCACTAAAATGCAGTGTTTAAATCTTACAATAAAATAAAAGAAGGGAAATAACTGCAAAAAGGTCTATTTTTAAGAAAAAGAACTACCCCCTTCACCGGGCTGGCTACGGACTTAATATTTGATAGTTTGGTATCTTGTTTATTTTGATAATAAGTATGTTCGCACATATATTGATACGTTTATTTATTACTGAATACAGTGATAACACAATTTACTGAAACTAGGCAACTAAGCTTTTCCATGAGCCGATGAGACAGTTTCCAACCATAAGGAGGCGCTGTTTCCCTGTCTGAGAATGTCATCAGCAGTTCAATGTTTCTTTTGACGATTTAAAGGGCATCAGATGCAAGAAAGCGCATGGAATCTTTTGGCAAGCCTTTTAATGTGGAAGAATCAAAGCTTTGTGCTCGCACTGACTCTTCACTTGATGAGCTACTTTAGGCACAAGAGAATCGCAGGCATGTTTATAATTACTATAGTTACTGTCCTCCATCTGATCATCCAGCAGAGTAAAGAAGCCTTTGGTAGAACGAAAGCACTGTTTATAAGAAAAAGCAGAGTATATGGGAGCAAACAGCAGCATTAGCATTAATTAAGTTACTCCAATGTGTCCAGCCATGAGTTCCATCAACATATAGGTTTGCTTTGAATTATTCAGGAGAGCTTAATAACGTTGATGAGTCTGCAGAGATAGCATGTACCTTGAAATGCCCCACTCCCTTTTTCATAAATTGGATTTTTTAGTACCTCACAATGCCCAGGGACAGATGAAATGAGTATGAACTCTTTTATATTCAAACTCAATAA